TCCCGAACAGCACGAGACTCATTTGCGCCAGCTGTTCACAAGCCTCCGTGATTATGGAGTAGTAGTGCATCCTGACAAATGCCAGTTTGGAGTCGAAGCACTAGACTTTCTAGGGCACCATGTGAATGCCCAGGGCGTCTCCCCGATGGATGACAAGGTCGCGGTAATTCGCAAATTTCCGCGCCCTACCTCGCTACGCCAGCTGCGCCGGTTCTTAGGCATGGTTAATTTTTACCGCCGATTTATGCCTAAGTGCGCATCCTCGCTGGCCGCCTTGACTGATTTGCTGCGCAAGCAACCTAAGCGCTCTCGAAAGGCGTTAGATTGGTCCCCTGTGTGCGACTCTGCTTTCGCGGCTGTCAAAGAGGACCTCGCGAACGTCACGATGCTTACATACCCGTCTGTTGAGTTACCTACAAGCCTCGCGGTAGACGCTTCCGATCTCGCCGTAGGCGGTGTGTTACAGCAACTCCATGAAGGGGAGTGGCGACCGCTTGCGTTCTTTTCTCGCCGCCTCAAGCCTCCCGAGACTAGGTATAGTACCTTTGGTCGAGAGCTGCTAGCCATTTACCTCGGAATACGCCATTTCCGATACTTCTTAGAGGGGCGTGATTTTTTTGTTTTTACAGACCACAAGCCTCTTACCTTTGCGCTCAAGACATCGCCCGATCGACATTCCCCTAGGGAAGCGCGGCAACTCGATTACGTGTCACAGTTTACCTCCGACATACGCCATATTCGAGGCGTTGATAATCAGGTAGCTGATGCACTTTCTCGCACCGAGATTGACTCAGTGCAATTACCGAACTCGATTAACCTGCGTGTAGTCGCGACCGACCAAGTCGATGACGTTGAGCTCGCTGCTCTGCGCTCAGACACGTCAACCTCGCTCAAATTTGAGAAGGTCCTCCTTCTGGAAGGGGACGCGCACATTTGGTGCGACATGTCCACAGGGCATCCGCGGCCGTATGTATCGGTAGCGCACCGTCGATCGTTGTTTGACAATCTGCACAATCTCGCGCATCCGGGTATTAAAGCTTCGCAAAAGCTTATCGCGGCCCGTTTTGTGTGGCGGGGTATGAACAAGGACATTTGTACATGGGCGCGTACTTGCATCCCATGTCAGCGCGCAAAGATCCAACGTCATACGCACTCACCGCTTGGCACTTTTGCCAACCCCGATGCCCGTTTTGCACACGTTCATATTGATCTTGTTGGGCCACTACCGCCCTCGAAAGGGCACATTTATCTGCTGACTTGTATCGACAGGTTCACCCGTTGGCCCGAAGCGATCCCGATAGCGGATGCCACTGCCGAGACAGTAGCCATAGCTCTAGTGGAGAACTGGGTAGCTCGCTTTGGAGCTCCAGCCACGATTACGCATGATCGAGGTCGTCAGTTTCAATCTGCGCTTTTCACTGCATTAGCTAATTTGCTAGGTTGTCGGACCATAGCCACCACGGCCTACCACCCGCAGGCCAACGGTATGGTGGAACGGTTCCATCGGCAACTTAAAGCCTCTCTCAAATCTCAACCCGAGCCGAACCGTTGGCAAGAATACCTTCCTCTGGTCATGTTGGGTATCCGCGCAGCTATTAAGGAAGACATAGGAGCTTCAGCTGCCGAACTTGTCTACGGGACGGCGTTGCGTCTTCCAGGCCAGCTGATAGTGCCTACGCGACACGATACTGTTGACCCCGCGGACTACGTCCAACGCTTGAAGGACCATATGTCTGTTTTAGCGCCTACAGCGACACGTAGGTCACCACAGACCAGTTTTGTACATAGGTCTCTCGATACTTGTACGCATATTTTCTTGCGTATCGATGCTGTCCGTAAGCCATTACAGCCTCCGTATTTGGGTCCGTTCAAGGTTCTCAAACGAAACCCGAAGTTTTTCGTTATTGAGCAAAAGGGCAAGCATGTTTCTGTAAGCATTGATCGACTGAAACCCGCATTTTTGGAAAGCGTTTCGGCTAGGACTACCGCGGCTGACGTGCCTCTAGAGGGAGAGCCTACCGTCTCCTCCCCTCTGCGCACAGCACTTCGCGCAACCTCAGCGCCTGCTCCTGCAACTGCTCCTACGCCTGCTCCTGCTCTGGTGAAATCGCAACCTGCTGCGCGTGTCACACGTTCAGGCCGCCACGTCCACTGGCCGCAGAGGTACGTTCAGGTTCACTACATTGGACGTGTCGCATAAATAGTGGTTATTTTCATGTATATTAATGTATTTTGTACATATGTTTCCTTTATATTTTTAAGTGTGTATTTTCGCCCCTCGGAGCTTACGCAAGCTCGGGTCTAGTAGGGGGTTAATGTAGCGACTAATGTTACAGTGCATTCACTTATAATTCACTGGTATACATATTGTGTTTTTAATACAAAATGGCCGCTTTAGAAGTCATTGAGAGTTCGAGGATTTGGTATTACGCCATGTCCTCAGAACTGGTTTTAACTTGATTTATTATATAACGATGTTTATTCATTAGTATTTTCATCACATGATGAATTAACATAGATGTACGCGTATTTATTCATAAGTATTTAGATCACGTGCCTTATTAACATACATGTGCGCTTGTTTTGAACCAATCGCGCTGTAGTTGATTGGCGCTCTTCTGATTTTCCTGTGCGGGAATCAGTGAGCTGTTTTAATATTGGTATACACACATGCTGTCATTGTGTTGATATTTGTACCTAGAAAATTGTATCCAACGAGGATTGAACTGCTACGTCCCCGGACCATTCCCGGTGGACGTGCTCACCTATTTACATCTTGTACGTTTTGCAAGATATATTTTGACTCTCTCGATGTTCAACATTGACGACACTTTAATTCACCAGCAGTGAGAATAGAACATTTAATATGATCTAACGTTTTTCTCACCTGCATTATTGTTTGACAACCTTTTATCATCGACTTCATATATATTGTCTCGACATTTGATTCTTCGACCTGCATCGCAAGTCACTGAAGTTGATCTATTGACATTGACTGCATCATCATTGTATTCATCTGTTAACTGATTCATCATCGTCGTCTTCATCACCGTTGTCTTCATCATCGCTGTCTTCACCAGCGTCGTCTTCATCGTCGACTTCATCATCGCTGTCTTCACCAGCGTCGTCTTCATCATTGTTGTCATCATCGTTGTCTTCAACATCGTCTTCATCATCGTGGTATTCACCTAGCGTCGATCATCGTCTGCATATCCTACGCGATCGACAACCAGCTCGTCGACCACTGTTTTCGACTAGCTAGTTTCTACATCTACCTAGAACTTGAAGAAGATCTACTTTGAATTCAACTCCAATGACTCACGTAACGTTAATTGTATTGTGATTTATGCTTTGCATTGTTTATCATTGTGAGGCCTTATTTTGACTGACTGAGTGCCTGTTGTTGAGTGCGTACGCTTACTAACACATATTTTACATGTTTATAATTGCACTAGTTCTAGGCCTATGCCTGGTCTACTGATCTAGATCTGCTATAGTCTAGATCCACCGATATATTGTTGTATTCTCGTGTTGTGCATTCCGTACACATACACAAGTAGAGATTTGTTTAGCGGTTTCTTGAACCACAATATTTCGTGCCTATGTAAGTAAATCTAAACGCTGTCTAGCTTAGATTTGAGTAGTATTTTCTTGACTGTTATTATTCATGCAGTGTGAATGATATTTAACTGACTTGTTTTAGTACTGTCTTAAGTTGTACTGAACAGGGCTCCTGATATTTCGAGACTTGTATTCAGCGGTAATCATTAATACCATAGTGACTAAGTTGAGTCTCCTTTACATTAATGTGCTGTTGGAAGTTATCTATGTTTGATTATTAATAATAGTAACTACCAAGGGCCTAGTGATAGTTTAATTGTCTGTCACTGTTGAGATAGACAGAAGAGGTTTCTGATAATTCTGTAATCATTGTATCTTATGTGAAATTATAGAATATAGAACCAGTTTTTAACCATAATCAATTTGTCTGGATGTGATCATTTATTAAGTGTTTTCTTGTCTGGAGGGATACTGCTTTTTAGTAGTTTAATTAAAAAAGGGAATTATGTGGGATTACTAGTTAACACGCAACATAGTCCATACCCCATGTAGTTTTTCTAAAGATGTTATAATTATGTTACTTATCAAAGGTCTTTTCAGTTTGTTGTTATGAAAATGTGCTTATTTATAACCCGATGAGGATTGGTTTTTTCTTCTTTATGAGATGTAGTTTTCGCACCGTGACCTCACAAATCTTATATTTTTCCTCGCTCGCAAATGATTTTTTCGACCATCACACCCAACTGCAAGGTATGATGCTTTAAAAAGCAATATTTTATACGATGTATAAAGAGAAACAAATATTGAAATCATCCCTGATAATGTAATCAAATTTTAGGGGTATATACCAATGTCTAAAAAATGTTTATTTTCGCTTTTAGATTTCCCTTTGTAGATGCCCTTTTTCCCCAGAAAGTGCCCTTTTTTGTTGGTCCCCCCCCCCCCCACTTTGGAAGTCGCTCCGCCGCCTCTGAATAACGGGTTAGCAAGACGATTGTAGAAAAACGTTGAATCAGAAGAAATTAATTTCCTATTTCTAAGTTTACCTGTAATACGTGCGTCAAATAAGGACGAACACATTTTCTACTAATTTTGAACAGATTTTTGCCAATAAAATGCAAGCCGACATTTCCCATTCTATACGTCTGCTGATTACAACGGAAATGAAAAGTAGGTTATTCTACATAAAAAAAAATATAATAACATTGTTATATTCTATTTCAAATATTTATGTCTACCGAACATGTTTTTTCCAGACCCCATAACAGGATATTCCTTAAAACAATTAAATGGAATGGAATCCAGGACATGTAAATCTATGATATAAAATACAGTAGAATCTAAAAGAAGGAAGTAATTATATACCAGGTTCTGGTTCCGGGGTTTTCCGCCGTGGTAATCCCATTACTAGCTCTATATCATCGAGGTCTTTGAACTTTCATAATTATGTCACATGCCACACCACCGAACCGACTCCACTCCTAGTCCTACTCTCTAAACTGAACGATCCTTGAATCGGGAGATCATTAATGTACTAGTTTGTTCGGTAAGGTGTCCGCCTGGTGTTGGTCTCGTATATCGTAGCAGGAACTGGAGTCTTAGTGAAGAAGAAAGTATTTACATAATAGTTGATTTAATGCAGCGACTAGTTATTCGAAAAAATATTGTCGAATCACGTTGTTGGTTGCACATACAGAGAGAGCTTCCCGCTACGAATCATCTTGATTGAGATATCATGTCCTCAAGTCGACGTAGCATGTACAGTATTTCGGTTTTGGCGTTGGTCTTTGTCGTCGGTCCAGGCGTCATCAAGTTACCAGGAGCTGGTGCGGGGATGTGCGGATGCCCACCGCTATGGACGGGCTTTAATGATAATTGCTACCGGTGAGTTTGCTCTATTCTACAATGATTTTTTTTTTTTAATGGTAATTCCTTTTGGAATCAGAAATCTGATCTGATGAGTGTGGTGTAATATATAGTCAGAAAGTGGTTCATTTACTTGACTCTCAATCCCAGGTTAAGGGTTCGAATCCCAACCCAGCATTATTAATCCACATTTTCCACTTTCGTTCCCGGCGTATAATATACAGATGGATACTTTTGCCGGGGTAAGTTACAGGAATTGACCTCGGGAAGAACAGCATTGCATGATGCTGACGAGGCTTCCCTGCATGTAAGCTACAGTACTAGTGTGGAGTTGTCACTGTCTAGTATTATGAGACGCTGGACTGTGAAGCTCATGGTGCGGGGAGTTCGAATCCCTCTCAGTGCACGTACCAATGTCCTTTGGCAAGATATTAATCTGCATTTACCTCTTTCCACCCAGGTGATCTGCCCAAAGTATTATGGTACAGATGAGCGGCATTCACTGTAAAGTTATTATTGGAGAAATAAAATTGTACAGTGAATCTGCATGTCTATAAAGGCCACAAAAGAAAAGCGGGAAAAGTGGCCACTGTAGATCGACAGCTGCCATTTCCAGACAGGTTCTACAACACACAGGAAGAAATACAGAAAGAAAAAAATATATAGTCGAACCTGTTTATAGAAAGGCCACCGAAGAAAAAAAAAATGGCACAGTATAGACAGGTAGCCTTCCGAGACAGGTTCCACGACACATTTTCTACTTTCTCGAGGGAGACCAAATAATAATAATAACTTTTACTTATTTTTCATGAGACATTTATATCAAAGCGCTTTACAATATTGATACAAGTAAAACTAAACAAAGTAATGACAAGAGAACAAAATTAAAGTGAAATTATGAACCCGGTAAGATAACAAGGTAAACTAGACTTTAATTCGTCACTTAGACGAATTAGGTGATACGTATGATAATGGTCTACATAACGAATAATGCATTACACGATATATTATTTTGTAAAATGCTTCTCCCATTCATATGCTTCTCCCATTATGATCTATTCATATGTCAAGATTAAATTGTGTCTCCTTGATCATCATGGATCTAGGGAAGATAGATTGAAACAATATATGACCTTTGACCCTGTGCAGTAACCAGTTACACATTTGACTCTAATTTACATCATGAAGAACACCTTTTGACGATTTTTATCTTATTCAAAGAAATGAAAATGTAATTGATAAATGATTATCATCATTAAGATAATGATGATCATGATCATCATGATCATGATCATGAGCGCGATCATGACATCTTATTGAAAAAATGAGGGTTGATTTAGATAGCATATAGTCTCAGCTACAACATACTCAAAAATCAACAAAATCCAAGCCGAAATAACGGCGATATTGCTCGCAAAAGACAGGAATGTAGACTCCAGATTTTAGAAAAAGTCATCTCCCATAGGGATTACACGCAAAAAGTAATGGATTAAGTGAAAATAGGGTAATAATAAAGTAAAAAGGGTTATTTATGACATTATTTGCGAATCTACGTGTTTAAATATTCAAAGGAGATGGTACAGTGAAGGTCAAAAGGAAAAAAAAGTCAGGAAAAAAAAGTGTTGGAGACACCCGGACTCAAACCAGGGATCTCGAGGTTGGAAGTCAAGTGCGTTACCGATATACCAAAACATCTCCCATAGCGATTACACGTAAACGGGAAATGGAATTCAGAAATCCTACTTTGCAAGTGAAATATGAGCATGATCCCGGCATCTAATCGAAAAATAATAGTCACACTTTTGATAGCTCATTGTCTCAGCTACAACATATCCAAAGCTCAGCGAAAACGAAGCTAAAACAACGGAGATTTTGCTCGCGAAAGACAGGAGCGTAGAATCCAGTTTTGAGAAAAAGTCATGTCCCATAGAGAATACACGCAAAATGCGAAAAATTGACATGCCTCCTTTAATCGCAAAAACACACCATGATACTTTTGTCAAAAATAAAAATTGTGAATACTACATTTGTAGAAAATTGTCTCAGCTAGAACATATCAAAATTAAAAAGAAAATTGATCCATATTTACAGAGATACAATCAATTTTCCAAAAATATGCTGACGTCATAATATGCAAATTAAAATTTTGAGTTTGGAGGCCATTATGATGACGTCATGAGTTAATTGAGGATAAAATGAGTCATGAAATCATATCTCCGACTCATAATCTATCCAAATATGAAAAAATATTAGGAGTTTCCATCTATTCTAAAGAGTTACAATGAATTTTATATAGGCATGTTTTTGCCCATGTATTGTGGATAAAGATAACGCAAATCCGCGCGTGCTGTCAACTTTGACGGACGCTCATTGCGTTAATAAAAGGTGAACAAATTATCAAAATGCTTGGAAAAATGTACCGAATATGATGACAGAAAAAAATCGGCGATTCTATGTTGCAAAATGCCAGTACGCGCGAAAACGCGCGCGCATGCGCGTGTGCGTAATTTTTTTATCAAATGCTCCATATGGCCTGAAACGTATGCAAAAAAAATTTGGGATGATTTGGAGCATTTTAAATTTTTGCGCGCGCGTAAACGCGCGGACGAACGCGCACGCGCGCATTTGCGCACTTTTATTGACCTCAACTTGACCGGACGGATATTTATCTTAATCGTGATAATTATGAATGAGAAATACTTTTCCGTTATGAAGATATGATCATTAGTTGATTTTCACAAAATGGCGCCTGGATGACGTCACGATAATTTTGACTCTCTAAAAAGTCACGCAGTTCTAAGTTAGACTAAGATCTATCATCATGGTAAGTTTCATGATAATGGCTTTATTCAGTCTTGAGATATCCTGCGAACAAATTCGAGGAAGAATAATAATAAATAAATAAATAAATAATAAAAATCTTGACGAAATCAAAAGGTGATACGTCTACGTACGTATCACCTAAATAACAATTTAAGAACTAGGTTTAATATGCATTTTCCATTAGGAAGGTTTTTAGTTTTGATCTGAACAAAGTAATATCAGAGATGTAACGAATGGAGGCTGGAAGAGAATTCCACATGGCCACTATACATAGGTTGCCTTAACAGAGAGGTTGCCACTAAGACAGGTTTGACTGAATTGTTAATGTGGCTGTCTTTCTGGCAAATAAGACTTTTTAAAAATGTCTAAATTGCCTCATTGTACAATGTGTTTCCGTTTGACCGACAGAATACTCGTAGAAAATACCCTTTTTTAAGTGTGTGTGTGTGCCTGTGTACATTAACAAACCATAACAGAATAACCACAGATACATCATTCAACAAAAATGAAAGCAATATAAATGCCTTTCGTTAATTCCTAGATTCTTCGTCTCGGGAAACCTCTCCTGGTTTGATGCCGAACTAGCCTGCCGAACCTTTAGTACACCCTGCGGTGAGGAGAGCTCCTCAAGTAGCATGGGTCATCTTGTCTCCATCCATTCTCAAGAGGAAATGGACTTCATTGTAGCGATGTACGATTCGCTCCGATCCAAAAGGGTGAGTATCAGGGGCGGATCCAGGATCTTATAAAATAGGGGGCACAAATTTATATGCATCAAAAGTGGACATAATAAGCACATCCCTGGGGGCCCCGTTACACAAAGTTTGCAATAAAAATGACGATGGCCAATCAAGATCATCGTTGCACGCACGTATTTATTGTTCTTAATCATAAGGCTGACCCCATCAACCAATTAAAATCGTCGTTTAAATTTGCAAATGATTGCAAACCTCTAATATGTAACGGGGCCCTGATATCAAATACATTGATTTATTGTACCACTTGGAAGCCTTATATAGATAATAATATATTGAATATCTTATCGTGTAGTGTCCCGCGTACAAGTTGTTGCATTTAAATTTGAATAGATTGTCTTCATTATGTTAAAAAAATGATAGTGCGGCATTAATTCTGATGTGGCTAGACCATTTATTATCATTAATTTTGTTTTACCTAACCTAAAAAACCAATTGCAACCCTAATCACAACCCTTATCTGACGAAATAAGGTCGGATGAATTAAAGCCATATCATCATATCGTCTTAAAGATCATCAATGTTTTATCCAAGAAAACTGTCACAAATTTGATTATCTCTCTTTGACATTATATTAGCCGACGATAGACACACGGACCTGGATAGGTCTGCATGACCGAACGGCCGAGCAATCTGCAGAGTGGACCGACAGCTCCGACTTCGATTACGCATCCTGGGCACCTAGTCAGCCTAACGACCAAAACGGCGCAAGTGACTGTGTGTTCTTTTCCAGAAATACCTTGTACAAGTGGAATGACATCCCATGCACTCCCGGTAGCCGTGTCGAGTCGTTTGTCTGTAAGATTCGGCAGTGGTAAACTTCGGCACAAGTTCGGCGTCGCGGAGGAGAACTCGTATTTCCGAAGGTTTGTAGTTGCGAAAATGAAACAGGGTTCTATTCAATTCTCTGAATTATCAGTGTTCGATATTATGAATCCCTTTTCATGTCCGCGGCATTACGAATCTTCGGAATAACGAGCCGTCGAAAAAACGAGCCTTAATTCGTAAAGGAGCGAACTTTCGGAATGACTAACTTTCGGCATAACAATGACGAACCTATGGAATGACGAATTTTCGGAAAGATGAAGCTTTAGAATGACAGAAAATCGGGTCAATGAACAGAAGAAAATACGTTGTGTGTTTTTTTAAATAATTTTTGTTCATGAATGTATGATTGGACGTAGCTTAAATGTTGGTACATGTAGTTATAAGAGTTTTCGGATTTGGGGAGGGGATCCCAGGAAGGATGGAATACGCCCCAGCTCAAATAGTAAGCCCTTTTACAGAATGCTGTTTGCAGGCGCGTACGCAGGATTTTTTCAAGGGGGGGGGGGGGGGGGGGGGGGGGTTTTTAACATTTATAAATCGGGCCGAAATTTCGCAACGACTCAGCCAGCCGCTGAATAAGCGGGGGGGGGGGGGGGGGGGTAAGAGGACAGTTGGTTTTTTTTTGGTCTCGAAATTTAAAAATTTGACATTTTGCTCCGTGGGGGGGGGGGGGGGTAAGGTCAGCTTTTTTAGGTCAGCCATGGGATTTTTTTATTTTTTTTAAATAAATTAAAAAAAAAAAAAAAAAAAAAAAAATCCAAAGGGGGGGGGGGGGGGTAGGAGGGTTATGGGGGGGGGGGGGTTACACATAAAAAATACCAAAGGGGAGGGGTTAAACCCCCAACTCCCCCCTCCCCCCCCCCCCCCCCCCCCCCGTGCACGCGCCTGGCTGTTTGTATATATATATAATTGAAAAAATGATAAAACAAATCCAATTTCTTGTTTTATATATCTGATGTCATTTTGTTCCACAGCGTAAACCAACAATGATAGTGAAGGAAATTAAATACTGTGTTAATAATCAAATTACATGACTCTGTTGATAGCATAAAGGAGGAGGGAGGGCTACGTAGAGAGAAATAACGAGAGAGAGAGAGAGAGAGAGGGTGTGACATAGACAGAGGGGTACGAAATGGACAAGTATTTCTTTTTATTTATTAAACAAAATTAAAGTCTACTTTCAAATTGTTGTGATGCCTACAATTAGAAGTGTTTACATGCATTTTGGGTTCGATAACCTATGAGTTTTCATTCGCTATTCGAGATAAACAACTTATGCTCATTGCGCGTGTGAAATGGCGCAATTAACGGACATGTGAGCAGAAAGAACTTAGACAAGGCCCTGAAAGAAACGGTACGCTAAAGCAGAACATCTGCAAATTTTCACTTATAATTTGATGTTTATCTTAATAATTAGGTTCGTAGCCTTTTGTAAGATTTGTATTGGCTCTATCGACCCTCTCTCGGGATCAGAGTACAAACATAAATTGACATAGTATCAATATAAAAGTATAACAATGATAAACATGACTTTGATAATAAAATTAATATGAACAATGATAAACATATGATAATATGAACACAGATAAACATTGTCACAAATAATAAACATGTGATAGTTTGAACAATAACATAAACATTGTGATAACAAAATAAATATATTTACAAATCAAGGCGAACTGGACACCCTCCTATACCGCTACAAGTGTGCCTAATAACATTGCCTACTGTCTTGTGAGCTATCATTTACAGTATTACCATATATCCTTGGCTCTTTAGAAAAATGTGACATAATTATTTTAACAAATTTGGCAAATTTCTTTACCATGAACGGTGTTAAAAACTTTCCATGTGCGACGCACTCGGTCTTAGGCTATAGGCCTACCACACAAGTTATTTGGTATATACATTTTTCTCTCATTTTTAAAGAACGGACATACAATGAATATAAACAGATCCATCACATCATTGCATCAAATATGCCTTTATTAACTAGTAATATATGTGAACTACATCTAAATTTACTTAAAAATATTGCTTCCTTCTGAGGTAATTTTCATAAACCGACTTATTCGTAGAAATTATTATTATTATTATCATTATTTATATACTGCGCTTTTCCCAGAGTGGCCCAAAGCGATTACGACAAGAAGAATCCTACCAAAAAATAAAATTGAAAACTTACATAATCCTAAAAATCTGGATTACAAAAAAGAAATGTTTTAAGTCCCTTTTTGAATGAAAAGACAGATGGTGACATGCTATAGTTCGTGCAAATACGATTTGACTATAGATGCGCTCCATTCTTGAATAGACATGTCTGTAAGCCTGATTTTGATAGTATTCATAATCCGGGCAGCACTAAAAAAAATACAATATCCTTCTCCTTGAGCTCGCCAAACGTTCCCAAGTCCTGCATAATAAAAACTGTCAGTATATATTTTTCTTCATAAGAACAGCTATTGCGTGATAATAACAATGATTGGATGCATCATTGAACATGTAATGATAAGACACATACTGTGTTTATGCCAATGACAGTAAAGATAAGATGCCAATATTAAATGTACATCAAAGTGCCAGCCAGCACCCACCGACCACCATTAACCCTATCGTTCCGGATCGGTAACTCCACCGTTCTCGCACGTCGAGCGCAAGAGTGCATCCAATGAATGCCGACCGCCACCGCATTCCGCATCGCATACCGCACAATCATCAGCATTAATCAAAAGACCATTGAAACCTGACCGTCATTTTTCAAATGAATCTTGCTTCATATTTCCACAAAAGAGAGTTTTTTCAAAACCAAAATAAATCTTTACCTAGCTTGTTTAAAACTTGTCGTGCTAAAAGGCGAATTCCATAGCCAATTTGTTTTTATAAATTACACATTTAAAGTTTAAACAAATGAAATCATAATGATAAGTGAATTTAAAGCTTCCAAAAAGAACATTTTCGACTGTTAATTGCAAAACAAATTGACATCTTTCGTATACTTTCTTGTTGCAATATTCCCATACATTTCTCACTATGTGACATAAAAAAAAATGGTGTTCAATGGTTTCTTAAAGCAATTCGGAATGTGCATGCGCTGCTTGATTTAACCTGTATTTTACACAAGTAAGAGTTTATTGGAATGTTCAAGTAATATTTGAACCATCTGAGTGTAATCAAATTGAATTTAATTGATCTTTATTTCATTCATCATAAAAACATCATAAACAACATATAAAACACAAAACATAGCGTACAAGTTAAAAAGAAATATTCACGATAGAATACAACAACAACAACAAAAATGTGTCATATGAATGTAGAGACAGCTAGGAAAGCCAAAGGCTTTATTGGTGCTGTCCAGGCCCGTAACCACGGGGGGGGGGGGGGGGCACGTGCTAACCGTGAACTGGTCTATTCAGACAAAATTTGCTGGAAAGACTCATTGCTAAAAAAAATTATGTTTGATTTTATTTAAAATACCTATACCTTTAGAAAGTTCGTGCAGATGACATGAATGTGTTCCTTCCAAGATAAATTTACTGTCAATTGTTACACCTAAAAAAACTCAGGAAACTACAACGATTAATTTCATTATTATTTAAGGAAACAACCAACGTGTCACAATCGATAAACGTATACGTAAAGATCATATAGCGAGTCTTTCTAATATTTACAACTAAGCTATTAGAGATCAACCATGAATTTATTTTCAATAATTCATTATTAAAATCAAGAATCAAATTATTAATATTGGCATCGGATAAAAAGACACTCTGGTATCATCGGCATATAAAATATATTCCAACTTTTGAGATGATGCACAAATATCGTTCATATAACGTCTTGTATTGTTTGGTATATGGTAAAGAATTAAAACAACGCCATTTCTTTAATGAGATTTCTTGCCTTATTTTTAATGAATATTTTGAATGCTTCCCTTTCACTAGTCTATCCCAATATCCAATCTTTCTACACTTAATTCTACCACGTCCAGTTTCACCATAAATCATGCATTCAGTAAGGTGTGCACTTATTTACAAACAATATTGTTCTTAACAAATTTCTAGGAAAACTTCGAGTTGATCTATATACACTCATAGGCCCAGACTTCAGCAACATATATAATATAATTGACAAAACGTGCAGTGGTCAAATAAATGACATTGTGTATCAACAGATAAATACAACCCTTTTGCCTTTACTAACATACTATACATTGCCTTTGTAGCTTGTGTGACCTGTTTAGCATTTGCCTTTTTTAAAAATTACGATTATTATAACAACGTCACTCCTGAATATAGGCTACAAAGTCATAAACAACTAGGCGTTGTGTCGTGCCGTAATCCAGCTAACAGTGGAAGTTACAAACTGATTCAGCCGAGGACGCAGGTTCAAAACTGAGTCACGTCTTTCGGATGGTGACGTTAAAGGTCGGTCCCCAGACGTAAATAATCATATCTGATTGATACTTTTTTTTATTTATTTTTTTAATTTTTTTTTAAAACAATTTTGTTTTATTTCTCCAGATGTGTAATACAAACCATGACATACAATTGAATAAAATAAACGTGTTCAATATTGATGCTTTTACATAAACATAATTAAACTCAAACTTATTTGCAGTATAATATAACTTAGCAACAAAGTAAACGTATAAGTACCTAAACATAATATGTCAATTGTAAATGTTATTTACTTATATATTACAAAAAAAAACAAATCTGGAGATACACGTCTGTAAAAACCCAATTACACACACACATACACACACACACACATACACACGCACACCCACACACACACACACACTTCCAATACACCACCATCATAAACAAATTTGGGAATTCTTCTAACTTTCCCACGTGAAACTTCAATTTGCCAAGCATCACAATAAACTTTCACTGCGTTTATGACTTTTTGCAACTTTTCAGGAGTTTCTGCTAGAATAACAATTGTGTCATCAGCATAATACTGACAAAGAAAGTAGATCCTTACATATTTCATTACCATCAAAAGGAAACTTATTTTTTACTAATAGTATTGGAAAATTCTAAGCCCTTACGAGTTTCCAATAGATTGTTGGAAATCGTTCAAATAATTAGCAAATAAGAGAGGTGATAGGTTTTCACCTTGACGTACCCCAATATTGCATGTAAATAAATTGGACATAATATCTCCCTTGTAATATTGAGGGGGGATATTCTCCAGATTTCACCTGTCAGGATGCACTTTCCAATTTTGTTTTGGTCCCGGCCCCCCCCCCCCCCCCTCAGTGTTATTTAGGGTACGCATATGCGTGTTCCAACCGACCCCCCCTTTTCAGCAAAAGTCCGGTGTGTAAAGTCAATACGGCTCGACCTTTTTCTTTTGTATACGAGCCTTTTACAGCATCCCCCCCTTTTCAGCAAAAGTCCGGTGTGTAAAGTCAATACGGCTCGACCTTTTTCTTTTGTTACGAAAAGGACATTTTGGCAACACGCATGCGGTCATTTCGAAACCTGAGTGGGGGGGCCGGGGTTTTGGTATATGAACCATTTAATATGCTTAATGGAGAACTAGGCCTACACTGCTCCTACTTTATTTCTTGTGTCTAATTTTAGTCACGTTTTCCTGTAAGTTAAATATAAGTCAATTATTTCAAGCTGTTTCCAATGAAGAGAGTTGAATCATTCATAGTTCATAGCACACGCGATTTAGCACCTATTAATGTTCCTTATAACATTAAAAACGTTGGCTACTGGCGCCCTCTGTAGAGCAAACACTGCCTAAGTGGGTCCCCTTTTTCTTGTTGAGCTGATTTCATGAGATAACCCCCTGTTAGTGACCATGCATGGAGGTCTTATCCCTCCTGGCCAAACTAGTGCAGATAGGTTTTAAGAAGTAAAAGTTTGTGTTGATAGAAACTAAAACGCGCGTCGTCGAGATCGAGGTCACTACTTTTGTTGTCATTTTCGTTTTTGCACCACCTGCCGCATTCATAAACGACTCGTGCAGCGAAGTAAGTTTTTTGTACCAGGATCTGTAATGTCACCGCTTGGAAAAAAACTGACAGACATTTATTCATGAAATTTGTTATCATGTTATCCTCAAATTTCTTGGGATGTAGCTGATTCCATTACCTCAGAAACAATGGAAGCGAGTACAAGTGGACAAGGAACTTCTAACATCCATTTGGATTTAAAATGCAAGGTCTGCGAGAGGGAGTTTTCGGCCGATGTGCAGCCGCGAATGTTGCCTTGCCTTCACACTGTTTGCGCCCAGTGCCTGGCGAACGTGACGAACAACACCGCGCTGGCCAGCGGGCAGCAGGGAATCCTGGCCGGATCTGGAGTTGGTAAATAACGAATTTAATCATGTTAATAGGCAGCAATATACGTCTGGTATGGAGAATTCTTGGCATTTTCATCAAATAAGCCACTGCTTACTCACTTTGTTTATGCCTAGTTTATGCAATAACATGACGACATGTCTACTCTGAACATATTTAACAAAACAGGCAATGTAAAACGTAGACCATGTAGACCCCTACACAAAATTACAAAGTTCATGTCTATTCTAATGATAGCAATGGAATCGTAGAATCAGTTGACCAATTTGATGGCTAGGTCATAGTATACAATGTGGTTGATAATGATATCACAGAGCCTTAATTGGTACCCATTTTCATGCATGAAATATGAATTGAATGATGTAAACAAAATCTAAAAATAAGATAGACTAGACCTAGTCTAGATATGTTAACTAGTCTACACAGTACGTCTAGGTCTAGTCTTGTAATCACCCATTCCCATACCACGAAGAAGTTTGCACATTGAGCGCTGTACATTGAGTTTATGCGCTCCCATTGGCTGATCCATTCGATTGGCTTCGCATAAATTTAAGTGAGAGAGGGCCTACTAAACCCAGCAGAAATTGCAAATACATGCAGTTTTCATGAAAATGCATGTTTTTGCATTGCTGATATCGTCGCCTGACTGGCATAAGGGCGTTAGCTCGAACTTCAGGTAAAAAATGAAGCGTTTAATAAGCAAAAGGGCGTTGGCACTAAATCGCCTCAAACTCTTATAAAACTGACTTATTTCTGAGAAAAAAATTGTGGCCGTGTTCTAGACCCTACTAGAACATTTCTATTTGCATTTAGAATTTGAAACCAATTTCCGGGATGGAAAGTAGTTTAAATAGAAAACAAATCTTTAAATGCGAATAATTTAAAAAGTAGTTTTCGAGACGCTCGCTGCTCGCGCGCTAATGCCCTTCTGCCAGCCGGCCGACGATATACATATGTGATACTTAACAACAATAGCAATAAGTGTAAAAAGGCATGTGCAGGGAGTTTGCTAAATTCGTACTCCATGTTTGCACCCTAGTTCACTAAACTAATTGCCATTATAGTTATTATTAATCCCAAAACAAAAGTACACTGTGTGTGTACCTTCCCAGTCATTCACTTTACATGCAGTTTTTAATTTTTATGTGAAAAAATGTGGAGAGAAAGAACAAGGATACCATGTCTAGTTTCACCATCAACCATGCATGCAGTCAAATATGCACTTATTTACAAACAAGGTTGTTTTTAAAAAATTTCTTTGGAAAACTTCATGTTGAGACACTTCTCACAGTTTTTTTGTAGATGAACGAGCTTTAATAGAGACTTGTATTTTGTGTTGATAGTGAAAATAAAAAGAAACAAATCAGAATAGTGCATTTACGCATGTGAGTCGTCAAACAATAACCAGTGACAGTGGCTTGATTTTCGAGACGTGCAAGAAGGGCAGATAACTGAAATCTGTCAACCTTCCCCATAGGCCCATACATAGACGGTACACCTTGTTGTAAGCACAATGAAAGATAATCCGAAAGTTTGAGTGAAAACAGACCATTATTAACGATATTGGAAAATACTGATCTGATAGATTCCTTAATTCTCCCAACTATAGTATTACAATTGAATTACATTTTAGTTGAATGTAGATCGTCACAAAGCAAGGAATTGGCTTTACATACCATTCCAGACATTTAAGTGTTGAAAGATTTTTAAAAGCCTGTCTTATTTCATGGAAATACAGTTAGGACAATTCAAAAATGGTTGGGAGAATTGACTGGTAGAGGGTGTTGCACAGTGATACCTTCAAAGAAAACCATAAATATCTTTGTGGTTTGAGAATTTTTTGAGGAGTTTTCACATGTTAGAGGGTTGTACAGTAGAAGGAATATATTTCATACAAAAATGACGCAGTTTTTTCATCAACCTTCAACAATGTAATACTGAGTCACTTTAAGATGATGGTAGTAACTGTAAATTGAAATTCACTTTATTTTTCCAGTTATAGCCAAATGCCCCATTTGCAAAGATGACATCCGTAGTTTAGACGATATCGTTGAAGACACGTGGACGGTTCCTATGGCCACAGCTCATAGCATGTCTGGAGGGGAGATGCTTTGCCATAACTGTGATGCCAATGCGCCGGCTACCAACTTCTGTGTAGATTGTCCAGGAGGGCTCTGTGATCCCTGCGTTCTGGTAAGTTGGTTGCTCTCTTAACCCATAGAGTACCGAAGCTGTGACATCATTCAAATCTATTTTTAGAATTTCTCAATTTTTTTTCCTTCATTTTCTGGAAGAGCATAAAAAACATATTCAATTGGTTTTCAAAATTTGGACATTATATTTGATGCGCTTTCGGAAAATGAAAAAAAAAGGAGAAATTCTAAAAATTGATTTTTGATGACGTCACACTCCACCACTATATCAGTTTAGAGTATCCTACTGATTAAATGAGTCAGTTCTTCCTCAAATTGGCAACATTTATTTGTATTTTTCACTCTTTCACAATAGATGGAATATAATAAGTTACATTTCATACAAAAACTACGCAGTGTTTCCATCATCCTTCAACAATGTTTAATACTGAGTCACTTTAAAGGTAAAGACCAGTTATGGTCATGCAATTGCATTGTGAAAGAAACGTTGTGGAATCGATCAGAAAAGGTTGATCATCTAGCATCTAGCATCTGCAAGGTTCTGGAATCATTAAAATGATAAGAAAATTGGCCCTTTCTTTGTAAAGTTACAAGCACTATACACAGAAAGATGTATATGGGACTACCCTATATCTCTCACAGACCATGAGAGAAACGAATTTACCAAATATATGAATTAGTAGGCGGTTTCCCCGGCAAATTTGTTATCATCATGTATTAGTCAAAACATATTCTTTCACATGATTGCTAATGAGAGCTTCCATTTCATTTTTTGAAATTGGGGCGTTTCCAATACTGGTCTTTACCTTTAAGTAACATTTGGGTCTCTGATTGCTCTTGTAGCTTCATGGGAAGGTACGATTCCTGAGAGACCACGTCATCCAACCAAGGTCCGAAGAGAACACGGTCAGCCACATCGTCCAGCCACCTTTCTGTACCATTCACCCCAAGGAAAGACTTCAACTTTACTGTGAGAAGTGCGTTAGACTGACGTGTCGGGATTGCCAGCTGGTGTCCCACAAGGATCATTCGTGAGTGTCCTGGGGGGTGTTTCACAAAACTTTTCATCAGTGACAAATGACAGTTTTTGTTATAAGCTACTGAAATCCTTGCTTCTGATTGGTTATCAGCAGATTTGTCACTGATTTTTGTCATTTGTCATTGTGAAACAGGCCCCAGTTATTCAATTCAATGTGGTTTATTAGAAATACAGTCACACCTGCTTAAGTGACCACCTGTCTACAAAGACCACATTTTGTTGTTTCCCTTGAAAATGGTTTCTCATTGAAACATGTCCTAAAGGAACCTGTACATGAAGACCACCTGCCTAAAAAAGACCACTTTTCTTGTCTCCCTTGGGTGGTCATCATAGACAGGTTTCACTGTACAAAGCAGTAGTCCAGGGACTAATTGCACAATGTATATAATGTAAAAATGGTCATAAAAATATGATCATTGATTGAAACATAAAGAAAATTAACGAGAAATTAAAGTACATAAAATATAGTTCTAAAGTAATTGCCTTTTCTTCGGAAATCGTATAGTGTGCAATGGGCTTTATACGAAACTCAGAGGTCCACGTTATTTGATTTCAAAGTGAGTTCAAGATTTGTCCATGCCATTACAAAGATTAAAGGGAAAGTCCACCCCCAAAATAAGTTTGTTTCGATAGAGGCAGAATAATAAGAAAATCAGGTGAGTGAAAGTTTGAGCAAATTCTGAATGAAAATAAGAAAGTTATGAATTAATGAAGTTGTGATCAATCAAATACAAATTGGCAACGCTGTGACTTATCATACGAGCTCTCCTTCATTTGCTCAGTGCATAATATTCCATAAAATCATGTTTTCTTCGTTATTGATGACGGCATATATATTTGTTCCTTGCAGGGGGAGTATAGAAACATATTTGCAATTATCATATTTAGGGTGCATGTATGGTTGAAATTTTTCTTGAGGGAAAATAAAAATTTTAGATTTTTTTAGTACTGAGCAAATGGAAGTTGAGCTCGCATGATACGTCATAGAGTTGCCAATTTGTGTTTGATTGATCACAACTTCAAAAATCCTAACTTCCTTATTTTTAATCGGAATTTGCTCAAACTTTCACTGACTTGTTTCTCTCATTTTTCTACTCCTATTAAAACTAACTTAATTTCAGGGTGGACTTTCCCTTTAAAGATTTGTCCATGGCAAATTAAATCCTAAGTTGTAGAAGTTTGTGAATAGTGAGCACCTCAAACCAATAATTCCCACAATATGAAGTACATGTGGTTCCTACAAAGAGGCCTGTCATTACCGTCCCCCTATTTTCCTATCAGGTACCAATTCTTAACGGAAGCAGCGGCCAGTCAGCGCTTGACCATGAGACGCTTCATCCAGGAACTGCAGGAGAAGCGGAAGAATGCCAAGGTGATGAAGAATAATATTCAGATCATCTACAAAAAGATGAAAGACCAGGAATCCATCATTCTCGGCAGGATTGATGAACTTTTTAACGGGTGAGATAAACGATGTGTTTCTACAGGGTGTCAGATACGTGGAGGGAGGGGGGGGGGCATTTTATGCTCCTCTTTTAAGTGTAGACCACTGACTAAATATTTTTTCTGGCCAAGGGGGGGGGGGGGGGAAGCTCTTTGATGGTTGTCTGTAGACTTAAGATTCCTTTGTAATCCGGGCCCTGTGTCATAATATTTGTAAATTAATAACAAATACTAAATTTCTGCCACAAATCTGCTCTAAGCCAATCAAATACAACAATTTCAATAGCTTATAACAGCTATTGTAACTCTTTATTGATAACAAGTTTTATGAAGCAGGGCCCAGAAAGGTTAAAAAGAGTAATGTGACTAAAGTTTTCGTTAATCTTTTGTATTTTAGAATAAGAAGCGCAATTGATGGCCAAGCAACTGCTCTGAAGACTAAGATCCAGAGCAGTACCGAAAACAAGTGCCGTACCCTGAAACAACAGCTGATTGAAGTTGGTACAGTAGATTCGGCTCTGAGTCAGTGCTACCGTGTCATCCACAATATCATGACCAGTGAGAACGATGTGGCAGCCCTGCAGCAGAATCGGCTGGTCAAGCGACGAGTGGACCTGGTGCTGAGGACACTTCTGACACGGCAACCCGTGACGGAACTGGCCCTCCAGTTCAAGCAAACGAACGTTCCGACGCGGGACGCCTTTAAGTCCATCGGCTCTATTGAAGGCATGGAGAGCAAGGTCCTCTTCGGTCCGCCAGGTCAGCAACAGATAAGACAGAACCAAGGGTTTCCTCATAACATGCAGCCGGGTTTGGCTTTAAACAGAGCTGCGCTGGTGCAACAGCAAGCGCAACTGCAAGCGCAACAGCAGGCGCAACAGCAGGCGCAACAGCAGGCACAACAGCAGGCACACATGCAACAACGGCAATTGCAACAGCAGCAAGGTATCAATCATGCTCTCTTTAGCCAGAGATCGATAGGTGAACAACTTGCCCGCGTCAACCGGCCTACAGTTTGTGCCCCAACTATCCACATCCCACGCGGACTTCAAGCTCAGCAGCAGCAGCAGGTCAGACCGGCCATGCAAACCAATATCTTGCCAGTGTTGACCAACCCACAAAACACAATGGGGATTAGACCTAGCACGTCCACTCAGCTCACCCATGGGCTTCCCACTTCCATGCAGCCCGTAGGTCCTCCGAACGTAACCGTCACCAGTGCTATGACCTTCGGAGATCTGACCACAGCTCAGAGGAAGCAGCTGATGGCTCAAGTCAAGCAGAATCAAGCGCTCAACGCAAGATCACCCCCTTCGGTCAGTCCCAGCGCTGCCACGGCCGTACGCAACACCAACTCCGCTTCACCATCCTCCATGGGCGCCACGACCGTACGCAACACCAACTCTGCTTCCCCGTCCTCTATGATCGCGCCGGCTAACGACACTTCAGGTCCGAGGATTCTCAGTGTCAAGAGCGAACGGAGACCTTCCAAGAGTGATTCTGAGCGATCAAGCTGCCGTTTTGAGAATCAGAGCAGTGGCAGCACTATGATAGGGAATGGTCTCCAGGACACTCAACCTTCCTCTTCAGGACTGGAGATGCAGCAGGGAAGTGATAAGACCAGGTACGCTGTCTAGTTGTTCAGTACTACAGGCATGTATGAAGTCATTAGCAAAATAGAATTAGCTAAAGATTTTTTGTTTTATGTTTATCTCTAAGGCATTATCAACAAAATCTTGTACTTGTAATAAACATCAGATACAGCTCATGAATGTCTGAAGGAGGTTTGCACTGATGTGGTAATGACAGGAATGTATTTTCTAGTTAAATGTAAGATTTTAAAAGGTTATACATTCCTTTTTCTCTGCTACAGCCCTTTCCAAATAATCTGGTAGGGCTGGAGGAAGCATATTTTTAGCCAATTAACAAGAGGACCTGATAAACTTGTTCAGATATGGCCGGTATGTTTTGTTACTTGCAAATAAATGGCAGCTGTGCGCGACAAGAGACTTGTGCGTATTCATTGAGCTCTGTGTTATAAGATAGAGAAATGTGATGCGTATCACACTTTAGGTCATCATAAAAAAAGTTGTGGTTTCGCCGCATCATACCCAAACGAGCCAAGAGGGGAAAGTTTCTATGAAGGGGTTTTTGTTCTTATCCTAGCCCCTTCACTTCCGTTACCCTATAATGCCATCTGTGTTCCGTCTGTTATAGGATCAAAGGTCATATTTTAGAGGCTGTCTTTTGTGCGCTCTAACTGCCACATTTCTTGACAGATTTCTTTCAAATTTTGTATGGATGAGTATTGTGATAGTGCCGGGGGATACATTTGCATTGCCACAATATTTCTAGTTATAATTATTATTCTTATATTCTTTAATCTTCAGTCCTGTCCAGTCAGATGTTCAGATGGGTGGAACGCCCGAAAGACCAGACCAGCAGATGGGCAGGACCCCACCCCTCACGTCTTCGGCCACGAGTCCGGACGCTTTGGAAGACATCCTCGGCATTGACCTTCCCGTCCAGGTGAACGCTTCGGACATCATTGGGGACATCATGGATGAGGTGGCACTAGAGACGAGAGACAGCGGAGAGTCCGCGGACAACTCAGATCCTGCTCCTACGAGGGAGAGTACATCGGAGGAAACATCTGGATCAGCAGCAGAGGCGTCGGGAGATGGAGCTGGATCTGTTGCAGAGGCATCTGGATCTGGAGCGGGATCCGTTGCAGGGGCTTCTGGATCTGGAGCGGGATCCGTTGCAGAGGCATCTGGAGATGGAACAGAATCTGTTGCAGAAGCATCTGGAGATGGAGCAGGGCCTTCTGGATCTGGAGCGGGATCCGTTTCAGAGGGATCAGGGTCGGGAGCAATTGCACCAGGAGAAGGCAGCTCCGGAGATCCAGGAGTCGTAGAAGCTTCAGGGTCTGGAGCAGCCAGAGCAGTAGGTAGCGAGGATGTTGAGAAACACGGCAAGGAAAAGCTGAGTCGTATCCGAGTCTTTCTGAATGAAATGGTGAGTGCTGCCATCAAATATAACTTGACTTCAGCCTCATTCAGATGATTTAGTAAACAATAGCGGTGTAATACATTGCTGGAAAAAAAAACTCCGGCTTTTATGACAAAAAGTAAGCCAACGGAAAGAACGAAATGAATGAAGAAAATGAATTGCAATATCACGGGACTTGAGAAAAAAAGAGAGAGATCACTACTTCTACTACTACTTCTACTGCTGCTGCTACTACCACTAACTACTACTACTACTACTACTACTACTATCACTATTACTACTACTTCTACTACTTCTACTACTATTATGCAAACTACTTCTATGTATACTACTACTTCTACTACTGCTACCACCAATGTTCTCTTTTTTTCCCTTTTTGTCCTCCAATAGGATGATAGCATGCATGAGGCAACCAAGGAGAGTATAGCAGCTTTCTGGAAAGGTGATGTCAGCTGGGAAGAGGTCAGTTTAACCCTTTAAGTGCCGTTGGTTTAAAGCCACACTGCACTACTTGCGCCCTCTATGTAGCAAACAAAGCCTAATCGGTCCCTGTTGGTCCCCCATGATCCCCTTTTTTTTAATGTTAATTGAAAGCTGATTTGATGAGATAACCACCTGTCAGTTACCTTGCAGGGTGGTCTAATCCCCCCTGGTTAAACTAGTACAGACAGGCTTTAAGCTGTAGCAGTTCAGAGTTTTGTTAAAGGGGAAATCCATCCTGACATTAAGTTGTTTTTTATTTTCCTCTTCTTTTGTCTACTCCCAAACACCATCACAAAAATGCATGACTCAGGAGGATCTTTTCTCGTGAGAGGATATATATTTAGCAAATAACTACCGCTGGTGAAGGTGATGGAACAAACTATCACTTCCGAGGCGATTTGGATGTAGCTATCTTTCCGAAGCGAAGCTGAGGAAAGATAGCATATACATTCTGATCGACGAGGATGTGATAGTTTGCCATCGCCTGAAACCAAAAGGTGATTATTTGCTTTATATTCCACATCTAAAACAATTTAACTACAAAAAGAAAAGGACGTGTATGCATCTACATAAAAGACACCATGCCCAAATTCACACCAAAAAAGTTAAACAGTTTATAACCCAACCCCTTGAGGGTACGGTGCGCGCATGTGTTTGTTTTAATTGCGCTCATTGGTAACGCGCACTTAATTACGCCTGTTTTAGTGCGCTTTTGGATAACCTTCAGTGAAAGTGCGTTGCCCTTTGTAGATAGTACCTCTATCTTCTGTAAAAGTGCGTTGTCCTTTGTAGTAGTACTATCTACAAAGGGCAACAAACTTTTTGCTTCTCCCATCAGTGATGGGCGAACTATCTTTGATCACATGATTTACTTATGACCAATCGTAGAGAAAGATTCTTAGTATGTGGAATATAAATATATATATATATATAAATATGATAGTATACTTTCCATGCTATTTTTTCAGCGTACAGAAACAACTTTCCTCCTCTTTCAACTTCTCCGCTACACCATCACCAAAAATATATGACTCGGGAGTGTCTTTTCTCGTTAGAGGATAAATAATGGAATGTTTTCCATGCTATCTTTGCAGAGTATATAAACAAATTTCCTTCCTCTTTTGTCTCCTCCCAAACACCATCATTACAGCGTGATGACCAAGGCAAGCCTAGGAGACAGGTGATTGTGGGAAGTCTGTATCGAATGACGAGCAAGAAGTACAGTCGGGAGGGGTGGCCTAGCAAACTCCACATCAAAATGATGCATTCAGGAATGCTCGTAAGTATCGTGATTTGAAAGTTTTTAAAGATAAACTTGAGTTCTGGTAAAAAAGAAAATGAATTCTCACAGAATCAAACAAAACTTACACTGAATGTTCAAGATTACAAATAAATGTCATTTGCCAAACAATGTTGGTAGAAAATATATACTGGATGAGTAATGAGCATAGAAAGATAAGGAAACCAAGGTATAGTAGCCCCGACACCATTTGTGTAGTCCCATATACATCTTTCTGCATACAGTGCTTGTTACTTTACCAAGACTGGGCCAGATTTATTATGATTTTGATGACTCCAGAACTTTGCAGTACACACCAATACTTACATGCTGCATGATCAACCTTTTCTGATCCATTCCACACCTTTTCTTTCACAATGCAATCGCATGACCAGAACTCAAATTCATCTTTAAATCACATCCAAAGGGAAAAGTTACCTGCAACAGTTTCAATGTTTAGAGTTCAAATATATTCCTGAGATTTAAGTAAGCTGCCAATTTTCCGATCGCCAGTATTTTTCTGCGTCATATATGTTAGATGGCTGATATTATGGTAAGTATAGTTGTCTGAAAGTCCTTATATCACATCCAAAAGGAAAACTTACCTGTGACAGTTTCAACGTCTAGAGTTCAGACATCTTCCTCTGACTTAAGTAAGCTGCCAAATTATCAATAGCCAATAGTTGTCATTTTGGTGATTACTGCATCGTATGTGTCAGACGGCTGATATTGGCGGCTTACTTCAGTCTGCCAATTCGTGTCTGAACTCTAGACATCGGAATTGCAACAGGGATTTTTTTTCTTTTGGATACATGTGATATTTTGAACCATTATTGCAACCGTCCTGATGGAACATAGAGATCAATGCAATCAATCTCAAAAATTAAATAATAATGATAATAATAATGAACGTTATTTGTATAGCGCATATCACTCACATAAAGAAAGTCCCTATGCGCTTAGAAAAGAAGGAAAAGGGCGGAATAAAAATGAACATTTATGCCTGATACATGAAAATAATTAATTACAAACAACAATAATGATACACAATTCCTACATAGCTTACATGTAATACATTGTAAATTCAGGTAATACAAATTTAAACATAAAAAAACATGACAATTAAATGAAAAATAAATTAAATATTAAATATGTACATACTATAACCAAAAAAGTCACTAAACAGCTGGAACAAAACTAACAATTTACGAAAAGATAGGTCTTCAACAGAGTTTTAAATGATTCTGTTCTGCTTGCCTGTTTGACAGCATCAGGCAAGCTGTTCCACAATTTGGCCGAAGAATTTCATTCCATAATATTTTGTTTGAGTGCTTTGAGCTACTAGGAGGGATTTACTATTTGATCTTAAGTTTCTGGTAGGGGTACATTGTAGAATGAGATCTTGGAGGTAAGACGGGGCTGTACGGTTTAGGCATTGATATGTCAGTAAAAGGATCTTATAATTAATACGGGACTTAACTGGCAGCCAGTGCAATTGTTTAAGTATGGTTGTTATATGTTCTCTGCGTTTAGTTCTAGTGATTAGTCTGGCTGCTGAGTTTTGGATTCTTTGTAATTTATTGGTGTGAACATCAGGAAGAGAATAAAGTAAACTATTGCAAAAATCTATGCGAGATATAACCAGGGCATGAACCAGCTGCTTAGTAGCTTCTTTGGTTAGGAATTGGCGGATTTTTCCAATTTTGTGCAGAGCAAACGAACTGGTTTTACATACATTATTGACTTGAGCTTTCATTGTAAGATTTTTATCTAGCTGCACGCCAAGATTTCTAGCGGCATCGACACATTTGATAAGGATATTGTCTATTTCTATGCCATCCATCTGGTTACTTTTCCTGAATTTGCAGGTGAAATGTAGAACCTCAGTTTTGTTACAATTGAGTTTAAGATCATTTTTATTAGACCAATTGATGATATCGTTCACACACACTTGTAGTCTGTCAATGATATTAGATTGCTCATTACTCTTTAAGGTTATATACATTTGAGTGTCATCCGCATACATCATACAGTTTATGTTGTGATGATCGATGACATCCTGAAGAGGAGCAGCATACAGACTAAACGCTAAAGGTCCGATGACAGTACCCTGAGGTACCCCATACCAGGTGTAGTAAGTACGCGACTGCGATTCCCTATGATTACAGAGTGTCTCCTGTTCTGAAAGTATGATTGAAACCACTTCAACGCATTCTTGCAGATTCCATAGCGCCTTTGTAGACGGGAGATCAATGTTTCATGATGGATGGTGTCGAAGGCTGACGAATAATCCAAAAGTAGTAACACAGCTTCATTTCCTCTGTCAAGGGCCAGCAGTATGTCATTAACAACTCGGAGAACAGCAGACTCGCAACTGTGATAGGGCCTATACGCGGACTGCATACTTGCATACAGGTGATTTTCTACCAGATGGTCTTGAATCTGCAAGTTCACCAGTCGCTCAATGGTTTTTCCCCAGGAACTGGATGTGAGCAATAGGTCTGTAACTTCCTAGGTCCTCTGAATCCAGTTTGCTAGCCTTTATCAGTGGAGAAATGTTCGCAAGTTTCAATACATCTGGAAAACAACCATCACGTAGAGACATATTTGCAATGCGAGTAATCACTGGACTTAGTTCATTTACACACTTCTTTACAAGATCAGTGGGCATAGGGTCTAAGCCGCACGTGGTAGAACGTGATCTGGTAATCAGACCTGCAACTTGACTGAAGAACACAGTCAAACTCATCAAATCTTTGGTCCGTTTCTACATGGGAAATATGAGTGAGGTCACTGCTGGAAGCATTATCAAGTGACTTGATAATATTTTCAGATTTCTCAGCAAAGAATGAACAGAATCGATTAATCATACAATCGATTGCTAAGCAATGTGTTACTGAGCCCAGTTCTTTGAAATGGAGGATAAATATTGATGCATTTTATGATGTTAACAACAATAATGGTGATTATGATAATAATAATGATAATAACAACAACAACAATAATAATAGATGTGTTGTAGACCTATGTTTTGATATTTAGCACTGTGTTTTCATGTTTTTCCATTCTTCAGAAACCCTTGATTGATTTGATGAGGGATCATCAACTCTTCTTTCTCAAATGTGATCAGGAATGTAAAGAACTCTATCGAAAACTGGTTGCTATCTTCAAGAATAAAGATGTGGTAAGTATTTAGAGTTTTAAGACAAATATGGTGTCCTTGTTTCGTGGTCTAGTGGACACGTCAGTAGACTAGAATACATGGTTCCTGGTTTGAGTCCCAGAATATTGCCCAGGGAGCAGAGCATGCACACTATCATGTGCGGATTAGCACTCAAATCCAACAACCTTGGTAATAATGAATACAGTGTAAAGCGCTATGCAATCGTGACTACCAGTATTAATATTATTTGGGTAAAGTTGAATGTTTGTGGAATCGAATGGCCAGTAAAATGATATGCCTGCCAGGACACTTGGTAGTCATTGATACAGTTTGCTAGATGGATGATTTAGAAGAAAAGCTGTTTTCTTTGTTTTGGTTTTACCTAAAAGGAAAATAAATTGCATGTGATACCATATAGAGTTGTAGCAATCAGGAGCCCCTTTTCATTTATTTCGGCTAAATATTAATAGCTCCATACTTGATTTACTTTGAATTTTTTTCATGCTGGGCATTGTTTTTCTTCTTCTTTTTTTTTCTTTTTTTGCCAAGGATAATAGTGCATATAATAACTGTTTCCCCCCCCTCCTCATTTTTTCCTCCATCTCTTCCCCCTTGCCATCTTCCTCGGTCTCCCCCATTTCTCTCCATTCTCTCTCTATCTTTCTCTCTCTCTTCTTTTTTACTATTCTCTCTGTCCTCTATTCTACCTCCTCTCTCCCTCCCCTCCTTCTCTCCCTCCCCCCCCCCCCTCTCCCCCCCCCCCCCCCCCCCCCCCCCCCCCCCCCCCCCCTTCTCTCCCTTCCTCCTCTCTCTTTCTCCCATCTCTCTTCTCCTTTCTTAAACTTCTTTCTTTCATCCTTTCCCCTCCCCTTCCCTCCCCTCCCCTTCTCCTCCCTTGCTCCCTCTTTTTTCCCTTCTGTTTCTGTGTCTCCCTCTCCGACTCCCCCTCTCTCTTTCTGTGTTGTGTCTCTCCCTTGCCTCTCTCCCATTCTCCATCTCTCTCCCCCTCTCTGTCTTTCCTATCCAACAGTTTGGTGCCATTCGACTGTACTCCAAGCCAGAGATTATCCTCTTACTCTTCTACTCTCACAAGCATCAAAAGTTCTTCATCGTCTGCCCCCAACAGAGGGAGCAATTCTCTATTGGCTTCGTCAAAACCATGGAAAAGTATTTCAAGGTGCAGCGCAAAGGAGCGGTGAGTTTAACATTTTGATGATGATGGCTTCTTGTAAAGCACTAGTATCCACCTCTGCAGGGCACTTCTGACGCTTACTCTACAATGTCTCACACATTTAACGCTCTTGGGCGTGTCTTGTAAAGAGATACGATTGATTCAAATCAAGCTCAAGTCCTCCTTTCAATTGCAAGTTTGCAGTCTCCTAACTCTTATCTACAAAGTTGCGATTGATATCAACTCTTTGTTAGACGGGGCCCTTTTCAGTGTTGAAGGTTATTTTCTCTAAGTCTGTTTTTAGCATTGTTGTTGTTGAGATGATGTCATAGCTGGGAACAGGAAATTCTTGAGGGCTGGCTGACATGACCTTTGACATCTGTAGAGGCAGAAGGCTATTCCAGTTCTAGGACAATCACCCCCTGGCCAATTATCCCCCCCCCCCCCAAGAACAATTATCCTCAAGAAAATTACCTTCCAAGGACAACCACCCCACCCCCCCCCCCCATAAAGTCATTATTACCAATAGAAAAATAAAAACCAACTGATTATCAGGGTGGAATTCCCATTTAATAGACAGGGGGTAATTTTCCGGGTGGTGATTGTCCAGGGGGTAATTGTCCTGATATGGCTATTCCACTCTGCCAAATTTTCAATGACCATGTAACTTGTGAATTTCTGACCATGAGAGCAACACATGGTATTATAAGTTTGTCTGGATATTATTATTATTATTTCTTCAGTAATTGTGATTGCCAGCACGTTATAGTTGACTAAAACGTTGGTTGTTCATACAATGCATCTGCGATATAAAGCTAATGATTCAGGAAAGCAGCCAATCTGTCTTGGAGTGTTTGAGTTGATGCCCTTTGGACTGCAAGTATACAAATTCTTGTGTTGTCTGCGACGTAGATTCCATTTTGAGGGTTCAGTGACACAAAGATTTAACTCCATATTTTGCCAAAATTAGTATTTGATATCAAAATGTTCAGAAAATGTTGGCTTTCCAGGAAACACAAAAACGTAACTCCACCCAACACCTCATTGAAGTCAATGCCTAGTGAAACATAGAATAACTCCTGAAGGCCCAAGTGCTCAGTGATAAATAAACCACTTTTTCTCATATTGGCCAAAATGGAGTTACGTCTATGTGACACTGACCCCTGGATTTGATGTCATTTGAATTTCATTAACTTTGATAGAGTGACAAACCAAACCCAGAATCTTCCACGGTCAGTACGGCAGACGGGGACCCCGGCACCAGCGAAACAGCACCCACTTCAGGTGAGAAGCGACCAATCGACGAGGACGTTCCAAGTACGAGTCAGGCCGGGACGAGCAGGAATGGCGAGGAGAGCATAGAGCCCATACCAACGTGGAAGCAGGGTTATAAGCTTCGTAACGGCATGCAGTGCTCGCGGTCGGACGACCCCAACGACGATTGGTGCGCCGTCTGTAACAACGGTGGTAACCTGGTGTGCTGTGATAGGTGTCCGCGCGTCTACCATCATGAATGCCATGTCCCGCTGATTAGCGAGGTCCCAGAGTGAGTTGACAGAGGTCGAGCTTGATCCACGATCATTCTCCCTCTTCTTCCTTCTACTTCTTTTCTTCATGGATGTAATTTAAAGAGAAGGTTTAGTTCTGGGGAGAGGTGATAATAATTTGTGAGGTTATCATTGTTATTATGGAAGTGTGGAAGAACATCAGATTAAACATGTTCTCTGAAAAGCATGGTTCTTCAAATGCCTCCATATTCTAAATATGACAAGTAACAGTTTAAAAATGAGGCCTGATTTTTATGCCACATGTTTGTGTAGTCCCATATAAATCTTTCTGTGTAGAATGCTTGTTATTTTACCAAGACTAAAAGCAGTTTGGAAAGGTGAATTATGCAGTTCATAAGGATCGGTGTATACAGAAAGGTTTGAAATCACCAAAATGAGAAGAAATTTACTCACTCTCTCTTAAAAATCACATGGGTATATATGGGACTACGCACAATTGATTTGATTGTGTGATCCAAGCTTTACAGCTGTTTCTCCTCATATTTCAAATATGAGGGCATTTGAAGAGCCATCCTTTTCAGTGAACATTTTTACAATTTCTTCTGACATATAAAGAATAAGAAAGCTCCCAAATTATTTTGTTCATCTTTAGTAGAATGCCAGGTGAATTTCTTTAGGTTGATTTAAACATTCTAGCTGTACAGAAATATTTCTTCAAAGTAATTGTTACACTTTAAAGCCCCACTGTACTACTTGTAGTTACTTGCTACCTCTATATGAAAAAACAATGCCTAATCTGCGACCATTGGTCCCCCATGATCCACTTTTTCTTATGTTAAAATGAGAGTTGAATTGATGAGATAGCCACCTGCCAGTGACCACGCAGGGTGGTGGTCTAATCCCTCCTGGCCAAACTAGTACAGACAGGCTTTAACATGATTTTTCAAAACTTTCTATCAAGCAGGGATGATGACTTTGATTGTACCTTATGCTTTGACGTGGTAGCTGATGAGGAAGAAAACGTCAACAATGAAAACGCTGAAAAATTAGAAGGCTTCACCGCTAGAGAGTTCAAGGTACTTTCATTATCTAGAGTTCAATTTGATTTGATTTATTTATTTCTGTTCGATTTTCTTTTTCTTTTGCAGTTTTACAAATATATAACAAACAAATCATTGCAAATTCTATACATGATAAAAGAGTATAATTAGGATAAAGTACTGCTGGCTGTAACTAATCGAAAACATCAAACAGTTAGAGGGACATTTTTATCTAACAAATATCCTATTGATGATAGGGTTCTTGTATAGCGTTCAAGTTCGTCAGACTGGCGCCCCATTATATTTACCCTGCTTTAGCACTGCTGCCATGACGGTGCTCTAACTTTTTAAAGAATTAATTCCTGCCGGATCCCCATTTACTTCTTCTTCTTCTTCTTCCTGTTCTTCATCTTCATCTTTTTCTTCTTCTCCTCTTCCTTCTTTTTATCTTCCATCTTTGAGTAATTTGTATTATTGTGATGGATTTGATGTTGCTGTACTACTTAAAGGTATTGTTTAACAACGCAAAATCTAAGATGCATGGCCTTACCTGTTATTATCATCTGTGATGTGTAAAAGTGAAGCCCTAAAAAAATTGCGCTTCGAAATGATTGACTTGTAAAAGTCATGGGATTCCTGACTGACCTAAAGGTTTATAATTATGATTGCAGCATGAGCTAAATCCAGGATTTTGTTTCAGAATATGAGGCAATGTTCCTGAGTAACTTTAAGATTTTTGTTATGCTTTTTATTTTCCATACAGCTATGTCAGAGGTTACTTCTTGAGATGTATTGCCTGGAGGATTCGCAACCCTTCTTAGAACCTGTGGGTCCAGAGGTATGTATGCCTAGATCATTCTAAGGGGAGTGGTTCACAAAGACTAAGATCGACTTTAAGTTGGACTTGACTATGGCAGGCAGTTCATGCCACTGTTTGCTCTCACCATAATACTGGCATTGGTCTCTAAAGGGACAGAATTTACCTTATTTGATAGTTCATTATTGGAGGAAAACATATTATCTAAAGATCATAATTGAAAAACCAATAGTGAGAGCAACCAGTGGCATGAATGGCCTTTCAAAGATAAGTCCAACTTAAAGTCGATTTTAGTGTTTGTGAAACAACCCCCTCACCTTGTTTTTAAAAGAATTTGAATTTTGAAAGACAATGGATGGAATTAATTCTGAACTGTTTATTGATGGAGTAAATGATGATGTTGATAATAATAATACATGTGGCAGTGATGACAATAATGATAGTGTTAATGATGATAATGATGATGATGAAAATGGTGGTGAATATGTAAATGGTGATTATTATAATCATCAAAATCACAATCTTATCTTCTTCATCCTCATCATTAAAATCATCATTATTGTCATCATTATCATTTTGATCACCATTATCATCATCATCATCATCATCATCATCATCAATATCATCACCAACATCATTTTCATCATGAATATCATCATCAGCATTATCATTTTCATCATCATCGTCACTATCACCAACTTCATGAACAATATTATTACTATTTGTCTACTATTTACAACTAGGCGTTGTGGCATGCGCCTGTAATTCAGCTAACAATCGAAGTTACAAACTGATTCAGCCGAGGACGCAGGTTCGAAATTGAGTCACGTCTTTCGGATGGTGACGTTTAAAGGTCGCTCCCAGACGTAAATAATCATATCTGATTGATACACTTCTGTAAAAACCAAATACACACACACACACACACACACACACACACACTGTAAATATAAATAAACCAATAAATCCAATGTACCTCTCTTTATCGTAGGTGACTGGCTACCTTGCAATCATCCCAATCCCTATGGATCTATCTACCATCAAGAGCAAACTAATCCAATGTACCTCTCTCTATCCTAGGTGACGGGCTACCTTGAAATCATCCCAATCCCTATGGATCTATCTACCATCAAGAGCAAACTGAGCCTGACCTCACCAAATAAGTACTTCTCACCCAGACAGATGGTCGAGGACCTACGGGTCATGTTCACCAACTGCTACCAGTATAATGGGGTGAGTCAACATGAGGCGTTTTTACTGTTTTTTAGAAAAAAATGTTTCATGAAGAAAACAAAAATTATTAAAGCATTCAAAACTGAGAAATATCAGCCAAAAGAGGGAGAAAAAAAATTCTGACCGACTGACCCATGTTTTTGGCACCGAAAGGGCAATACAACATCTTTTTTTAGGCCTAAGTGGGTGCTTTAAACCTTGGGAACTTACAACCAGTATAGTTGGCAGATGGCCAAGGACCTACGGGTCATGTTCACCAATTACTACCAGTATAATGGGGTGAGTCAACATGAGTTGGTGCTTTAAAGGTACTATGTCCAATTTGCAGGCCCAAAAAATAAAAAGGTTAAATTCCAAATGCATTTGAAAGATAATACTAGTTGAGAACTTTCCTCAAAACAAAAGGGCTTGTAAATGTGTTTAAATGGGAAAATAACAACCATTAGTTGTTGAATCAACTTACGTGATTGCAATCACTAAAGTCATAGTTTGATTTTCAGAACCTTGTACCAAATTATGGCCATTGCAAGAATCGGGTTATTGATGTAGACAAATGCTCATGTACCCTTTACAGCTCATTTTATGTATAATATTACCAAAGAAAAAAAAAAAAGTCAGTCAGTCACTCAATAGGGTCTGACAGTCAAGTCTACGAAGTAAACAAGTTTCCTTGCATAATAAGAATTTTAGGACACTGCTAACGTTTAATTTTCACAGATAGGACATACGTTACATGTTCATAATTCCTGCAAAGTTTTACAGAATTTGATGTTGGTTGCAAATGGGACATAGTACCTTTAAACCTTGGGAACTTACAACCAGTAATAGTTCGCAGGTGGTTTAAGACCTACGAGTCATACCGTAATAAGATGCCGTTCTTGTATAGCACATATCAAATTAGGATATAACGTTGATGTGCATCCAATTATGTTCACCAATTGCTACCAGTATATCTATATTCTCATCAATTGTATTATTCTGTATCCATTTGTATCTTGCTGATGTTTATAATCTGTAAATTTGTATTGACATGCAAACGGACAAATTTTCAATAATTGGACAGTCAAATTTGAATTGAATTGAATAATACGGTAAGTAGATGAGTAGAAACATTGAAAATTGGTTTACGAAATGCACAATGGAATCTGTGAATCTCAACTTTTGCCATTTTGCCCTTTATCTGTCACTTAGGAGACATCGGACTTGGGTAAGATAGCCCAGCATCTACAGCGCTACGCTTCCCGCTTCATGAAGCGCTACCTCCCAGAGTACATGGACTCCAACTTTGTCTCGTCCGCCAACCAGAGACACGAAGATCGGCCGAACAAGCGAAGGAAACAAGAGCACCCAACACCAGTATTTCACATCAGATAAGATACCTCCATAAGATGTGGTCATGTGATGCTAGTGAACCTTGACCTCCGATGACAGATTTTTCGTAGGAACTATTCGTAGGTGATAATCCTTTATCTGCAAACATTGAGAGGATATCGGCTAACCTGTTGTGATGAAGTAAACAGCATCCCATCATGCTTTACCCTTGGAATGTAATAGAGTGATTCTGTTTCCATGGTTTCTAGGATAAGGGTAGGACTTGACCGCCATAGCTGCTGGTCATCCAAGAGCTTAAGAAGAGAGGGTTATGTCTTATGTAATCAGACAGGTGGATGGCTGTCTCTGAAGCAAGGCTGGAATATTTAGACTAATGTTTAGCATAGTTGATGGCCCCCATGTGATAGCTGCTGACAGTGAGGGCACACTTCCATGTTCAGCTCTCTAAAATGGTGTACAGCTTCTGCCGACAGTATGAAGATACTTGAGTGAAATTGAAGAGGAGCCATTTTACATACTGCCTTCCAGTGTATAAAGCATTGGTCGTGTTGTAGTTTGTGAATGTTTTGGTCTTGTACAGCCAGTAGAAGGATCAAAACTAGACGCCCAACGGTAATCTCCACATGAGGAATTACATGAATTACATGGAGTATTGAGCGCGGCAATGTAGACAAGACAAACTAGGTTATGTTGACAGTATTATGATACCTTAACAAATATAGCATTGCTCATCATGTAGTTTGTGAATGTACGTTTGGTTTGCGGCAGTCTGTAAGAAAATGGTCAACAACCCGAAGTGTAATTTGTAGTGGTGGTTATTTTACCTGACTGCTAAGAAATCATAAATGCTAGTTAGTAAGCAACCCGAGGTTCCGACGGCTTTAGGTCCTTTCCGAGAGACCTGGTAATGAGGATTAATGCCTTACCAAAGGGCACTAGTGCATCGCCTTGGTTTTGAACCCGGGTCACCAGATTATGAGACCACTGCTCTACCAACTGAGCTGTCGAGCTTCCTCAGACGGCAATCTTCAGTTCCTGTATGTAAGGAGTTGCCGTACGAGGATGGCGTATTGAGCACGGCAATCAATCTAGATGGGCAAAGGAGCAAAAAAGACTGTAACCATGCAGGCAGAAGAATGGTGAAGGACCACTTCTTGGCTAGAGGCAGAGAACCTGCTGTTCCGTTGTCTGAGATGTAATATATGAAGGTGTATTAGTGACAAAAGGCAGTCAAGTAGATGATGTGATTCAGATCACCTATCTAGCATTACTTAGATGTCTATGGAATTGTGTGGAGGAGAAGTAAACAATTCAAGAGGGATTGAATTAAAAGTATTGTTGGTAGCAGAGTGTAGCAAGGTGCCCATGCTCCCCTTGTGTTTGTACAATAGCGCCTGACCGGAATACTCCCCAGGGAGCAGAGCGTGTGCACTATCATGAAGTGCTTTGAAACGTAGTATTGAGCGCTATACAAATGTGACTATTAGTATTATTTTTATTGTGCGTTTTGGTGGGAGCTATTTTTATCTTGTACATTTCTAGATAACACGCATTTGTAAAAGTCACAAATAGAAGACAGCACTTAGGTCAAGTTGTGTGGGACATGTGTATTTAACTGAAATGTATTTCATTGTAGATATTTATCCCCATGAATTACTGTACATGTATTGTTCCTAGGTTGCCTCAATGCAAGGCATTTCATAGCATTTGCCTCCTTTTACCCAGGTTGAGCAAATGAGGTTATTTCATGCGAGTATTGTGGTATATGGTGTCTTCTTTAAAGGTAAAGACCAGTTATGGTCATGCGATTGCATTGTGAAAGAAACGGTGTGGAATCGATCAGAAAAGGTTGATCATCTAGCATATAAGTATTGGTGTGTACTGCAAGGTTCTGGAATCATCAAAATGATAAGAAATTTGGCCCATTCTTCGTAAAGTTACAAGCACTATACACAGAAAAATGTATATGGGACTACCCTATATCTCTCACAGACCATGAGAGAAACAAATTTACCAAATATATGAATTAGTAGGCGGTTTCCCAGCAATTTTTTTATCATCATGTATTAGTCAAAACATATTCTTTCACATGATTGGTAATGAGAGCTTCCATTTCATTTTTGAAATTGGGGCGTTTCCAATACTGGTCTTTACCTTTAATACTTAACATGTACCGGTAATTATTATTTGATCTGTATTCAGAACCTGCCATGACTGGCCAATTGGCATTACTTCTGAATTGCCTGTTTTAACCCAGGTGAAGCGGATATATATATATATATATGATAGGGTTAGAGTGGTATGTGCTTTTATTGGACATAAGGCCTACTAACAATTTGGAGGTTTCAAATCCCTGGATTTTAATTCTGCAAGGAATTTTAGATTTAGTGGCTCTCTATACCCAAGGGAGAGAATCATAGGAGTAATGTGGTTCATACTCTGACTGTACGCTAAGCTCTTTGTCTTCACCGACAAACTGACCCACACCGACCCTGGTTTGAAAGGGAGTCATGTCTTTCGGATGCTGACATTTATGGTCGATCCCTAGATGTAAACAATCGCATCTGATTGATACACTTCGGTACAAAACCCAATTTTACACATATGCAAACACACACTCGTTCAAAATTTTGCAAGTCCCACTTGTTTTATTGTTTTCTTCTTTCTTTTGAAACAAGGTGTGAAATTTAGAAAGAAAAGTCCTCATTTTAAGTGTTCATTGAAGTGAGGTGCTCTGTTTTACTGGAAAGATTTGGTGCATTTTCAGCATTTATGCAATAAAATAAAAGATTGTATATTGCCAGATCAGTTTATTTTTCACCCTAATATTATTGATGCAAGTTGAATTGAAATTTCATTTCATATAATTTCCTGAATCTTTCGATTTAAAATTTTGAATTATTTTAAATATTTTGTTCAATTCTCCTAAATGTGGTCCAAATGTGGTCCAAATGTGGTCACAACGAACTATGGCCTAAAAATGCATGACCTTTGTGTGGACTGAAGTTATCTGTGGCTCAGAGAATGTGTATCATACATTGTGCCCTATAAAAGACTTTTAATAATGATGAATAATTTACTACCCTCTTCGAAGGCGGTTTTGTACAGTGTATATAGCGGATATAATGTCACTTGTCTATTTATAGGAGGCCGGGTACATGGAAGTACCAATGTTTTGTATCATATACATGTATGCTTGTTATCTTTTAAACTCTGCTTAGAGCGAGATGGGCATTGCCTCGTGTTGTTTAAGGCTTGTTAAGATATGATGCCACAAAACTGCAGGCGGCTTTTCAGTGATCAGCGATGTAAAGTGCTATACACTCGCATTTCTGTTTCTTGTAACACAGAGCTCAGTGAATACACGCAGGACCTCTGTTGCACGCAGTTGCCAACTTGCCATTCATTTTCATAAACGGTGGCGGCTTGTTTTGCAGCGTTTTACCGTGTCGTATCTAAACGAGCCTTTAACATCCTGGCTCTCAACGGATGATGTTGTTATGACCCGTTTCTTGAGCGCTGCTTACTTTATCTTCTTTTAGTTTATACCTTCTTTTAGTTTATACCTTTCATGACATTCTTTTACCCCAAAGCTTTCTCATTTACTCCTTATCATGTCTTAGGCCAACTTATTTCAACGTAAATTATATCACACTGATCGACATTATGTATGTTTAAAGTATGTATGTTTGAAATATGTTATAGAAATCAATCAATCAAATCAAATCAATTTTTTTTTTTTTTTTTTTTTTTGGGGGGGGGGGGGGGGGGTTTCGCCAAAATAGTGAATCATATTGGTGAGCATGTAATAACACAACCCAAGGCAAACTTATTTCATCCTGCCTTTAGGTTTCGCCTCCCAAAATGAAACAACTTTCCGAGCATGTAATAAAACTTCCTTCCCCATTAAAATGTTACCAAGATGTACCTACATGTAGTCATTATTTGAAGATGGTAAAATCACAAGTTTGCGCAATAAATTATAGTACATGTATTATAAAAAAAGATTTGTTATCAATTTCATTGAAATGCAAAAGTTATCCAGAGTTTTTTGAAATCCCTATAGTATACTGGAGTCAGAATTAACCCAATTCTTTGACATTTCTTCCTCCCAATGTGAAAAATGAATTTGTGAAATTATTTGAATGTCTACTTAGCCTTGTGTCAGTCATGTCGATATATTTTACAGTTCAATGCCAAATAATACTTTGTGCTAGAAGCGCTACTTGTGAATTTGGTTGCATTTTAGAATACTCTTTCATTCGCTTTTGTGATGATCAGTCTCTTGTCTGTGTATCCTCTCGATTCCATTGAAGCTAAATTAAAAGATGAAATATCTTCTTTGTAGATGTGATTATCATTTTGTATTTTTTTTTTCTCTCTTTGTCTCCATCTGTCACGGTCTCTCCATCGCTCTCTCTGCCTCTCTCTTTCTTTCTGAGTTTCTTCCTCTCTTTTTCTGATGATGGATTATTGGGAGAATGTTTTGGTTTGGTCAAGGACTTTGATTTGGAGGGGGGGGGGGGGAGGAGATATGAGCTGGAGAGGGTGAGACAAGAGATGGTGAAATAAGAGATGGAGAGAGCAAGATGGGGACAGATAGAGAGAGAGTGTGAGGAGAAAGGAACAGATAAGCAGAGAAGGAAAGATGGATACACGGCCTGCAAATGATATAAAGAGACGAGGCATCTATAATATTTTAAAAAGGAGGGGGAGAAAAAAAACCTGGGGGTGTTTCACAAAGATTTTAAGTCAAACAGTTGGACTTAAAAAATTGGAGAGCCATTTGTAGCCTTATAATGAAATATATTAAAGAAGCAAAAATTGAAGTATTTTAGACTTTTCATTAATTCCACATCAAGAACATGAAATTTCCTTGATAATAGAAAATATAAATGATTTGAATCAACATTTTATGCCTTTTAAAATGACTTTTACACAATATTTTCAAAGATACTAATGGCTTTCCATTAAGTTCAACTTAGGATCTTTGTGAAACACCCCCCTGGACACATTCACTGAAAAGATATGTAAGACAGTTTAACAATGCCTTTGTAAATTACAGATGTACCAACACGAGATGGAGAAAAGATATGGAAGGAAGGGAGGAGAAATTCTGATGATACATTTTTTTTAAAGTATCACAAGATTGAATAAAAAAATATGGGACTACCGGTACACAAACATGTGGCGTAAATATCGGCCTCATTTTTAAGCTGTTACTTGCCATATTCAGAATATTAAGGCATTTGAAGAGCCATGATTTTCAGGGAACATGTTTTCTCTGATTTTCTTCCATACTTGCATAAAAATAATGATAACGCTCACAATTTAATTTTCACTTCTCCGCAGAACTCAACCTTCTCTTTAGGTTTAATGTATTTAAGAATGTACAACTAGATATTGATACACATTTCAAACTGGAATTCAAAAGCAATATCGTTTTATTTCTCACGATAAAAATAAAAAAGTTACTGTATGCTGCACTTACACTCATTTTAGCACTGACAATTCATATTTCGAATATGCACACAGAATCACTTTACAATAATAAATGTAATGGAATTACTGTAATTATCAATTTGAAAATAGCATTTACAGAGAAATAATGAGACTGGAAAAATCAGAGGATTACACTACCAAATTCAGAATTAATTTGTAGGAGTTTTGAACTCCAAAATAAATGAATAACTATTTAAATGAAGATAGACCTTCACTGAGCTAACAAATCCATTATTAGTTCTGCTATTTATCAATTCTTTATCTGAGGAGATTACAGTTCACATCAGTAAACTCAGAATTTTTGATAATGTTGCGCGATAGCTCAGTCGGTAGAGCAGTGGTCTCGTAATCCGGTGACCCGGGTTCGAAACCAAGGCGATGTGCTAGTGCCCTTTGGTAACGCATTTATCCTCATTACCAGGTCTCTCAGAGAGGACCTAAAGTCGTCAGCCGTCTGGTTGCTTACAAGCATTTATGCTTTCTTAGCAGTCAGGTAAAATAACCATGATGATGATGTCACAGTTTCATGCAGCATAAAATGACTTTTTGTTATTTGCGAAGAGTCTTTCCTTGAAAACAGCCATTATTAACAATGCCTTCACCTCATGGAAGTTTCTTGATTTAAAAAGGTAATTTTGTTTCACTCAGATACAGCAAATATGGGAAATCTATTTTGTTTTTCTTTTTGTTCTGTTGAAGAAAAAAAATTAGCATTTTCCTGACATTGTACAAAAATCTTAGCTCAAATTTCTGTTAAAGGTAATATAAAGTTTTGGGAATTTTTGAAAATTGGATGGTGGTGATTCTTTTCAATTTTGATATATTTGGATGCCCCTGTGGATGTAATATAAGCACTAGAAAATTTAGCCCCTAAAACACTTCTGCTTTCAAGAAAAATTGAATATAAAAATTTACCGGTGCTCCCAGTAAATTTTGATTAATTTCAAATAGCGCCATACGGCCGTACAATGGTAGCTGCAACCATGAAAATCTCAGAATATGTAGTTGTGATATATAATTTCCAAACAGGAATAGCTAATCGGTCGATTTTAGTCAAGAAACATTGTTTTATAGCTTAATTAATATCTTGACCTTGAGAGGAAGCTATACAACATAAAGAGTTTATCATTTATAATTTCATAACTTTAGAATCGATTTCAAACGTGACAACGATCACTGAATATTGTAGGATTGCATATGCTTCCAATATGTTCGTTTGAACCAAATACATGACCCCATACCAAAACTTTGTATTACCTTTAAAACATTTTACTCTCTCATATTGTAAAAGCAGTATATGAAAATCAAATCACAACGACGAGGATACAGGATTGTATGAAAAGGAGAGGGGGTGGGGGTGGAGGGTTCTGGAACAGTTCATGATAGACCAATCCGGTTTCCGTGCTACAGCAGGAGATGGTTTAATGTCTCATGGTTATTAATGTTAATTGTTATTTGTTATTGTATAATTGTTTTAAATGGGGGCACGCTACAAGAGTCTTATCTCGCACCCCAGGGCAACGTGTCTGACACGGCCGGTTGTAGCAACTACTCCAAAGATCAAGATTTAATCTTGATCTAAGGAGACACAAACGAACGTTGTAATCACAAAGGTGCCTGGCCATCCCAGAACTATAGTAGGAATACTTTACCCATTATGTAATATTCTAGATGCCCCCTCAGAAACTGGTGTATCATATGTCTAGATAGCGTAACATATAGTGTCTGGAACTAAAGAAGGGGAAGGGAGAGGGGCACGGCTGATATATTCCCTTATATGTGGGTCAGCCATTGTGCTAGGGTTGTGAAACACAGCACCAAATTGAAAATATAGTCTTTACAAGTAAACTGCAGTTACGTAAAGAAGCAGAAGTCGTATCTTTCTTTCCTTATTTCACGTCAATGGGCCACAAAGCAGGATGCAAACATATTTAGCGGCCAGCCAATGGTAGCATAGTCAGAGGTCAGAGATCAGAGGTGAAAGGTCATCTGTCTGCTCCTGTACGGCTGTCGCTTTGTGCAGCTTGTGAGTAGAGGGCTGTCAGCTTTTGGCAATATTCAAGTTCCTCCTAGAAAATGAAACAACGAAACAAGCATTAAGCATTGTCAGCTATTAAGATCACTGATTTCACTGTTCTTTCTGACTTGTGTTTACTTTCTACATAAGTACACATAATGAGTGTGAATTTTTTAAACTGAGGTGACATCATTTTGTTACTAGTACTCAAAGTTTTACAGATATCATATATTGAAAACACTTTTTAAAATCTACAACCCAATTTAAATTTCATTCCTTTCTAAATGAAAAGTGTAATAGCTAACAATTAGGACAGCAGAAGGAAAAAAAACAGAGGGAGAGAGAGATAACAATAAAGAAAAACAAGACAAAAAACATAAATGGACAGAAGAAATAAACATGAGAGTATCTGACCTCATCCAGGTGGATGTTAATACCATAGGGCTTGTAGAAGGGCCATTAAGGACATGAAATGTCCAACCCAACAACGGGGGAAAAACAGACGTTAAAGGTAATACAAAGTTTTGGTATGGGGTCATGAATTTGGTTCAAATGTACATATTGTAAGCATTATGTGATCCTACTATATTCAGTGATCGTTGTCGCGGTTAAAATCGAGTCTAAAGTTATGAAATTACGAATATTAAACTATTTATGTTGTATAGCTCCCTCTCAAGGTCAAGATATTAATTAAACCCTGAAACAATGTATCTTGATTAAAATCGACCGATTAGCTATTACCGTTTGGTAATTATATATCACAACTACATATTCTGAAATTGTCAGGGTCGCAGCTACCACTGTACGGCCGTAGGCACTATTTGAAATTTATCACAATTTACCGGGAGCACCGGTAAATTTTTATATTCAATTTTTCTCGAAAGCAGAAGTGTTTAAGGGGCTAATATTTTTGGTGATTATAATACATCCACAGGGGCATCCAATTATATACAAATTGTAAAGAATCACCATCTACCCAATTTTCAAAATTTCCCAAAACTTTGTATTACCTTTAAACAATGTTGATGAGACAGAAATAGAAGGAAAGAAGAAAGGAAAGAACAAGGTGTATGACACTGAGAAACCAGGAAGAGGGAGGAAGAGAAAGCACTGGACCCTGTTTCATAAAACTTGTTATCAATAACAAGTTACAAAAACTGTTATAAGCTACTGAAATCGTGGCATTTGATTGGCTGAGAGCAAATTTGTCATAGAAATTTAGCATTTGTTATTGATAACAAGTTTAATGAAACAGGGCACTGTATTAAAATGAATATGATTGGAGCAAAACTAAATGATGAAAGAGAAAAAAAAAAGAAAAAAGAGTATTTACCAAATACTCCTCCTTTCCATTGAGCTCCCCCGTGCGTTCCTCAAGAAACCCCCGGAAGTTGAGATCCGGGTGCAATGAGTCGGCATGGCAACCAGGATGCTGGGAGACGAGATGAAGAATGGCTGACATAACATGCTCGTGATACATCTTGTGTTCCGTCTGGAGCAGAGAGATGAGCTGCTGAACCATACCCATACTGTGCAACGTTTCTGCAACATAAAGAAAGAAATAAATACACTTGAATGTTCAACAGTGTGCATGCTGCCATTGCTTAGGATGTTGCATAGGTATAGAGATGAGTGTGGACATGAAGAAAAACAGAATTTATAGCATCAAGCAAAACTTTTATTGGAGCAGGGCTAATGGCCAATACTAGACCACAGAAAAAAATGAAAAGGGATAGGAAGTTTAAAACGAGTTGGAGGAGTAGAAGAAGACGAAGGAGGAGAAGAAGAAGAAGAAGAAGAAGAAGAAGAAGAAGAAGAAGAAGAAGAAGAAGAAGAAGAAGAAGAAGAAGAAGAAGAAGAAGAAGAAGAAGAAGAAGAAAAAGAAGAAGAAGAAGAAAAGAGGAGGAAGGAGAGGAAGAAGAAGAAAAAGAAGTAAAAGAAGAAATGGAACAAGAATTAAAAGGAGTAAAAGAAGAAAAAGGAGAAGAGGAAGGAGAAGAAGAAGAAGAAATAGAAGAACAAAAATGAAGAGCATCCAAAGTTTGGAGGACTAATGGGAGGATGGAAAGAGGATGAAGAAGGAGAAGAAGTCATGTTACCATTGAACTTAGGTTGCTCCCATACCAGTGCACTTAAGAGGAAGGCAGCTTTGATTTGTAGCTTCTCTATGTCAGTCTGCATTGCTCTCATCAGAGATGAGAAACCATCTTCTCTCACCAACCCATCCTGGGCTAGCTCATTCTCTCGTACCAAACCTGAAAGAGAGTTATGTTCGAAGATCTCAGTAAGATAATAATATTTGGTTTCATCAAAGATTGGAAAGTGCCCAATATAATGTTATTGAATCATTTGTTACTAATGTCTAAAAGATATATTTATATCCAAAAACGCAAAACCATATTTAAGTGGGCTAACATCTGTAATCAGTATTACAAAATACACAGAACTTATCATTGCAAAACTGAACAAGATTGAAGGAATGCACTATAAGAAATGGTCCTCTGTGGAAGAATTATTTTGATTATATATCTTATGATATACACTGAAGAAAGGAAGTGTTACTCACTAATTCCGTATTGTTTGACGATTTTCATCTGTTTTTACCTGTTGTAATTATTGTACAGTGATTTTATGATTATTGTTATCATCATGTATGTACAAATTCCTTGATAAATAAAAGTTTTAAAAGATTTGTTTTTTATTAAACCTGAGAGAGAAGAACCAGAGTAGATTTTCTTGACACGTCACATGCAATTTTCTGGTCGTACGGCACATGCTCAAGCAACATTACCTTTGCAGTACCCCTCGACCGAATACTATACCTAACCCAAAATTTAACATAAAAGCAATGTGCGACATAAACATAAACTGATGCTTCTTAGTCAAATATATACATTTTCTAGGGTCTAATTGGGTGATTTGCGTATTTGCACTATTCTGGCACCTCAATGCCAAACTATGTGATAGGTTACCTGATTAGGCTAATATTTAATTTTGTTCTTCTTGTGAGGGCTGCAAGCCTCAAGGCTGAACCCCTTAGAGAGAGTTAGTAAACCGGTCTATTGTGTTAACCACAAGACTTACATGATATGGCATAAAGTGCCTTGACCTTGACTTTATAAGCTCCATCGTTGTCTAGCAATTGGAAGAAGAGCTTGAGGGCGTCCCGTTGCACCATGGCGTTCTGATTGACAGGGTTGTTCTGGACCGTCATGGCTAGGAGATCCAAGGCTCGCCACCTCACCTCTGAGCTGGGGTCGCGGCACAGCGCCATGGCAACATCGACTCCGCCCACTTTTAGGAAATCTGCAGAGAATGAGGCAGGAATGGTAAGATGATGATGATGATTATGATGATAGTATCTTGTAAAGTGCTGGTATCTTCCTCTGCTGGGCGCTCATATTGCTCTAACATGTTTCATAACATTCACAATTATCAACAACAAAAAATTATAATAAAAGTCAGAGCAGTAAATTATAAATTTTAAAAAGTTTGGTTATAACTGTTTGATTAAATATCATTATCATGTGTTAGTTTCGTAATTGGGAACAGATCTCTAGTTTTATGAGTCACCAAATAGTTTGATAGGGATTGAGAATACAAACAGGTACATTTTCCTGAGTGTGTTATGATCAGAATCTGAGTAGATCACAATGTTTACAAGTGGTTCACACCCACTTATTAAAAAAAAAAAGATCTTAGTGTTTGCACTTAATAGGGCAAGGTGATGACAAACTAAAGTATTAAAGTATTAAGCAGACAGCAAAGCTATATGCATTCCATGTTAGGATTGATATCTGCAAATTCTAACACGAAATCACATGCAGTGGATTTTGAATGAAGGAAGGTGGGCATTTTAGGACTGCTACGTCTTAAATTAGAGCCTGTGAAGACAGGTAACAACAGGTAACTACAGGTAACTACTAAACTCACCTTGTGCATTGTCAATTGTCTCACAGAGATCCAAGAGGGCTTCTAAACGTTCTTCTTTCTCCTCCTGGTCTTCCTCCGTCTCAGAGTCCTGAATCCTCTTCAGGACCTCCACGTGTTCCTTCATCTCCTTCACCTCATCTCTCAGCATGTCAGTGAAGACCTTGTTCAGAAACTCCCTTTTCTGTGATGGAGGACATGCCCAAATTCAGATTCAGATTAATTTTAATGGTCCATTTAGAAATTCAGTTGTTGATTTACCTTGATGTTGGTCTTCAAGTATAATTACGTATATGCTCCTCTGCAGCAGGATTAATGCCTGTGTGTACTGGGGATTGCGCCTTTGTCGGAGCTTCGGACAATGCAATAGCAAGGAAACAGTTGGCATTTCATAAAGCACATGAACAATATACAATAGAAAATAATATACACAAATAGATAATACACAGAAGCAAATTTACAATGACGTAGTCATATGGAAACACGAATATAAATTGTTTTTACATAGTAGACTATAATAATATAAGAAATAAATGGACTTACAACACTATTGCAAATGTATGATTGTAGAGGTCAGAAATAGTAGTTATTATCTTTTATCGTTAATATTATCATTATGGTAAATGAATCTCTCAAGGCTCGTTCGGAGTTGACACAAAAACAAACAAAAAATCATCTGGGTTTTTGCTAAAGGTGTCAATGAATGGAAACTGCGCATAATAAAGGCCTATATGTAGGTGTATTCACTTAGCTCTGTATAACATACAGAAATTTGAAACATATTAACTTTAAGCCATCATTAAAATACAAAACAGCAGTTTTGTCTCGACATATCTGAAGAAAAAAATTATGTCATCATTTGCTGTGTGGTTCTATTAAGGTCTCATTTGTCAGAAAAATGCAAAACCGGTACTCTATTTTGGAATGTTAACTAGTTTTGTTTTATACTAGAAAGTGTTACAGCCTTTACAGGTCAGTAACCTCTGAAGTAATTATCTACAAACTCTTTTGCTTGGAGGATACAATAAATTATATTGTCATTTATTAATCCCTCAGGGTTTCCATACGCAGTCAACATAAGCTGCTTACAATTATATTAGCACACGTTGAATACGACAAATTAATTAAACAATATATTTTAATAATCAATGCTTATCAAATAGGTATTTTGCTTTAAAGTGGGCTTGTGAAAGTAAAATGCTTAAATGTGATCTGAATACGAGTGAAGAAATATTACTTAGCCGAGCCAAATGTTATGTAAAATACCTCACTGAAATAAATACAGCCCCTGTAGCCAGGATTTCATTTTAGGGGGGGGCGAAGCGCGGAAGCTTTGATGTTTCATTAAATAATCAGAGAAAGAATTGGACGATTCATTGTACCGTTAACAACTTTTAATCCTTTTTCTTCTTAAGTCCTCTTCCTTTCTTCTTTTTTTTTCTCTTTTTTTCTCTCTCTTTTTTTTTTTTGGCTGGCGTTTTTTTTTTTTTTTTTTTTTTTTTTTTTTTTGGGGGGGGGGGGCGACTGCCCCCACCGCCCCCCTGGCTACGCGCCTGCCCTGGAGACCAACAGTTGTCAGCCTTAGGAGCTCTTGGTCTGCTAAGATACCTCCAGATTCTAAGAATCTTTCTTTAAATGTCAAAGGAATTCAAAGGAATTCGAGAAAAGTCAAAGAGGGCAAAAAAATGTGTACGTGGTGTAAAGATAAAGGTGCTGATATTGTTTTTTTACAAGAAACATATAGTACAATTGAAGTGGAGGAGACTTGGAAATTGCTATGGAATGGGAGTTCATATTTTAGTCATGGGACAAACCATAGTAAAGGGGTGCTTATTTTAATAGATAATAAATTAGATATTCAGATGTTAAATGTTATTTCAGATAATAATGGTAGATATGTTATAATGGAATGTATTATTCAGGGGATGAAGCTGATAATGGCTAATGTTTATTTGCCAGTAAGAGGAAGGGAATCAGAAAGGATTGATTTTTTGGTCAATTTTGAAAAAATAGTAAAAGAAATTAATAAAGAAAATAATGCAATAATTATTGGGGGAGATTTTAATATTATTTTAAATAAAGATTTAGATTATTTTGGAAGTAGTAAACACCATGTTCAGTCTCGATTTCATATTTTATTTGAACAATTTTTAGATAGATTTGCGTTGCTGGATGTTTGGAGGGTAAGGAATGGATTGAAGAAACAGTTTACGTATAGGCAAGTAAATTCATGTATACAAAGTAGATTAGATTATTGGTTTGCTTCTAAGCAGATAGAACATGTAGTATTAAAATGTGATATAATACCTTCTACGGCTCCGGATCATTCAGCCATTCAATTGCAATTTTACGATAAGTTAATGTATTCATTTAAGTTTCAGGGATCCTATTGGAAATTAAATAATAGTTTATGTCAAGATAATGAATATATCAATTGTATTAAAGAGGAAATCATTAAATTAAAAGAAGAATTTCGAATAGAGATAGAAGATAAACGAGTTTTATGGGATTTTTTGAAAATGAAAATTAGGAATGTTAGTAGAAAATATTCAAAAGAAAAGGCGAAACAACGAAAACAAAGAATTGAAAATTTGGAAGAAGATATTTTGAAGCTGGAAAATGAATTGCTGAATGGAATAGACCAGGAAAAAGTTGATGACTTAGAATGAAACAAAAAAGACTTACAGGATTGTTATAATTATATAAATGAAGGTATTAAAATTCGTTCTAGAGCATCACACTATGAATGCGGAGAAAGAGACACTGGGTATTTTACCCAATTAATGAAGTCTAATAAAAAGAAAACATTGATAAATAAACTTTATATTGATGAAGATATAAGCTTTGATCAAAAAAATATTATGCAAGAAATATATACATTTTATAGTAAGCTTTATGCTCAATCGGAAGAGGAAATTGATTTTGTGGATGATTTTTTTCAGGACTTGCCAAAATTAAATTCAGATTCGTGTGCATTATGTGAAGGTAAAATAACAAATGGAGAATGTACTGCAGCCATGAAAGAAATGGCATCTAATAAATCCCCGGGGAATGATGGATTAAGTGTTGAATTTTATATACTGTTTTGGCCATTGATAGGAAATTTAGTTGTAGATTCTTTAAATTCAGCTTTTGGAAAGAAGGAACTTTCCTCATCACAAAAGCAGGCGGTCATTAGTTTGATTCATAAAGAAGGAAAAGATCCCTTATTTATAAAAAATTATAGACCAATATCTTTATTGAATGTAGACTACAAAATTTTGACTAAAGTGCTTTCTATAAGGATTAAAAAAGTTTTAAATGATTTAATTTCTGTCGACCAGGTGGGATATCTAAAGGATCGAAACATAGGTGAAGCAATTAGAATGATAGATGATATAATTCATCATACATCAGTCAATGAAATACCTGGATATATGATGATAATTGATTTTGAAAAGGCTTTCGATTCTGTTTCACATACTTTTTTGCAGAAGGTTTTGTTTACATTTGGTTTTGGACCATCATTTTGTAGATGGGTGGAGACTATATATAATAATGCTCAAAGTTGTGTCTTTAATGGGGGCTCATCTACTGTGTACTTTGATATTAAGAGAGGTGTTAGACAGGGGGACCCCCTGTCCCCATATCTGTTTATACTTTGTATTGAAATTTTAGCTCGTTCAATATATAAAGACCCTGAAATTCAAGGATTTACTTTTAATAACGTACATGTAAAACAAGTTCTTTATGCAGATGATATGACTCTCTTTATTCGGGACTCAAACTCATTTAAAAAGGTGGGGAAACTGTTTGAAAATTTTGCTAGAAATTCTGGATTAAAAATTAATAAAGAAAAAACTTTTATATTATTGTTAGGCCCTTCTCAAAATGAAAATATTGCTCTTCCATTTGGTAAAGTAGTACAAATGGTCAAGATTTTGGGTATATATTTTTCTTTAGATGTTGAAGTTCAGGAAAGGACAAATTATAAGGAAATTTTGAGTAAAATAAAAAAGTTGTTGTCTTGGTGGAAACAAAGAGATTTAACTTTAATGGGGAAAATTCGATTGATAAAAACGTTTATTTTGTCAAAATTGATTTATGTATCGGCGCTGACACCAGTACCAAATTGGGTATTTAAAGATTTGGATAAACTGGTTTTTGAATTTTTGTGGAAAGGAAAAGATAAGATTAAGCGAAATGTAATGTTCTTGGATTATTGTAGAGGTGGACTAAGATTAACAGACTTTCATTTATTTATTTTAGTGCAGAGGATTATGTGGGTAAAAAGACTTTTAACGGGGGATGCAAACATGGGATGGAAACAATATTTTAATTATTTAACTAAAGATGCTGGAGGAATTTTGATATTTTATAATAATGCAACCGTAGGTATATCTGAATTAGTATTACCAGCATTTTATAGAGACATGCTGGATGTTTGGATGGCTACGAGAATATTTTTGTTAAAGGAAAGTGTTTCTAGGAGGAATGAGATTATCTATAATAATAGATTTGTTTTTATCGATGGTCATGTTCATTTCGATGAGGGATTATTTAACAAAAATGTTTATAAGTTGCATCATATTGTTGATAAGGAAGGTAATATAAAATCTAATGAGGAATTTCAAAGAAAAGGTTTAAATAGTTTAGAAATTAGTAAAATACAACGTATTTTTCTTGGCATCCCGTCTTCATGGAAACAATTTTTAAATAAAAATACTCACTCAAATATAGATAGGGAATTGGATATGGATATTATTATGTTTGAAAAGGTATATATGTTAGATCAAATAACCTCAAAAATTATATACGCTTTTTTATTAAATAAGAAAGTAGAAAAATCATATGCAGAACGACATTTAGAACAGACTTATAATATTCATGGAAAAGATATACAATTAATATTTTTAAGACTTAGAAAGTGCACATTGAATAGTAAGCTTAGAGAATTTCAATTTAAAATGCTTTATAATATTATATATACCAAATTACATTTATATAAATTTAAAATGGTTAATAGTAATTTATGTTCTTTTTGTGGTAAATATGAGGAAACTTACGAGCATTTTGTGAGAAAGTAAAACCAATTTGGGAAGAGTGTGGGAATTCATTTAATTTAGTAGAAATTACAAATATAAATTGGAAAGGTATCCATGTAGGGATAGTTGAGTTTAACATAGGGAAGGAACAGTTATTAAATCATATCATAATTTTGATAAAATATATGATATTTATAGATAGTAAAAATAGACCAAAACCACCAACTTATTTGGAGATTAAGAAAAGATTATTAGAAAATAGAAAGGAGGAGAAGAAATTAGCTGGGGACCGAGGTACACTCACATATCATTTTAGAAAGTGGGACAATTTAGAATAGCTTCGTGCAGAATAAATAAAATAAGGAAGGCGAATAGAAGCAATGAAATGGACATGGCTGATATAATGGTCGAGATTCCCACAAAATGTAGGCATGTTTTAAGTGGGTGTTTGTGTGGGTGTCTGTGCACGTGTGTGTATGTGTGTATGTAAGTATTATTTATTTATTTTTATTTTTTTTTTCTTCTTCTTTTTTTCTTCTCTTAAATGTCTTTTTATGTTCATGCCTACTTCATGCATGCATGTTTCTAGACCGAAAACTTCAGTCTCTCTAATCGTCGGTTGTTCCACTGAGACTACGTCTGGCTCCACTAGACCTCCGATTACAGAGACTGAAGTCTGGGGACCTCTTTCTGTGAGGCACTGTACGGAACAAATGGTTCGGTTCGACCGGACCGCGATGAATGAGATATGCAACGAGATTTTCACTCTTTACATTCTCATAACTGCTGGAATTACAACACAAATTAAAAATAACATATATATAGCTTATTTGACTTACGATAGCTTGCTCATTTAGATCCTAAATTAATGATTAATCCGAGAAAGTCTCGTCGTCAACATTATCCGTCTTGGTTTTAGTTGATGAATATTCATTTTTTCTTTACGAACGTCCAATAGCTACCGTAGTTACGTACGAGTCGGCCCAGCTTGACCAACGAACTCCCACGAAACGAGTGCTCTGATTGGCCATTTGGCTATGTTTTGGTAGGTGGACCCGGAAATATATCGGCCGCCGGGTAATATTTCGAATGCATGAACGTACCGTTTCACAGTTCGGAAATACAAATTGGATAATTCATATAAGTAAGTCCGTAAATTATACATTTAATATTAAGTTATCAAATTTTGATAACTGTAATTAGGACAAATGACATACCGACCTAATTTACATCTGATTTAGAAATCAGAAAATTAGATCTAAATAAAGAAAATCGGGGAGAAAATGTTTTGACACAAAAAGCTGCCATTGTTGGCTATAGCTACCCCCACGGTACGAGATCTCTGGGTTGCCATCTGTATTGGGGAATGACAACAAATGTCAGTTTTATTAAAGAAATGACCCAAATCAGATGGTTATTGCTGTCTAGCATGTTTCATGCTTTATTTGATGTAAATAGTAAAATTTCATTTGTATTATTTAGATGTGAATGTAAAATCATATTCTATATAATAATATTAACATGCAGATTATTTTATGTATTGATTTTGTTATTGTTTGTGAAAAGCAATGGAGAAAATAAAATATCATTGAAAACAAAAAAAAATTCTTACCTCGTCTGTCAGGGGTCCCCTTGCCTCTGGTTCTCTGTCTGTTGGTGTGTTTTCGATGGCATAATGAAGTACCTCATTCAGAGTGCCCTGCCTCTTATTGAACTCGTCTTGCCTTTGACCCCCTCCGCTTCCTCCTTCACCACTTGCCATGGTACAAGATCCTGTTTTTCTTGAAGTTTTTGCGGAAGTTTCTCAGGTTACAGTAAATTTAGACCCTGCAAAGATTATGTTTATGGAAAGGTCATCAAATTTTGGAAATAAATGGGACAAATTCCAAGCTCAAACTGAAGACCGGCTAGACCTGCTGTATATTGAGGTTGTCAACCATCTAAATTGGGCCTACTGTCAACTGGTGCAAGATGGTAGATACCGTCTTGCCATTTAAACTAAATAAATCAGTTTGGCAGTTTTTGTCTTGGTAATTGAAAATGAGTTTATTTTTTTTCTTCAAATTGTTGTTTATCGGCACCTGTTTATCTGCTTAACAAAAGATCTGATCCTCTTTTTTTTTAGGTCTGCATAATTATCCCATAAAGAAAACTAATTGCCTCACAAGATCTAGTCGCGATGGCCCTGGTCTGGCCTGGTGCGTGTGCAGAGCGAGTGAGCCTTATGCAAGGGTCACTCTGTGGCCTGGACCCACCCTCCTCAGAGGTCGCCAAATATCGACGTCGACTCGACGCCTAAGCCTGACCCTGACCTATTTGTTGTTGTAGTGAAGTCCTAACGTTTGTTTTTCTTCATTGGGTGAAGCTTTACTATACAAATTGATGAAATGTGTGAAGCTTTGACGAGTAATTTGTTTTTTCTGGTGATGTGACATCGAATCCAATCGGTCGCCTTGTTTGTTCAGGTGATGTGACATCGAAGCCACTACCGGTCGCGTCGAAAATATGTCGAAATCATGTCGAAATCGTGCGTTTCAAAACAACTATTTAATTTTTATTCCGGTCACTCATGCACTCGCATGATTCATCAAAACCGTTTAGCATTTCTCGCTCCGGTTAACCGTTATTTGCATACATTTTGGAATGTGCTAATAGCCGATGATAAAGATAATCAAAGAAACCGCAGTGTAATATTACACCCTGGCCGCTGCGCGCTAGCTTTCTGGCAGCAGTTATCCCCATGAATGAATTTGTAAACAATAAAACAACCAGCCCCCTTCTCTCTTTTCTCACCCTCTTTATTCCCTTCTCTCTGCAATGTGTTCATCGCTCATGTACCTTTTCTTATTACTGCACTCTCGGCTCACAACTTTCTAAATGATTACACATTTGATGGTTAGTTCCTCTCACATCCCTTCTCCCCCGAGTCTCTCTCTCTCTCTTTCAATATTAATATCCATCCCTTGCCGACTCGCCCCCTAAAATAATGTTCATATATAAATAAAATACAAAAATATTGATAACAATAATAATTGAAGTTTTAGAAATATCAATCAACAAAGTCTTGGATATTATTTGTGAGTAATTTAAGTTTTTGATCATTCTTCAATTCAGCCGATTAACACAGCCACCCTTTCTTACTTCGATCTTCACTCATGTCCCTGCCTCGTCCATGCTAGGGACATGCAGGGACATGCTAGCCCATATGCTCTCTCAGTCACACACACATGTACACACAAACCTCCGGCGCCCAAATACACTGTACATACACACAGATGGAGAGCTCATGCTTGTCACATGCACACATGTGGGCGTGGCTTCTTGACCTCCCACTGAACTGGGTACGGTGAAAGCACGCGCGGTCACCAACCTGTAATTTATGCTGGTATCAAACTCCACCCACATAGCTAGAGAACCTTCCTGATTGGTCACTAACTTGGATCAGCTCATTGCAGGGTGTGTCTTGGGTGTGTGTGATACACACTTCCACATAATTTCATATGGCAATGATACATGCAGGGAGCTCTCTCCCTGACCATGTGCAAACATTGCATTGCAAAGGCATATATAAACACGTCACAGATCAGCTATCTTCACAGAGTAACTTTGCAAGGTTAATCATGATATCAAATTCAGATGAGGAATAATATAAGACATGTTTTATGTTGTTTATTACTGGTCTCTGTTTATCAGGATGACCCAATTTGTGCCATAGTCCGGGGCTGGGAATGCTCAGCCCGACAGTCTGAAGACCAGCAGGGTTCCGAGCTACAGCACTATTAAAAATACTGTATTTTCACTTTTTCAGATTATTATTAAACGGTTAAACGAAACCGCCCGTATACTTTTAACGGTTAACCGTTTAGCACAAAAACCGTAATGACTCAGGCTTAGGTGAAACAGTGGTGAAGCTTGAACTATGCAAATGGCCAGTATGGTGAAACAGTGGTGAAGCTTCAGACCGGCCGAAAACTTACAAAAGTGAAGCCTCACCTATGGAAAACTGACACAAATGAAGCCTCACCTATGTAAAACTGACAAAAGTGAAGCATCACCTATGCAAATAATTCTAAGGGTGAAGCCTGGACTAACACATTTGCTGATAAGAGTGATGCTTTGCCTTTGTTTTTTGTAAAGCACATGAAGTGATGGTGAAACCCTGAGGTTACAAATAATTGGCTCAGGTGAAGAAAGGTGATGACCTGAGGAGGGTGGGTCCAGGCCACAGAGTGACCCTTGCATTAGCCCTAACCCCGACTCTAGTCTCTAGTCTAGACTTCTAAAATGATATTAAAATTGACTGATTTAACACTGAACAACAACAACTTTGAGTTTGGAACAGTCTAGTCTAGTGAGTCGGTGTCTTTGACAGACGTGTAGATCAACATCCCCCGGCCCAACTCCCCCCCCCCCCCCCCCCCCACAAATTGCAATTGGCAAAAAAAGTATTAAAGTTTAAAAAGAAACTTAAAAGAAGCAACTAGGTCTAGATCTAGTCTAGGTCTAGAAAAATCTACAACAAAAACGAGCAGCAATCTAACATCTCCTACTCATTTCATTATCCTCCTTGTAACACTAACACTAAAGAGGATATATTATATGATTTTATCATGACAGCTCCATCGCACGACCAGGTGCGCATATCGCATGAGGCTGAAGCTATGGCCCATTTATTTCCACCACAACGCCATCCCCGTTTACCCCGGTTCCGCCGGGCTACGTTACCTCTTCAGCACCGTTCGATGATTTAGTTTTCGGCAGCTCCTTGATTCTGTCTGCAAGCCTCGGAGAAAGACCCAGTCCTGTACTTTTATTTATATTATTCTACCCAAAAGTATCTTAGATGGAATACGTTATCTTTGCAGACAGGTCTTGATTTGAAAGAGAGATTGCAAAAGAAAAATCTGGGATGTTCACTGATGTTCCAGAATGGTCATTTGACTTTGTGTTACGTCAACATAAGAGGGCGCTAGATATTCCTCTTTTCATTGCTGGACGAAAATGGTAGGGATTACATGTCGAACTCGTTCTAGAAAATCCTTTTACATCTGTCCGAGTTCGCTCTATTTGACTCCAAAATGATAAAATATATGGAGATAAAGTATAATTTACCCCACTACGATGCATTTTGGTGTGAAAAATGGTTTAGAACGATTCAATATACAGAATTTTTTGCGGTATTGCTTACGATAACTATTCCAATAGAAGCGATATGAACGGACATTTTTATGTTCATGTTTTTTCAATGAACGTGTTACCGTATCATCTCAATATTGCACTATTGTCAGCAATTGACATATATTCCTTACATCACATTATGTTGGCAAGGTCTTATGAATTAGTGTGTCTCATTTCATTTGATATTGTGATGGCAACATATTTCATGTGATGTAACGAACACAAATAACAATACCTGGGACTGAAGTGAAATTCTGATAGTGTGCTGCATGACCATGTACTGTAGTATGTACGTGTCTGCATCTGACGTGTACGTGTGCTTGTGAACTGTGTGTTGATGTTGATTAAAGATCTTTTTTAATTGCCAAGCTGCAGCTGCCTGTTACAGTGGGCTCTGCCTCGTTATTCAATGTTCTTTTAGTAAATCCAGAACTCTAGCAAGTCATGCAAATTGCAAATGCAAATCTGACAAAATTGCAGGAATTGTCCATTGATTGATGGCATTTTTATTAAAAAAATAAAAATGTTCAATCAAGCGAGGCAAGGCCGCAAGCCAGTTAGATATTGTCTGTCAATGAGATGGCAACATTTTGAAACCAATTGGCTGGCTTTGGTCATTGTCAACAATTGATAGATATTTGTCAACAACTTGGTAATTTATCTGATTCTGCCCGAAGTTAAAAAATGGCCTGGAAAGAGAATATTTACGCACTCGTGATACCTCAAAACGCATAAAATTCAACCAACCAACCCTAAGTTAGTAAGTACGGTGGCCCTGAAGGTGAGGTATCGCGAGTGCGTAACTATTCTCTTTCCAATTCCGGAAAATCACCGAGGACATTTTTTCCAAAAATTAAAGGCTAAATGACTCGCCGTTTATTTTTTATTTATTTTTCTTTGAAAGAAGCGGTTATGTAGCGGTTTATTCTTTAATTTCTTCATCTTAATCCTCTGTCCTTTCCTCTATTTCACTTGGAAGTTCATTAGACTATTTCTCATTGACGTTTTAAACCTGTACATAAAGTCCTTCTCTATATAAAAAAAAAACTTGTCTCCTTTTAGATGTCTTTATAAACAGGTTAATGGAATATCTCGCCACAAGGAATGAAACGTCCCTAAAATTAAATATGTTGGCAAACTGGTCTATTAGCAAGTGGTCATTTTTACAATGCTCTTGAATGTGTGTTGAACACATGAGAACGAGTGGAGGGGGGGGGGGGGCCTTGAGACTTGCAGCCCTCACAAGAAAAACAAATATGTATTCTGTTCAGGTTCGACTGTATACTATAAGATTTTTAACACAGAGCTATTGTAATTAGAGCGTTGACTCGTACAATCACAATAATTCCAATGTCTATACTATAGATCTAATCAAGCTTTTTTTTTTGGTCTCCTATCTTTGATTCATGCAGGCTCCCCGTAAGCAGAAGAAGACCCGTAAGCTGCGTGGTCACGTGAGCCACGGCCATGGTCGTATCGGCAAGCACCGCAAGCATCCCGGAGGAAGGGGACGTGCTGGTGGTCAGCATCATCACAGAATCAACTACGATAAATAGTAAGATGAGAAAACAAGGTCTTGAATATTTATATCACTTTTTATTTTATATGCGTAGGGTCTATATATCTTGCAGAAAATTTGCAAATTGTTAACGCCTGCCTCACACTAATCCCTTTGGCAAGTTGAAAACTATTTAGTAGAAAGCTTAAGAGCAAATCCACTCCAAAAATACCTTACTTTCAATAGAAGCAGAAAAATCAGACAAACCAATCAAAAAAGTTTGAGCAAAATCGGATAACTAATAAGAAAGTTATGAATTTGTAATAACATGAAAACTTTGAAAATCACATAGAGCGGGGTGTGTTCACTATCATATGTGGTTTAGCAATTGAATCCATAATAATAATTACATTGTTAAGCGCTTAGAAACATAGTATGAAGCATTCACTATGAACATGACTGACAATGAGAGCGGACAAAATATACAGTTCCTCAGGTAGACAAAGGAACATCCCTTCACAGCTATTATGTAAAAAGGTGAATATGCATGTGACACCTGTTCTACACATTTTTACATAATAGCAGTAAGGGATGTTCCTTTGTCTACCTGAGGAACTGTATATTTTGTCCGCTCTCATTGTCAGTCATGTTCATAGTGATTATAATACAAATGTGACTATTATTATTCCACTAGTTAAAGCACACTCACTTTACTTTTCTTCCCCAGCCATCCTGGTTACTTCGGTAAGGTTGGTATGAGGCATTTCCATCTGACCAAGCAGAAGTACTACAAGCCTGCCATCAACTGTGACAAGCTCTGGAGTCTGGTCAGTGAGCAGACAAGGCTGCAGTACGCAGACAAGACCGACAAGGCCCCCGTCATCGATGCTGTTCGAGCGGTAAGCATCCGCAGAAGTACAGATTTGTGGGAGCTGAAAAGGATATAGCTATAGAAATCATGACTTATAGCACAGCTGCCAACCAGTTCTATTTTGGAGGAATTATTCCTATATTTTTAGCCTTCAGACTGTTATGAAACCTAGATTTCTCTCTTTTTCTGTATACAAATTGATTGTATTCCGAATTTGTTTTGAGAAATTCCTAATTTATTGCTGTGAAAGGTGGGCAAGATTGGAAAGTAGGTTGGGATTGAACTTTTTACACTCTGAATGTAAAATCTTCAAATTTTAAATGTCCGGACCTTGATTTTTGGTGCCCATGTGGCCCAGGCAAATATGTTCTTATACAACCCCTGTATGAAACAAATCTATTCTGTCATTAATTGCTAAGAAAATTAACGTTTATGACATTTCTGTACAATGTGTTGCCATTTTGTGCTTCACTGATGACAACTTCAAAAATTCATAACTATTCCTATTTTTGATCAAATATTGCTCAAACTTTTTGTTTCTCTCATTTTTCTGCTTTTATTAAAACCAGCTAAATATCATGGGAGACTTCCCCTTTAAATCGTAGTCCCTTGAAAAAATCCAAATGGACCGACATTGATGTTTTCCTTTGAATTGGAAGTTTTTACTTCCTGCCCTGCCTCTTGCTTACATTAATTACAGAGACAGAACATCCTGCTTGTTATTGCGCAATCCACTGATTCATAATGCCAGTTTGCTCAATGTTGCTTTGTGACTATTCAAACAGTAATGTTTTCTTATGATATTCCGTAAGATATATAGTTGTGGGTCCTACTTTTGTTGGCATATCACATGTCACAAATTTTGAAATGTACACCTGTATGTCTAATCTTGAATATGTCCATGAAGGCCTTGACATTGATCATTGTTTTCCTGGTTCCCTTCATTTCCCTTTTAGATTTTCCATCACTATTTTGCTTTCTTTCTACCTTTTCATCATGCTTTCTCCTCTCTCTTTTTATATTCTGTACTTCCTTATTTCTCTCTATTTTAATCTCTTCCCCTATGTCTTCCTCTGTTTTTCTCTTTCCCCTCTTTTTTCCTCCTATTTCTCATCTCTTCCTCACTCTATATTTCTCTCGCTCTTTCTCTGTTTTTCTCTTTCCCCTCTTTTTTGTTCTTCCTATTTCTTATCTCCTCTCTTCCTCACTCTCCTCTTCCTCTATCCCTCTCCCTCTCTCTCTCTCTTTCTTCCTCACTCTTCCTCACTCACTTCCTCTACCCCCTGCCTCTCTTCATTTTGTTAATGCTCTCCTATCTCTTCCATTCACTCTCCCCCTGCAGGGTTACTACAAGATCCTAGGAAAGGGAGTCCTCCCTAAGCAGCCGGTCATCGTCAAGGCCAAGTTCTTCTCCCGACTCGCTGAGGAAAAGATCAAGAAGGCCGGAGGATGCTGCGTGCTTGTCGCCTAAATGATACCTCTTCCTAATAAAAGACTCAAAATATTTCCAAATATCTGCTCAAAATCTCACATCAAATGGACTCTTCATATTCCAAGCATATTTCCATCAAAGAAGTGCTCTTCTGTAGATCTTCATTGAACAACACGACCGTGATGCATTGTATTATGTCATGGAATGAGATGATACATACAGGAATGCGGGCTGTACGCCGTAATAAAGCCGTAATAGTCACTGGTACAACAATAGTCTGATATCTCTTTATTTCTGTCTCCATGTTACATTCTGATTAAAGAAAATATCTGCTCTGGCTAATGAATTTCTGGGAAATGGAGAGATAAAAAAAAATGTTTGGAAACTCAAGTTTATCTCCCTTTTATAAATGTAATGCTTCCTGGGAGAAATTTCAATTATTTAAACATATTTGTGGCTTACACCCAGTAAGTCAAAATCAAATCAAAATGGTGGTAGAGTCGCTGCCCGGCAAGCAGTAGATGCAGGTTCAAGTCCTGCTGGTTCCAAGATTTTTTCTGACTTGTTTTTCAATACAGATCGATCAATCGATCTTATTTACTGGGTGTAAGCCACAAATATGTTTAAATAATATATCTCCCTTGTAATGGGATAATTATCGCTTTGTTTAGTGTCATTAGAAAACTATGTATGCCTATTTCTCTTTAAATTGATACCATATAAGTTTTGACTTTGCAGCCATGGAACCAGCAGTACATCAGAATAATGGGTAGGGTCAAAAGTGAAAAGTTGCAAACTGCACTGGTAAGCATGGTTTTATTATGCAGTGCACTAAACAGCAGCCTTCCACTCTGAACAAGAGCAGTGCATTTTACAACTTTTTGTTTTTGACCTTGCCTCTTATTTTTGATGTAATACACATTCCATGACTACAAAAATCATTTATAAAGAGGAATAAACACACTTTTTAATGATAAAACTTAGCGATGATTATGCAGTAACGAGATATAATCAATCAAACTGGAGGTTCCAGATTTTTTTTTTTTGGAAGGGGGGGGGGGGGGTATTAGAGTGAATGAGAAGTTTCTGAGAGAGAGAGTGTGAATTGATGTTTACTTTACACATAAAGGGACAATGAAAATCAGTGATCTTGGTCCTCAATTGATCTAAGGGGGGAGGAGGGGGTTCAAATTAACAAAAAAAAGTTTGGACCGAAAAGATTATTTGTTTTCAAAAAGTTTGTTTATATTCAGCTTTAAAAGCCAAAAGATGGTTATAAGCCTTGGGTGTGTGGCAGCATGAGCATGTGAGTACACCCTTTGAGAGGGCGCTGGATTAATGATTGGGTGTGGGGGGACAAGTCTTGCATGCTAAATGAAATGCAAATTAACAAGGCAACTGATTACAGGGAGGCTGGTGCAGGCATTTTCATGTCTTTTTTTTTCATTCTCTATTTTCTCTCTTTTTCTTTATTTGTCACTACTCAAGGGGGGCACATATTCTGCATCTTAACCACTCTCTGGGCAGGAACAGCAGCAACCCCCCCCCCCCCCCAAAAAAAACAAACAAACAAACAAAACAAAACAAAACAAAAAAAAAAAAAAAAAAAAGATGGCCGGTGCCTACAATGGTCAAGGGTCTATTTGTGCTCCCATCCAAGAAAAAATATTTTGTTATGCTGCCCGCTCCCGACCCAACAAACTCAAAACCTCTGGAGAAAGTACAGGTCTAGGTGATGAAAGTTTTTTTTTTTCTCTTCTTTTATCATTCCTGATTGAAATAATCTGAAATAGAGGGGGCTATGAAGATTTCCCTTAGATTTGTACCAGCAGACATGTGCACAAACTAAATAAAAGGAGAGATGTTCTTACAAACGTCTGATTCTACCCCCCCCCCCTTTTTTTTCTTCTCTTTCTTCCTCGCTTTCTCTCTTTTATTTTCTCTCTATACACAGCACATAAAGACAAAAAGAGCTTCTTTATCACTTTGATCTCAAGTTGTTTTCTTTACTTTAGAGTAGACTTATTTCATTAATTTATACCCCCCCCCCCCCCACCCAATCGTTACATGCTGCATGAGGACATGTATGGAGGAAGGAAACTGAGGAAGTTTAGAAATGGAAGATTATAATACCAGGAAATTTCAAAGCGATGATTGCACAAGTCATGCAAGTTAAAACTTGGGATATAATGGAATTGCCTCTTTCTCTCTCTCTCTCTCTCTCCCTTTTCTTGACGTTGACTTGTGTTATGATAAAAGGGGAAGTCCATCCTGATATCAAGTTAGTTCAAGTAAAAGAGGGAAAATTGAGAGAAACAAATAAGTGAACGTTTTAACTAATTCCGATTAGAAATGGGAAGTTATGAATGTTTTAATATATCAACAGTCAGTGAAACAAGGCAACACTGTAACGTTTCAGGCGAGCTCCCCTCCAATTTGTTTTGTACAGAAAATATAAATTATATATTTCTTATTTATGAATAAATAGATTTGTTTCATATAGGGGTTGTATAAAAACGTATTTGCAATCATTATATTGAGGGTGAGTGTATGATTTAATATTTTCTTAAAGGGAAATAGATTTTTTTTTGAGTTTTCAGAACAGGGAAAATGGAAAGGGAGCTCGCAAGATTCGTCACAAATTTGCAAATTAATTGTGTTTGATTGATTGCACGTTTAGGGTGAATATATGTTTGCAAATTTTCTAAGGTGAAAATACAAGTTTTTGAAGTTTTTCAGTACAGGAGATTGAAAAGGGAGCTCGCAAGATTCGTCACAAAGTTGCCAATTATGTTTGATTGCACATTTAAAAAATCATAACTTTCTTATTTTTAATCGCTTTTTGCTCATACTTTTACGGATTTCCCCCCATTTTTCCTGCTTATATTATCTTCCTTCTCTCTCTACCTCTACCTGTCTCGCCCCGTCCTCTCACTCTCTCCCTAGCTATCTCTTTCTCTCTCTCTCTCTCTCTCTCTCTCTCTCTCTCTCTCTCTCTCTCTTTTCTTTAGTTTGTTATCATTTAACCGTATGGGACGGACAGCCATAAGAAGTTTATAAAACAATCTCTTCATTTTATTGAAATAAAATCCACTATGACACAAGTATACTTGGGATCGAGGAAAAAGAAAGGGGCAAAAAACGCCCAAAACAATTATGAGAATGGCAGATATAGAGGCCTTCTTCTTTTTCTTTTTCTTCTTCTTTTGTTCTTCTTCTTCTTCTTCTTCTTCTTCTTCTTCTTCTTCTTCTTCTTCTTCTTCTTCTTCTTCTTCTTTTTCTTCTTCTTCTTCTTCTTCTTTTTCTTCTTCTTTCTTCTTCTTCTTCTTCTTCTTCTTCTTCTTCTTCTTCTTCTTTCTTCTTCTTCTCCTTCTTCTTCTTCTTCTTCTTCTTCTTTTTCTTTTTAAATAGGGGCAATTATCTGAGGTGGGCACTAGCTTGTTTGAAGTGAAAGAGGAGTAACTACTCGTACCTGAAAAGGGTTATTTACCAGAGATGAAAACGGGCATGTATGAGAAAGGGAAGGGGCTCTTTTTTAATGGAGGCACTTATTAGAAAAGAAAAGGCACATGTGAAAAGATAAGGTGCACTTATCCTAGTGAAAATGAGGACAGTTATTAATAGGGGAAGGGGGAGGGGCACTTCTTAAAAAGGAAAATGAAGGGACACTTGTCAAAATAAAAAGGGGACCTCTCAGATTTGAATAGGGTAATTACCAGAGGTGAAGGGGGCACTTACGCTAGTTGATTCATTCAATTGTGAAATAAATAAATTAAGTGAATGGTTGATCAACAATAAACTAGTTTTGAATGTTGCTAAAACCCAATATATTGTATTCTCTAAACGACGTATTGAAGATAATTTTGCAATCACTTTTTATGGTCATCAAATTAATCGTACTTCTTGTGTGAAATTTTTAGGTGTTCATATCGATGAATCTTTAACATGGCATGAACACGTTGGTGTCGTATGCAATCGTGTTACCAAAGCTGTTGGCATTATTTACCGTTTGAGACATTTTCCAAGACATATTTTAGTTATGTTATATTATGCATTGATTTTCTCCCATGTCAATTATTGTAATATTGCTTGGTCAAACAATCATGATTATTTTATTACTAAACTATTTGTTTTGCAGAAAAAAGCCATAAGAATAATTTCTAATTCACCATATCATGCTCATACTTTGCCAATCTTTTCCAAGTTAAATCTCCTAAATGTTTATGACATTAATAGATTGAATATTGCAATATTTATGTTTACGTGTTCTAGAGGTTTATTACCATCTCCAATTACATCAAAATTTATTTTAAATAGTAACATACATAATTATAATACACGTAATGCTGTTGAATACCATCTGCCCAAAGTTAGAACTAATATTTCAAAGTTTACTATTTTTTATAAAGGTCCTCATCTATGGAGCATGATTCCAAACCATCTAAAGAATCAACTTTCCTTAAATAGTTTTAAACGTTCCTTTCGATTGTTTTTATCAAATTTGTACTCAACAACCTGAATATCATAGTATATATATATATATATATATATATATATATATATATATATGTTATTTTTTTTGTATAATGTTTTCCTTTTCCGTTTTACTGTTTCTACCTGCTTTCTTTTTCTTCTTAATGTTATGTTAATTACGTACTTGTTTAGGGTCAACGTTTAACAAGACTAAATGCTCTTTTTTGTTGACCCCTCATTCGACATAATTTTGCTTTCCTTGTTAATTTTATTGTGTTCATCTGTAACGTTACCCTTCTACATGTATTTATATATTTCTTTTTTTTAATACTCTGTATGTATTGTATATGTTTTTTTTTATGAAGAATGAAATAAATACCATACCATACCATACCATACCACCTATCAAAAATGAAAAGGGGCACTTCACGTACCTGAAAAGAGGCACTTACTAGAGATTAATAAGGGTACTTATGAGAATAGAAAGTAGTCACTTATTTCAAAGGAAAATGGGAACTTGTCGAAGAAAAATTGACACGTGTCAAACTAAAAGGGGCGCTTATCAGAGATGAAAAGGGGAAGGGGCACTTTATCAAATTAATAGGGGCACTTGTGAAAGAAAAAGGGGCACGTTTGGAGTACTTGAAAAGGGGGGGGGGCACTGTGTCCCCTGCCTCCCGGGAGGGCCGCCCCGGTCCACACGATCAGCCCTAAACAAAAAAAGATGTTAGGCCCTTTAGGTGCCAAAACACGGGTCGGTCGGTCGGAAATATTATTTCTTATTGTTCTTCCTCTTTGGACTGATATTTCTCAGTTTTGAATGTTCTAATATATATATATATATATATATATTTTTATTCTTAAATTTTGTTTTCTCTCAATAAAACGTTTTTTTTTTTTTTTTTTAAAGCCGACCGTTAATTTAAAGATTTTTGGTAGGCAGTACGCCTCATTTTACAGCAGGGCCTAAATCTGTATTAATTTTTTCTCTTCTTAAAAAAAAAAATCCATATTGTACAAATAAAGATAGGCATGAATAATGACAATTATCAAAACCAATACACTTTGGTTCAGGGGAGCAGGAGGGGATGAGGGTAGGAGAAGGAGGGGGGGGGGGGTATATAACCACGCCCTATAAAGTGCTTGCCTTAATTTATTTTTTACATATTATGTGAGCAAATGTACCTCAATCGTTTTTGCACATTTTGCACTTTAATGTCTTAGAATCGCTTCCCTTTTGGTTTGGTTTCGGAAACAAAGAAATGTCAACGAGTCGACCTTCAATTCATCATCATTCTCTAGAAATTCGTCATCACAAAGAGGATGACCATATTTGCTTCCGCATTTTGGCCGAGTGAAAAAAAGAAAAGAAAGAGGACTTTAAATATGACGTCATCATTTTACCTCTTTCATAGTACCATCATTACATGCGGCCAATTAATGTGGTATTTTGATGATAAAATAAATGTGAATATTACAATTTAGGTAGTTAAAATCACTAATGAAATCAACATAAATAATTATAAAGTATAAATGATGAGTTACAAATTTATTTAAAAATGAATATCAGATTTGAAGTTGAAAGATATTTGCATTGTGGAATATACTTATAATGGAGGTGTGATTAAGGTACGACAACGCTCCCTGAACCAACCACGTGAATGCAATGAGAAATGCATTGAAGAAAAACGTGAGATCGAGAAGCAAAATATCAGTGCAACGGATAAACCGTGTTCTACGAGCATAAAATGCCCGCTGCTTCGTCAAAACCCGCGCCCCAAACCACCCCTTTGGAGGGGCAAGACACTGCCAAATATCTATTTGGGGTGGTCGAAAAGAAGATCAGGAATTTAGAGAAGAGAAAGGTGAACAATTTTGTTGAATTTGCGTATTATAGTGAATTTGTACTCATTTTTGGCAGTTAGATTTTCGATCGTACGTTCATTCATTTCTCTATGGAGTTGCGCACGCGCAGGACACTGTCATTGACTTTATACACAAATTCACAATTTCGAGTGTAGCTTTTGTAGGCTACTGAACTGTTGAATGTGAATATGTATTTTGATTTGCGATTTATGAAAAGGAAAAAGAAATGAGTTGAACTGAATCGTATATTTCGTAGTTCTAGGAATGTTTAATGCATTCTTGTGTTGGTGCATGAATAGATCTGTAACTGTAAGCTTTGGCTGAATTCAATTGAGTTAAATTCAATATTCATTGCAGGCAACTTTAATTTTATTCTTCTTGATTTTTCTCTGTAGAATGAAGTAGGGGCCTAGGCCTACAGGCAATCATGTTGTTGGCACTTGGTGTATCTTTGTAGTTATAAAGTTATGCAATTATATGTACAGTGCTGTGGAAGATCTAATCTATGTGCGGTTTATAAATTAGATCAAGTGCAATCCTAACGCAACTGTCTTTCCTGCACTTCCACTCGATTCAGTTGATCTGTAGGCCTAGGGGTAGGGTGTCTGATCGCGCACCCGATGTTGTGTGCTAAAATACTTCCCATAGAGATTGCACACATCCCTATGCAGTCTACGTGCGTTGCGCAACCTTTGGGGCTTCTGATCCTGAAGGTGAAACTCAATAAATGAGGTGTCGTATGAAAGAGCAGGTGTTTCTCCATATTCCCCAAAGGGGCGCACCCCCAAAATTCTAAAAATATTTTGGTCAAAACAGCGATTTAAATGTTGTTTGCATCCTAGCTCCAAAATTTGCCACTTACCTGAGCTACGCCCCCCGGGCTTATGTCCGGCTAGACGTAAGGAAATATGTATGCACTTATTTTTTCGCTAGCCCCGAGAGATCACTCGCCCCAACAGTTTAAAAATACCCTTCCCACATTTTTGGAATCAGCTAATTAGGAAGGCGTGAGCTCCGCTCAGTTCAAACCATGGTTACATCGTGTAACATCTGCGCGTATAGTGAATGAAAGTATGGATAGCTGTTTGCACCATAAACCCTGGAAGTGAATACACGTTATAGTCAATGGCAATATCGCGGAGACGACGTGCACGTTGTCTCCGCGATATTGCCATTGATGATAACGTGTATTCACTTCCGGGTTTTATGGCGCGAACGGCTAGCCATACTAGTCAATGGCACATATCGCGGAGACAGCGTGGCTCAAGCTGCAAGTTGTGCATGACATGCGTACGCTATGCATACGCTTGCATATCGTGCGATACAGCTGTTTGGCTTAATTTAGCAAAACAACATAACTCTGCGTGTACGTCTTTTTCGTCGATTCTGAGCAAAATCCCATGAATATTGCAGCGTTTCGGAGGGGCTGTATCTTTTGATAGAAACATCGTTGAGACTTGAAATTTGAAATGTATTATTCTGATTACATTTTTAATTCAAATATCAAACAAAAATGGTGAAAAACGATCCCAAATTGAAAATTGAAAAATCATTCAGACACCCTACTAGGGGCGCTGGTCCGGGAATAAGGATCATCTCTGTAAATGCGGACAAATGCGGCATTAAAAACAAGGATCATACACATTTTCGGGAATGATTCGTATTTCCGATCCGCGCATTGGCGGTGTGAAAAACGGATTTTGCGATGATGCTCCTTCATGCATTTCACACTTACTTTGCACAGAGACGTACACGTTATGAACGTTATGTAGAACGTTATGTGGAAGACGGACAACCCATAAAAGTAGACAGTGAACTGGGGATATTTTATTGTGCGGAATCCATTTTTTGCATTGCCAGTGTGCGGAGCGGGAACCCTACACCCGCAGATCGCTGAAGAAAAAATATGTGTGCGAAATTGTGGACGATCCTTATTGCTTAGGATGCGATTTGTCCGGGTTTACGAGGATATCCTCATTTATGCGGACGACCCTCATTCTCAGACCAGCACCCCTACTGTTGACTGTCATAAAATAAGGATCGTTCGCATAAACGCGTTCGATGATATCCTGGTAAGAAAAGAGAATAAGAAGAAAAGAAGTTAAGATTTCACCTGGCTTCTGTGGAATGGTTACAAGTTGGGTTTCAACAAGGACCAAGATGGAGCTGTACATGGTATCACATTTAAATTCATCATTGCAGTCGTTCCCATTCTTCTGTTTATTTTGTCAGTCTTCACCAATTTGTAGTGGAGATCTACTTCTCATTTTATACACATCTCCTTAAATTTTCCTTTTTTTTCTTTTGCGACCCAGCCCATTGTTAACCATTTGATGGAACTTTGCAATCAAAATTTGATGATGCAGATTTTCTAGAAAGGTTTTTTTTTCTGCCTATCTTTGTCAAATAATTATACAATTCTCCTTTACTTCTCTGCTTTACTTTCTATCCAGATCAAACTCGATGGCTACCGTGAAATGGTAACGAGTGGGAAGGGTCTTTAAACAAGGTCCAAATGAAGCTCTGTCACACTTTATACATGTGATGCAGTACCCCCCATTTTTCTATTTTATTCTTTCTATTATATACCATGATATTTACCTTATTAACTTGATATGAACATCCTTTCATTTAATCTTTGTTTTTCTATTTCTCCCCAGACCAAACTCGATGGCTACCGGGAGTTGGTAACGAGTGGGAAGGTTCTTAACAAGGACCAAGAGGAGGCTGTGTCACACTTTGAGGAAGTTGGTGCGTCGCTGGAGTTTGCTAAAGAGCTCTCCAAGCAGTTCACCACCATCCTCAGTGAGGTAGGCTTGATCCCTTGACCTTTGACATCTAACCTTTGGGCATTGTATCATTCTAAGAGCAATTTCCCTGCCTCAAAGTAGATGGAATTTTGGTAGAGACATTTTAACGATAAATGGGAGTTGTAATTGCACTGGAAAGCTTTCAACGACCTCTGGTATACTGATAAATATCTCTGATAATTTTTGTTTTAAAAAAAGCTGGGAGAATGAGACACTTTGCACTGCAAAGCAGAGTAGCGTTGTGAAGTGGGAAAACACAACAAAACAAACAGGCATAATGTATCGGTCTAGTGAATATAAATCATGTACAATGAGTAAGATTGAGTTTGTTTATTTAAAAATAAAGAGTACTATTCTTTTGTAATGCCTTGGCCTACCGATGGCATAAAAAAGGTTTGTTTTGGGTAGTCCATCCATCTGTCTTACTTGGGAGGTACTGACCTATCTGTCCTATGTCCTATATCACCATAGGAAGAAAATCTGATTAGGTTGTTTGGGTATGTAGGTCAAAGGTTAAAAGGTATAAATGTCTATTTCTTAAACTACAGGTATTAGCCTAGTTATTGCGAAATCTAGAAAAATACATGAAGTATGGATTTCAATCTTGGTGAGAATATGTTTCAACATAGGAAGATAATCTGATTAGATTCTGGGGTAGGTAGGTCACATGTCAAAGGTCATAAGGGTCAGTCTCTGACAGAACATGTATTAGCCTTGTTATATCATTTAGAAGCAGCTTGTCCTGTGTACTTTGTAAGTTATGTGCATGTAAATGTGATTTAAAACTTTAAAAGATAATAATTCAGACAAATAATCTGGAGCTTTAATAACTGTTCAATGTTTTGTACACAAATATATACATTTAGTTGTATACATGTATGTTACCTGGTTTAGCCTGGAGTCTTACATCATGAATGTACATGTACATTGTGTGCAGGCAAACTACTTCCTGGTATTGTTGTCACAATGCCAGACTCTGTACATACATGTACAGTAAGTATGTCACACAGGAAATCAAAATTTAAGCAGCAGAGTGGCCTGGGAAGTTGGGCAAGAGGGGAAGAGAGAAGAGTAGTAGAGATAGAGGAAGAAAAGGAAAAAGAGAGAGAGCATGAGAGGAAAGGAGAAAGAAAAAAGGAGAAAGAAAAAAGGTGAGAAAGAGAGAAAATTAAAAGGGGGAGGGGGTAGGGGGGGAGAAATTAAGACAGAGGGAGACCGAGGAGGGTAAAAAGTTGGAAGAGAAAAAGAAGAGAGAGAGATTAAGAGGAAAGGAGAACGAGAAGGGGGGGGGGGGGGGGGGGGTAGAAGAGAGAATGAGAAGAGGACTGAGAAGGAAAAACAAGTTGGAAGAGAGAAAAAAAAGAAGAATGACAGTGAATGAAAAAGAGAGAGAGAGAGAGAGCCATAGGGTTAGATACAATGAATGGAGAAAGAGTAACAAATATTCTTTACAACATGCTAACAAAATTATGTTAAGGGGAGAGGATTGAAATGATTATGAAGGAAGGGGGAGGGGGTGCCCCTGAGTACATCTATTTTTCCCCTAGTGGTTTGCATTGTTGTTGCTACCTTTTTTTTTCTAGGCAAACAAGGTGCAGAAGAGAGAAGCAAAACGTGGGAAACAGCAGAAACATGAGCAAGAAGTTGGCAGGATATCGGAAGTTCTCTTACTGCAGAACGTCCTCTTTCATATGGGCCAAGACCATGTGAGGGCGGACTTTCTCGCTGGGACGAATGGTGCTTTGGTGAGTTTCAGAACCACTGCTCTTTAGCTATGGTATGTCCATGTTTTGTTGAAAGTATGCTGGCTTGAATGCAGGGAAAAGAAAAAAAAAAAAATTTGAGGGCTTCTTTTCAATCTTGCTTGCATGAAAATAACACTCTTTAATTCGTTTTGAACTCTATGTAAATTTTGGAGGACCCTTTATGACTTTCGGGGGCTCTTTTTGGCATTCTGGGGGTCAAATCGCCCTGAGCCCTTGTGTATTTTTTCCCTGCTTGAATGCTGAGGTATCTGTCTGCGAATCAATCATTACCTGCCTGTGTTTTGCTAATCAAACTTTACAACAGAAATCTATGTTTTCTTCTCGTAAGAAAAAAGTAATCAGATTACCTTACAAATATGGATCTAGTCAGCGGAAGAAGGAAATTGAAAGGTAAAACATTGGGGCTTAAACCAATTTGCAAGTCAAGAAAAGTTAGTTCGCACTTTGTAGCATCTAAAAAAAAGAAGATAAAATGTGAACAAGTCAAATTTTTGCTCAAAGCCTGACAGATAATTTCTCTGCTTAAACTGATTTACAGCACCTTCAAGAAGAAGAGCTATCCCATCTAGACGAGTTCTTCAAACTGGTCAGTCCATCAAGAGAGGGAGATGAGGAGGAGGAGGAGACAACGGAGGAGAATATTAGGTATGTTAGCCAGGGTCTGCTTCTGTAGCATAACATTGTCATCATTGGCTTGGAGGCATACTTTGCTGAAACAGTTGGTGAGGAAGTTTCTCACAGTCACAGTGGTATTAACTATATGAGGGAGGGAACTATTTGATGCCCCACGATTTGACCTTTGATCGCGTCTGTGTGCACATGTCATAAGTATCTTTACACTATGGTAACTACTTAATTACTGATTGTTCATGCTTTTGTGTGTCTTGTCATTGCAGCTTTGACAAGAAGCTAGAGATAGCAACGAGTCATCTGAACAGCTACTTGAAGGAGGATGAGAGGGAAGCCTGTCAATCAACCTGTATCCTTTCACTCAATATCATTCCTATCATCCTACTGGGCCCTGTTTCACAAAACTTGTCATCAGTGTTATAAGCTACTGAAATCCTTGCTTCTGATTGGTTATCAGCAGATTTATCACTGATTTTTGTCATTTGTCATTGAAAAAAGGCTTTGTCCCTGGTTTATATCCGTTTGGTCTACATCTAGTTCTTCTGCTACCCAATTGGTCTATACACCAGTTTATGGTTGTGTGCGCCATTTTAAACAAAGCCAATGACCTAGAGGTCATGTATTTATGTGTAAATTGAGATTGCGCCCATGCAAATTATGATGATATCACTGCCTACGCGCTGCATTGTGCGCGCACATCATCATTTGCATGGGCGCAATCTTAATTTACGCATACACCTGTAAATACCACTGACCTCAGGTCATTGGCTTTGTTTCAGGGCCAATGACCCGAGATCAACTGTCTGCGCATGCGCACTGATACAACCGTAAACTGGTGTATTCCCCTATGCCTCAGTCACGCCTTTGCGTATTGCTGCGTAACTAACAGAGAATCGTTTCTTGATATTGAGAATTCATTTCTTGATATCAAGAAATAGGAATAAATGTTAAAACGGCTTGCCATAAATACGCAGCAATACGCAAGCCAAATAGGCAAAGGTGTGACTGAGGCATTATGGTCTACACCAAGCCAGTCTACTATCCACATGGCCTACCGGTAATAATAATGTTGTCTAATTATCATTTGCTCCCATTTCGTCTACCATCCATCGGATTTGATATTTTTCCTTAACTCGCCACCCTTCCTCCGATCAGACAAAGATATGTTCCATTTAGTCCAGAGAATCCACAAATGTGGGTACCTTGAGAACATCCCCACCCCTCCCGAAGACCCTGCCGCAGAGGATCCAGCCCCTGCAGCCGTGGCTCCTGCAGCGGCCTACGAGGCTCCGGAGCAGGAGGAGGTGACGTACGAGCAGGAGACGCCGTACCAGGAGAACGAGCAAGAGTTTGTAGAGTCTTTGAACGAGGCTCCGTCAGAAAGCTTCTTCACCGGAGCTCCCTCAGAGCAGATGCAGCAGGCTCCTGGCATGCAGTCGGCACAGAATGAAGTGAGTTTGCAATCAACAGTTAGGTTACATGTTCAGAGGACCATACGTCTTTGTGAAGTGTCTTAAAAACAATTAGTTCGTTCAACTGTTACAAATAATTATGTATCAATAGTCGAAATTTGAATTGCATACATTAGTTGTTGCCAGTATGATCCTGTAACTTGCTGTGCTTTTACATCTCACATCCAGCCCTCTATCTGCGAAAAAAAAAAGTTATTGGGTTATGTATTGTTGGCAGGTTGACCATGAGATGGTGCTGTGCATTAAACATTACACCTGGGCAAAAAGGTTTGTCAGTTCTTAAGAGGCAGCTATGTAGACTTATTCTGCTCCTCATGTTGACAACAAATAGGAGTATGGACCCTGCTTAATGAAGTCCTAGGGGAAAAGTCATTGTAGGAAAACGTTAGGATCATTGTGCCAACTTGCGCCACTCTCTGTTTGTCTCTCTCTCTCTCTCTGTGGCTGTTTCCTTATCTATCTCCCTCTTTCTCTCTCGCGTATCCCAGGCACCACAGATGCAAAGCATGTCATCAGAAACCCAGCAGCACCAGCCCCAGGGCCAGCAGACGCATGGTGATATGGCGCCCTCATCGAGAGTACACGACCTCCCCCATGCTCCGGAGCCCATCGAGATGCCCCCTCCCAAGCAGGCGCATCATGATGTCAACGAGGTGCTCGCTCCCGTCTTAGGTAGCTTCAACTTTGTGCAGGACTCAATGCTCGATTACGATTGTAAGTGGGTTGCAAGCAGGTCGTAGTACAGGGGGTGTTTCACAAAGATCCTAAGTCGAACTTAAAAATTATGGAAAGCCACTTGTAGCCTTAAAATAAGGTATATTCAAAAGCGAAAATTCAAGTATTGTAGACTTTTTATAAATTCCACATCAAGAACATGAAATCTCCTTGATAATAGAAAACATGAAGGATTTGACTCAACATTTTATTGCCTTTTAAAATAAATTTTACAAAATATTTTCATAGATGCTAATGGTTTTCCATAATTGTTCAGTCCAACTTAGGATCTTTATGAAACACCCCCCTGTATAAGCAGTTATTTTTGCAGGGTTTTTATTTCTGTGATTTTCGCGAATCACTCATTGATCGCGAATTCAACAACATGCGCAAATAATTCCATCAAGTAATGTCACATCCCCAAATCACTGAAGTAAGTAAGGGGGTAAAACAAATTTGGAAAAAATAATTTCAAGGAAAGAAAAAACATTGATAACAAAAAAAATGAACGCCTCAGTATTGGGTGTTATTTGTTACATACAGTCCTCAAGAGGGCGACATGCATCGATTAAAAATATATTATTTCACCCGCCGGTGAATATAACACTGGAAAGTGACCGACCAGGAAAATTTAACTATTACGATCCTCGCAATCGATATCACTTGAAGAGCTCTGGACCAATCACATCTCGGTATCTGTCTAAGCTATCTAATATAAACATGTTTGTTTGTATCCATGGAAGTAATAACTTTGATTGTTGTTGTCACTTTGCAGCACCTCACATGGATCCAGCCGTCGTGGCAGTGTCACAGCAACCGTTCATCCCTTCATCAACATTCACAAATAATGTACAGTCCTCAACAGGTATGTATGTGCAGATGCTAAGAAGGGTGTAGGCAAAAGGGAATTGTTAGGGCAAAGGAGGGAAGAGTGGAAGGAACTAGACTGAGAAGGAGACCCAGAATCAACTGGGAAGAGAATAGGCCTAGAAGAGAATGTCAAGAACTGGAGTGGATTAAAACTGCAAGAGTGCACCAGAATGGCAGAAGATACTTAGATAGATAGAGGGCAAAGGAAGTTGTTGGAGAGGGGGAGCAGGAATGGGGAGGCAGGGGGCAAAGCATATTAAAGTTGTATCACAGTAACCTTTTTATCCCTTGATACACTTTCATAAATAACGTACAGTCCTCAATAAAAATGGCAGGTGTGTATAGATGCTTGGGAGGTGGAGGAGAGAAGGGGGATGGGAGATCAGGAACAGAGAGGGGGGGGGGGGGGAAAGGAAAAAAATCAATAGTGTACTGTTCTACATTTAAAGCCTGTCTGTACTAGTTTGGCCAAGGGGGATTAGATCTTCCTGCAAGAAAAAGAGGATCATGGGGGACCAACAGGCACCAATTTGGCATTGTTTGCTATATAGAGGGCCCAAGTAGCTATAAGTGCAGTGGGGCTTTAAATTCTCTTGGTTTTCTGATGATTTTTGTTCATTTTTGTTTCTGTTTCCTAGACATGTCACAAACGGACCAGGGATCACAGCCAGGCCACCAAACGTTAGCGGATTCCCTCGCCGCCCAACAACAACAGATCCCTACTGAACAGAGCTACCAGCAGCAATCAAGATACGACTGCTCACAGCAGACCTACGGTTCCCAGTCCTTATCCGACCAAACACCCTACACCAGCCAGACGATGGACGGTGGTAACGCAGGGTATGCTGGACAGGCTGATCTGTCGAGCGCGAGCAGTGCGCAGGTCGATTATGGGTCGTCGCAAACATCGTCGACGAGTGGGAAGCTGAACGAGCTCCAGGAGTTCCCAAGTCCACCGGTCGATTCGCAACAGGTAAGGATGCACATAGAAAATGTGGTTGCACTTAGTTGTTATTTCTTTTCAAATGATGGAAACAAAATTCTCTCGGTGGACATATAGGATGAATACAGAAATATCCAGAGGATTTTTTAGGACTGGACACAATGGCCTGAATTCACAAAGGAAGTTTAAATTTTACCTACGGTTTAAATCTTCATTTACATAACCCGTGGTCTAAAATTTGTGCAAAATAAGCGTGACACAGTCAGAGGCTCAATATTAGACGCGCGCAAGGCAAGGTACTCTTATTTTGCGCTAATTTTAAACCATGGGTTATGTAAATGAGGGTTTAAGCCATGGGTTAAATATAAACCTCCTTTTGTGAGTTTCGGGCCGAGATGTTTAGAAAGTATTCCCTTTAAATTATAGATTAAATTTTAATTCTTAATCTTAATTCCATTTTGACTCCTTTCTGTTTTTCCAGTAAAAAAAAAACTTATTTGATTACAAAATGTCAAAGAGCAGAATGTCAACTTGGTCTGTATTCTATTTGTAAGTTTGAATTTTCTCTTTCTTTCTTTAGGACCAGTCAGTGTTACAGACTACCATGTTAAACCAACAGAATCTCTCTCACTCAGCACAGTACAATGAAAGCTACTCCCAGTCATTAGGTATGTCATATTAATTCAACCAATTCAATTCATTTTATTTCTGTGAAACTCATAAAACAGTTGAGGTAAAATGTGTACAACAATGCAGAGATTAAGCATTGAAATATTATAATAGTAACATGAACATGCAATAAAGAATGATATATACTTAATATGATAATTGAGTATATGTGAAGGGACTAGTAAAGGACAAAGGGCTAATCCCAGTAAGGTTGGGATAAGAAATAATTTAGCTAATGAATTATACAATCATTTAAAACAACATCATCATGACATTTGATGTGGTAGTTTGGCTATATTAGAAAGATTTTAGTAAGGATCCTTATAGGGATTGGGTATCTTTGTCTCAGATTCTGAAATAAAATCCTAGGTTTAGCTCACGCTGCAATGATAATTATAAACCTTTAGGTCAGTCAGGAACCCCATGACTTTTACAAGCCAATCGCCTGTCTGATTATCAAGATATTTATGATTGGAAATCAAAATTTGAAATTTTGTTTTCCTAACAATTTTTATAACACTGCAGTCTTTTGGGGAAAATGAGTATGGTAAAACCGGTCACTCAAAGATGTTTTACTTTCTTGAGGCACCTCATAATCATTTTGAAACGAATTCTTTTAGGGCTTCAATATTACACCATATCACAAACACTGATAACACGTAGGGCCATGCATCTCAGATTTAACATTGTTAAACAATGCCTTAAAGTCTGGGATTGTTACATCTTCCACAGGTTCGGGCCAGCTTGGTAACGATGGCGTCACATCTTCGTCCAGTCCTCTGACCATCGATCCCTCCCAGGCTTCTATACCCCTCCCTGGAGAACAAACAACGTCTGATGTACAGCAGGGTGAGTAGAGATTAGATTTGTTTGTGGGAGGGGAGGGGGGTCATTTAGCCCTACCTGGGGAACAGATAATATCTGATGTACAGCATGGTGACTAGAAGCATACGTATAGTTTAGATTCATTCCTATATTCATCATCTTAGTCGTTTAACCTTAGTTTTTCCCACACTGTGGTTGGATGTTTCATTTCCTCAATGGCCCTTCTCAAAGCATTCTAATCTTCAGCATCCACCTAGGTGAGGGCAGACACTCTCGTGTCTTACTCTGATATCTTCCTCCAAGTTTTGTGAAGTCTGCCAGGGGGGTTTCGACCTAGTGTACATGTAGTGGAAAGCATTGTGAAATATCTTGCATTATCCTGTTTGGATTCCCCTCTGTTCCTTTCCAGGATCCATTCCACCAAAGTCCACCATGAACGCCAGCGCACCTCCCTTCCAGATGACCAACTCCATGCGATCATCCCCTCAGATGCAGGCCATGCAGTCCGCCCCCGCAGGCCAAGTGGGACAGCCCCAGGACATGGGTGCTTACACAGGGATGGACCAGAGCCAGGACTTCAACCATTCTGCTGGGAGGGATGTGGATAGGACGCATTCACCCTCACAGGATATGAAGATGGATCACCAGCAGCAATCAGAAGGACCAGGTAAGGAGTCTTTATCAGCTTTCAGGTCTTGGAGTTTCCACTTTTGCTGAGGATTAAAGTCTTGAAGGCATCGTTTGTTAAATCTGAGATGCATGGCCCTAAGTATTATCAGTGTCTGTGATATGGTGTACTATTGAAGCTCTAAAAAAAATCGTGCTTCAAACTGATCAAGAAGTGCCTCAAAAAAGTTAAATCTTTGAGTGACCGGTTTTACCATACTTGTTTTCCCCAATAGACTGTAGTGTTATGAAAACCGTTTGGCAAACGTTTTTCAAAATTATTAATTCCAATCATAAATATCTTGATAATCAGACAGGCGATCGGCTTGTAAAAGTCAAGGGGTTCCTGACTGACCTAAAGGTTTATAATTATCATTGCAGCATGAGCTAAATCCAGGATTTTGTTTCAGAATCTGAGACAAAGTTACCAGATCCCTTTAAAGTGACTCGGTAACATTGTTGAAGGTTGATTGAAAAACTGCGTAAGTTTTGTATGAAATCTAACTTATTATACTCTTTCTACTGAACTAACCCTCTACCATGCAAAAAATCGTGAAAAAATTCTCAAACCACAAAGATATTTATGTTTTTTGTTTTGACTTTTATTGCTGGTGGAAAGCATATTTCCACATTTGTTGACAAGAATAAATAAATCAATAACTTTGTGTTAGATGCAAGGTAAATGCTGATGGAATAAAATTTCTGTTGTTGATTTCTCTGTAGGTAACTCGTACGGAAACAGCTACCAACCGCAATACTACAAGAACGGGCGTGGTGGCAAGCCTCGTGGTGGTGGTGGAAATCCTAACTTCCGTGGTAGTAGGGGTAATGCTCCTTTCATTAGGGGTGGTACACGATACACGGCACCTCAGCAACGAGGGGGAGGAGGAGGAGGAGGTAAGACCCCTACATTCAAGTCAATTCAATTAGGTTTTATTCAATCTTGTCAAAAAGTCTAAAAATGTGAGTTGACATCATACTATGATACATACAATTATATAAATAAGCATTCATGCCAAAAAAAGGATGTTTTGAATGAAAGATATTTCATACTTTCCTAAATGATCCTGGAGATGGTGAATAATCTTTGTGAAGCTCTGTTAACCATTGTCCAGGAGGAAATAGGTTTGATAAGATGTATATTATTTAAGAATTGGGAGTAGACCATGTAGAGTTACATCCCTTTGGTTCTAGCTGTGAATAGATGATATTTTCTTGGTTGTTTGTATGTGTCCACTCCATACTTAAAGGTACTTCTAGGAAAAGTTCTCTTCCCAGAAAAAATATAATTGGTAATAACTCCTGAAATATCTTTTCTACCATGGCAACTTAAGCGTCAAACAAACGAGCATTAAACACTCTTTATTTTGGTTGGTATATAATTAGGATTGAACTAGATATTAGATTATGGTTTTCTTGAAAATAAATAACTTTGGGGGAAAATTTGGTAAACATTTTGGACAAAACATGCTATCATGTCGTCTCATTATTGATGCCAAAAGCACTTCAGATTAATAAAATATAATTATTATAAACACTAATTTCCTCCCCAGGTCAAATGAATTTCAACACCTTTGGTGGTCATCGCGATGCCTTTGCACCTCGAGGCCCCGACATGAGCTACAACCCTAACGCTCGCTACGGTGGATTCAACCAAGTCCAGCAGCAGCAGGATCAGAGCTACTACAACAGACGCGGCGGAGGAATGCCCAGGGGTGGTGGAAACCGAGGAGGTGGTAAGTTTGCAATGATATATTAAAGCCCCACTGCACTGCACTGCACTGCACTCTCTTCAAATTTATTTTAATCACTCATGCGTGAAATATGCATCATATGATTTGCTTCAAATGAAAGAAGAGGATATAAGCTTTACAAAAATGTGTCATTTATTAATTATAATTGTGATTAAATTATGATAAAACATAGATAATTCTCGGTTTCGTTTTTTCTGGGACACACTGTATAGCTAACAATGCCTAATCGGTGCCTGTTGGTCTCCCATGATCCCCCTTTTCATATGTTAATTGAGAGCTGAGTTGATGAGATAACCACCTGTCAGTGACCACGCTGTGTGGTCTAATCCCCCCTGGCCAAACTAGTGCAGGCGGGCTTCAAAGCGCAATCCAACCTTTGTAATAATTCTTTTGTATGAATTTTTTTTACTACCCCCTCACCTTTTTACCGTCACCTCACCTTTTTACTAAGCCTGAGTTGTAACAGTTCCCAACTGCACCTGAAAGCTGGGTTTGAATATTTGATTTCATGTATTTCAAAATTGAATTTCACACCAATATTTTGCAATAAAGTACTGAAAGAATTAGGCCTGAGTCAATCCGTTTAACCGACGGTTATCCGACCGCATTCATCAAAACCGTTTAGCATTTCTTGCTCCGTTTAACCGTTATATGCATACATTTTGGAATGTGCTAATAGCCGATGATAAAGATAATCAAAGAAACCGCAGTGTAATGTTACACCCTGTCCGCTGCGCGCCAGCTTTCTGGCAGCAGTAATCTCCATGAATGAATTTGTAAACAATAAAACAACCATGCCCTCTTCCCTATTTTCTCACCCTCTCTATTCCCTTCTCTCTGCAATGTGTTCATGTACCTTTTCTTATTACTGCACTCTCAGACAAGCAAAGTTCTAAATGTTTACACATTCGATGGTCAGTTCCTCTCACATCATCCTTCTCCTCCCGAGTCTCTCTCTCTCTCTCTCTCTCTCTCTCAATATTAATATCAATCCCTTGCCGACTCGCCCCCCTAAAATAATGTTCATATATAAATAAAATACAAAAATAATGATAACAATAATAATTGAAGTTTTAGAAATATCAATCAACAAAGTCTTGGACATTGTGAGTAATTTAAGTTTTTGATCACACACAGCCACCCTTTCTATCTAGCTAGTCTCACTTGTCTTAATTCTTCACTCTCTCATGTTCCTGCCTGGTCCATGCAGCTCTCTTTCATACACACACACGTACACACAAACCTCAAACATCGTACACACAAACCTCAAACATCGGCGCCCAATACACTGTACATGTACATACACACAGATGGAGAGCACATGGCTTCTTGACTCCCACTGAACTGTGTGAAAGCACGTGCGGTCACCAACCTGTAATTTATGCTGGTATCAAACTCCACCCACATAGCTAGAGAACCTTCCTGATTGGTCACTAACTTGGATCAGCTCATTGCAGGGTGTGTCTTGGTAGTGAGTGTTACACACTTCCACATAATTTCATATGGCAATGATACATGCAGCAGGGACATGCTAGACATGTCCTTGCATGAAGGGAGCTCTCTCTCTCTGACCACATGCAAACATTGCATTGCAAAGGCATATATAAACACGTCACAGATCAAGCTATCTTCACAGCGCGCGTAACTTTGCAAGGTTAATCATGATATCAGATTCAGATGAGGAATAATAAGATATTTTGTATGTTGTTTATTACTGGTCTCTGTTTATCAGAATGACCCAATTTGTGCCAAAGTCCGGCTCGGAATGCTCAGCGCGACAGTCTGAAGACCATCAGGCGTTCCGAGCTACATCGCTATTACAAATACTGTATTTTCACTTTTTCAGATTATTATTTAACGGTTAAACGAAACCGCCCGTATACTTTTAACGGTTATCCGTTTAGCACAAAAACCGTAATGACTCAGGCTTAGAAAGAATACAATTCACAAACTTAAATTTCAATTTAATTTAATATATATGCTTTAGAAATGAAAAAGACAAACAAATAAAAGTGTTGTGAGGATAAGATATGATAATAATTGTATGCCCTTGTTTTGATGTCAATCACAGGTCGTGGAGCCCAGGGAGGACCTCGCAACCAGGCCCCTTACCGTGGGGGTCGGGGCAGCTTCGGAAAGCCCAGTCAGGTGACCGTCTAACCCTCGACAACGCAAGAGACGAGCGTGAAGAGGAGAAGGAGAGACGGAGAGAGTCGCTGAAGGAGAGGAGAAATCATGATGATTCTACTGTCTGCAGTGTAGCCAAAACATTACATCAATTACATCAACAGCAGATTTAACAATCTTTTGTTATTGATTTTTATTTTCTTTCAATTTTCCACCAAATTAGAAAGTTGGGCATCCTTAATGGTACATTTGATGAATCTGTATAATTTATCTGACCCAGGTTTATAGTTTATATTTATTTTCTACTTTGCATCATAGTCTTTTTTTTTTGTACACGTTTTTCAATCATGAGATTTAGGCTATAGGATTTGATGTAGTGTTGGATGGCGAAACTGCAGAGGAGTGTGAAAGAGAAGAAAAAAACGGTTAAAAAAAAAATAGTAAAAGCTTGAAAAAAGTGTTGTTATAAAAAAAGAGGTGTGGTTTGGAGTTGCCAATTTGACGAAGCAAGGCAGCAATGGAACCATGCCAATTGTGTACGAGTTTAAGGGTGAGGAGGTCTTATTCTGTGGATCAATTATTTTTTTTCAGTTATTGTTTCTGTTAGGTATTATTATAAGATAATATATAATCAAAATTGCAAATGTATGAACACGTACAGAATCGACCTTCACCAGCAGTAATGAGTTTACATACCAACTTTTATTTTACTGGACCCGTGAAAAAACGCTGCTTTCTTGTGCATCACCTAGAAGCGTTACGAGTCTGTAAGGTTTCGCGGGGTCACTTTGTTGTGAAACGAAAGAAGCATGTGTACTTTGCTTGCTTGTTATTCGATAGTTTCTCCCTCGCATGCAATATCCGGTTAAATTCTGATTAACCGACGCAAGAAAAAGTCATCAATATATTTTGATCACCACCGATTCCTTTGAAATCCTTGTCCAGATATGAAACGGAAAATCGCTGCTTTTTTAAAATGATGACATAACTAAGTGTAAATCGCTTCACATTTCTGTTTCTTCGAACACAGATCTCGGTCAATACGCATAGAACCTTTGTTGTTTAATAGTTCCCATTCATTTCAACGTTTTCAAGAATAAAACAAAAACAAACATATCTGAATGAGCCCGAGTAAGTTTTCATTCAGAAATTGATGGGGAGGATTTCAAATCTACCGTTTCTTTAGGGAGTAAGAATTTCAGTATCTCTTGTATCAAGTAGGCACTGCTCAATGTGAGGTAGAGGCACAAATATACACGTACAACCAAACTTCGTTAGGTGACTATATGAGCTTCTGTTAAAGAAAAAATATTTGTCATCAAAGTAGGAAACTCTTTGCACAACGCATTTCTACTAAAATAGTTCTGTTGCACTAGATTACATCCATTGAAATTGATGCATACATTAGTCTACAAATTCAGGCATTGCTGGTATAATTTTGATAACAAGTTTTGATAACTTTCTCGAGCTTTATGGTTGGAAGACATTCCTGACATTGTAATATTTTTGGTTTGTATCCTCTTAAAGTATTGGTAGCCGTTTGAAGCCAATTAGGACCCATATGTGCATCATGTGGACAATTTGTTTGAATTGAATTACTTTTGGTATCTGTGTGGGCTCTGGGTTAGGTTGCTGCAGACACTATGAATATGACCAACAAAGAAAGCGGACAAAATATACAGTTTCTCAGGTAGACAAAGGAACATCCCTTCACTGCTATTGTGTAAAAATGTGTAGAACAGGTGTCACATGCATATTCACCTGTTCTACACATTTTTTCATAATAGCAGTGAAGGGATGTTCCTTTGTCTATCTGAGGAACTGTATATATTGGCCGCTTTCTTTGTCTGTCATGTTCATAGTGAGAGCATGACTGCGTACCTACTACCTATTCTGTCTCTCTTCTGCTTTTGTGTGTGATCAATGTTAAAAGTAAATCCATTTGTGAATTTGATGAGACTTATCTTGGCATCCGATAGTAGCATGGTAAGAAATTGATACTTTGAAAAACAAATATGAAGCTCATTATTACAGATCTTTTTGGTTAGAGGAAATTACTTAGTAAAAATTACTTTTGTTAGATCAACTTTTGTTAGATTGTGGGGTTAAAAGCAACTGGAAACTAAATAAGCAGTACCGATATCAACAATTTTCATCCTGAAAACAGTTTCATGTGAAGATCATATTTGTTATTAGCTTTGCCTATACATTAATACACATGCTTATAATTCCATCATGGGGGAAAAAAAGGTTTTACGATCCTAGACTATTTACTGCAAGGCCCAAGTAATGAACTATTGCATAGTGTATTTCAATCAACAAAATGCAGTTTACATGTAAATGTATTGTTGCCATGTCAGACAAGCCTCAGGCAATTTTTGGCTGTCTGTTGTAGCAGCATGCTTAACAATTTCACAGTGCAACTAGATAATTGCAATCTACAATTGTATTGTATTTGTAAGTTACACTGTCACTATTGCATAATGCACATTCAGTTTTACTTTTGTCATCCTGCTATTCATTGCCCCAAATAATCATCCATCCACTTCTGACAAACTTCAATTATGCTACAAACCAATGTCATACCGGTATGCTTGTTTCATTCGCAATGCAGTCCCAAATATTTACTTCTCTGTAAAGCATTGATGAGATATAAAGTGGTAACTTAAGCCATGGCAACTTGTTTAATGATGACGTCCCCGATTGTAATGCGCTTCATATTTCTGTATCTTACAACACCGATCTAAGCGGTTATGCGTGGGACCTTTGTTGTGCAGTTGCCATACACATTATTGAAGAAAAAAAAAACGCTGTGGTCTATCATTTCATATCTGAACGAGCCTCAATCAATACCAGTATTTAATCTCTCATGAAACGTCTTTGTAAACAATGAAACGTCTTTGTAAACGAAATATGGATGTTATCCTTCACCCCGTCAAGGCTTCAATGATGTGCATATTTTTGTTTGTAATAGCTTGTATTCGAGAGGGGAAAGGAACCAGTTCAAAACTGTCATCCAATGCATTTTCTTTTCTACAATAATTTCCACAAACCAAGAATATTTGGTGTCACCAACGTTTGTTTAGATTCCTGTTCAGTGTTCTTTTGTTACGGATAGCTCAATTTTTGCCTTAATCTACTGTGATTTCTTGAAAGATTGCATAACAAAGTGGTGCGCACGGTTTTAGTTGGTTTGTATAACTGAGATTCTGTACCATGCATTCATGCAATAAAAAAAAAATCTCTTCAAATATAAATCTCTGGTCTTGTGTTTTTTTCCTCTTGGGCCTCTTGGGTGAGTTGAGAGTGAAATGTTTGGCATGGTTAAAATCATACAGGTATTGCATTATAGCTCAGGCCCGATGAAAACCCGATTTAAATCGGTTTCCTGATTTTTTTTTTCTTCCCGATTTATAAAAAAAAAAAAATGCAGATTTTTTTTTTTTTTTTACCAATTATTTTTCTTCTTCCATATTTTATCCTGATTTTCCTGATTTCCCTCTTATTTTCTCTATTCTTCCCTATTTTGTCCCATTTTTTTTCTCCAATTTTCTTACTCGAAAGGGGGGAATGTTGTTAGATGCCATTTCCCCCCCGCGAATCCTCTTTTTTTTTTTTTTTTTTTTTTTTACTCAAGGGGGGCGTGGTTGAGGGAAAAAAAAAAAAATAAATTTAATGCTCACTATCACCCCTGTAGCTAGATAAATTAGGACTAATTATTACAATGAATTAATTAACTTCTCTGGAGATCATTACCTTCTCTCTCCTTTTCTCTCTCTCTTTCTTCCCTTTCCATGATTACTTTACCTTCTCTCTCTGATGATTTTCTCATACTATTTTCACCCTCTCTCCTTTTCTCTTTCTTCCTTTTCCAAGAGTACTTTACCTTCTCTGCTTCTCTCTTTTATAATTTTCTCATACCATCTTTCGCCCTCTCTCCCTCTTGCTTTGTCTCTCCTTTTCCATGAGTACTTTACCTTATCTCTCTTTCTCACACTATCTTCCCCCCCCCTCTCTTTTTAAAAAATCTCTTTCTTCCTTTTCCCAGAGTTCTTTACCTTCTCTCTTTCTCTACCATCTTTCCCCTTCTCTCTCTCTCTCTGTGTTTCTTTCCCGAGAGTACTTATCATTCTCTCTTCCTCATACCATCTTGCCCCCTCTCTCCTTTTCTCTCTCTGTCTTCCTTTCCCGAGAGTGCTTGATCTTCTCTCTCTTTCTTATACTACCTTACCCCCTCACTCCTTTTCTCTCTCTCTTTTTCTTTTCCACTTTCTCTCTCTGATCATTTTCTCATACTCTTTGTAAAGCATTATAAATTTACAGACAGTTCAAGTACATTTTGGTACATTTCAATTTAATGACAATCAAGCATAAGCAGAAGATAAACATAGACTTGTAATCCAATCAAATAATAAAAACTCCCTACCTTTACATAAACACTTTGTACTGTCTTCAATAAACAAATGAATAATACTGATCAACTGTAATATAATCAACTTTTTAACATTTCATTTCACTACGGTTACACACTTCAGCTTGAGGCTGTTCTTCTAAGTTTCCATAGAACATGATAAAAACATAACGTAAAAGACAGAAAAATATATTCATCAATCAACTAAAATAGATGGACATTAATACGAATAAGCTGCATTTAAAAGGATCGAGAAGAAATGACAACAATGTAAATCATGTTAATATTTGCACACATTAGGCCTGTCCTCATCAGCCAAATAACAGCTATTTTCAGACTCTGGATATTATCCCGTAGCTCAAAATTGTCAGAGTGATTTGCTCATCACAAATTAGCTCGGACGGGCGCAAATTAGCGATCGGGATAGTTAAAATAGAGCTGATGAAGACAGGCCTACTGTGAGAGAATGGTCACTCAACCATGTAACTTAATCTTGTTATGATACGAGGGCCTATTCGCCAGTTGAACATGGCAATTCTTGTCAAATACAATTTTCAATACTGTAAATTGTAACTAAGGGCAAAATATATAAACAGATTTGTAAATTGTAGGTAAAATAAATTAATTGTACCTATTCACAATATTTTTAACACAAATGCATGTACGTGTCTATGAATAGATTTGTAACTTGTACTGTCAAGCTCAACGCACACTATACCATCTTCCTGCGATCTTATTTTTAAAGAAATTGCAATAAAACATAGAAATCTTAAAGGTGAAAACCTAAGGTTTGCAAAAATATAGACAAAATTATCATTTCAAATAAAATTAAAATTTAATCACAAAATTAGGGTAAAATTCAAAAAAGTGCAAGATATAAAGATATCATTTGCAGGCAGTTCTTTATTTTGAATTAATCTGTACATCTTCAATCCCCTGTTGGGATTTACTCAGACTTTGGATGACCTTGCTTCTATCATAAACACGAGAGAAAAATCAAAGTGGTTGATATGTTTACAACATATCAGGTTTACAAGTAATAATTTGTTCCCATAAATAACAGTTGTTTGTTGGTTTGTGGTAAGTGTATAAGCTTTTTATATTTGTGTAGAATTATGTAGGTAGACTATCTTGCATCACATGTACTGATGACTTGGAAGTGTACTTTTGTGTGTCATCATAAATAATGGCAGAAAATGGCTTGTTGGCTTGAGAGCAGTCACTTAGAAATATCTTACACTGAAGACATTTAACTATCAGCATGTGAGAGAGAATTATTTGATCAGTATTTATAAGTTTAAGGAGAAAATGAAGAGGGTCCATGATTTTTTTTTGGCTGAGGAAAAAAAAAGAAAGGGGGGGGGGGCGGCTTCTCATGTCCCGCACAAATGCATTCGAAATGAGGGCCGAAGAGTTCCTGGAAAGAATGAAGGCACCTTCTTTCTCTCTTGAGGGAAGCAATGCAAAACAGGGGGGAAGTTCCTATATGAACTCTATTAGAACTACGGGGAAGAATAGAAGGAGTAAACAGGAATTTCGCTAGGGAAATATGATTATGAAAGTATGAAATATGAATGATTTGAATAAACATTTTATGCCTTGAAAGTTTTATGGATTGAAATTTTATGGATTGAAAGTCTATGACATCCTGGAGATGTTGGTGGAATGCCCAGAGGAGGGGGCGGCTTCTGATGTGTCATTTGGAAGCATACCAAATGGGCACCGAAGAGTTCTTGGGAAGGATGAAGGCACCTTCTTTCTCTCCTGAGGGAAGCAATGTAAAACGGCATCATGGCAGCCGCTGAGTGGAAAACACCTTGCCGTAGTTTTAAAAGGCCGATAGATTTTTGTTATGCCTTCCCTATCGAAGGTGATGCTGGAGGCATTATATCATCAAAGTAAGTCCCCCCCCCCCCCCCCCCCCCCCCCTCTGTACGGATCTTTAATTTACATCACCAGAGAGGTATCATCGCAACACTTTGTACACTAGCAGAAAGAGATCTTGTGTCATTTCACATCCAGGTCTATGCCTCTGCACCCTTTGGGTTACGAGTGTAGATCAGCTAAGAGCTGTGCTTCACAACTAGCTTCATCAAACCTTTCCTCAGGAGTTTCTCTAGGGTGAATCTGGCGAGGGAACCATGGATCTTCAGACACTCAGAGAAAATAGTAAGTTTGATTTATGCCGAAGAATATGCAAACTCATTCTTTCAAAGAATCTGTATATTACCTGAGGAGATGACTCTATATTCTGCTTATATTTTAAAGCCAAGTGATTACTATACTCTCAACATATATTACTATGAATTTATATCAAATTATTTTAACTAGAATCTAAACCGTAATTCTGTTCTTCAATTTTTATTTCGTTTTAAATTATTATCTATGTTCATTGTAATTGATATCTTTATTTTGTAATTTTGCATGTTTTTATCTGTGAACTGTATTGCAATTCAGCCATCAACGGCTGCAAAGATATATTTTGTTAAACCTTGAATTGAATAGATGATAAATATGATGATGATATATATCTAGCCCTCTCAAAGCCTGGCCAGAGAGGATAACTGTTGAACTTCTTCCTCGGCTGATAAATGACATAACAACATGGGATGTGTGCCCAGGTAATCCGGAATATATCATCCAAGAATCTGTGCTACCCAACAAACCAGCATATCTTCACTACCAGCCAGTGAATCAAACGACAAGGAGAGTTATGAAGAACCTCAGCTCAAACTCTCTGTGAATCAAACGGCAAAGAGAGTTATGAAGAAACTTGGCTCAAACTCTCTCTGGTCACATTTCAATGTACTGGGCAGGAAGGACAAGTGTGGAGTGAAGACGATTTAATGACTAAGTATGATATCAATGAATATCATGCGAACCACACCATTATTAGCTACACATGTATACACTTAAAAATTTATTTAATTCAATTTTGTTTTCATATGTTCAGGATGGATGCCCACAAGGGAACACTGAAGGCAAAAGAAAGCATTCAAAGTCGTCTGTTACAACTAGTTGGTATCTGCACACGCATGCGATACAAGCAGTACAATGTGGACACTGGAATCTCTTACATAATGAATGTAGTAGGGGAAATCGAAAAAAAAATGCTTAAAGCAGTTGATGAAGAGCAGACAATGGACAAAAATAGTGTTGTGCAAAAAAACAAAGAACTGGCTAAGCCACGCCCTCAAAAAGGAGTTACATGAGATGCGAGAAAGGATGGCTGTTACCCAGACTGAATTGGATACCTCAAGAGCCAGTTGGGATGCCAGAAGCATGTTTGATGACAATTCCCAAGACGCAAGTGAAAATGTGACAGTGACAGGCACTCCTACATGTAATGACCTGGATTCATCTGATAACAAAGAAGGGAGCATACTGGAAGGGAGCCTGCTTCTGACAAGTACTCCAAAACAAGAACCAAATTAGGAAAATGTGACGAACAGTCAAAATTTAGTTTAAGAATTTCAAATTGACATAGCAGTCAAAATTCTTATTTAAGAATTTTAAATCACATTGGAGAAAAGCAAGTAAAGCAAGTAAGTCTTCCTGCAGAAGAAGCTGATTTGGAATCTTTAGGCCAGTTTTTTCCGGATACTGAGAATTTCACAGTAGATGACCTAGCCTTTCAGCCACAATTTCAGTCTATGCCGAAACCTGGAATAGAACCAAGGAGAAAGAGGCACAGAGCAGTAATGTAGAGATTGGGAGTGAAGAAGTAGATGATGTGCGTGATGAGGACTACACGGCAGAGAGGTATAGGGCAAATGTTATTTTACAAGGCCCTTTGGCTGTATTTTAGTTCCCCTTTTCTCATTTGCGACTGGTAAATTTGGTGTCTTTGATACTGTTAACATGAATGATTGTATGTAAAAAAAATTATAATGTATAATATTAATGATCTATTGTTTATATATGAAGATGGAAATAATGTACAAATGAAAATGACAGGGCTCCTAAGTATTATCATTCATATTATTATTTTTGTTATACTCTGGACTGCATCATTGTTGAAATTCATGAATACTTGGGAGTAGATAATATATATTTCTATTATAAGAACAAGTTGACATAGAGGCTGAGGGGACCCTGGCAAGTTATTGCCACAGCATAGCAAAGCAAAAATCTGCTGTTTATTACCTTCCCAGAGCAACGAAAGGTAACTTTCCACCATCCGACCAGTGGCAGAAGAAAATAGGGTAACAACAGAGTTCCCTATTGCAAATACTTGTAGCATTCATTTGCAGTTGCCAATACTGTCAAATTATAACATATTTGCTGAGAGGATGAAACAGGCGATACAAAGTCCGCTCATGTTTCTATTGGAATGAGTTCTGCTATGTCCTTGCACAAGGTCAAAATGCTATCTTAACTGATACCAAAAAGCTTACGAGCCAGATCAATCTCCCATACTCGACAAAAATTCAGGACTAACGTCGCATCATTTAAGAGAAATCTAAAAACACATTTGTTTTCTTTGTAATTGTTATTTGTAATGCTCTTTGTAATGAGTGTAATGCACTTGGAGAGCATATAAATATTATGTTTTTATTTTAAAATGTAAAGCGCTTTAAGCATGTTTGTGTAAAGGTGCTATATAAATGTGTATGTATGTATGCATTAGCCACATCGCTCAGGGCAAACGAGGACCAGTTTGACATTTCCTTTTTCAAATCACAGAAGTGGATGGATTTGTATGCGGTGGACGGTCCGTTTAATGGTGACAAACGTTGTTTGTCACTGACAATCTGTGCCGATGGATTTGACCCTTTTAATCACTTAAAGGTTTACTATTCCATGACACCATGGCACACGAGGACGAGTTTGAAATTTCCTTTTTCAAATCACAGAAGTGGATGGATTTGTATGCGGTGGACGGTCCGTTTAATGGTGACAAACGTTGTTTGTCACTGACAATCTGTGCCGATGGATTTGACCCTTTTAATCACTTAAAGGTTTACTATTCCATGACACCATGGCACACGAGGACGAGTTTGAAATTTCCTTTTTCAAATCACAGAAGTGGATGGATTTGTATGCGGTGGACGGTCCGCTTAATGGTGACAAACGTTGTTTGTCACTGACAATCTGTGCCAATGGATTTGACCCTTTCAATCACTTGAAGGTTCAGTATTCCATGACACCTGATAAGATAATCAAATGTGTTTTTGTTTCGTATTTGATTTAATGGACACACCTAGGCCAGACTTCTGATATGGACAACTGCCACAAATGTGGAGAGCAGAGACGTGATGAGAACGGAAAGGCACGGAAGTCTTTCCATTACTTGCCACTTATCCCAAGGATCCAACGATCGTATCAGGTAAATGCTATAATGATGAGACCGAAAGAAAACTTTTCAAGCGGGCAAAACTTTTGGTCTAGATGTTCATTAATATCATATGGCTAACAGTAGGTACTGGCTGCAGAGTCAAATTTTCAAACCATTACCATATCTGCTTTTTATTACGTTCCCGGAGCAACCAAGGATAACTTTCCGACATCCGACCAGTGTGGCAGAAGAAAATAGGGCAACAACAGAGTTCCCTATTGCCAATACTTGTATCATCCATCTCCAGTTACCAATACTGCCAAATTACAACAGTTTGCTGAGAGGATGAAACAGGCGATACAAAGTCCGCTTATGTTTCTGCAACCAAGGATATCTTTCCGCCACTCTGCCAGTGTGGCAGAACGCAATAGTGCCTCAAAAGAGTTTCCAATTGCAAATACTTGTATCATGCATCTCCAGTTACCAATACTGCCAAATTACAACAAGTTTGCTGAGGATGAAACAGGCGATACACAGTCTGCTCATGTTTCTATTGGAATGAGTTCTGCTATGTCCTTGCACAAGGTCAAAATGCTTTTTTAACTGGCACCAAAAAGCTTACGAGTCAGATCAATCTCCCATACTCAACAAAAATTCAGGACTAACATAGCATCATTTAAGAGAAATCTAAAAACTCATTTGATTTCTTTATAATTGTTATTTTTAGAGTGTAATGCACTTGGAGAGCATATAAATATTATGTTTTTATTTTACAATGTAAAGCGCTTTGAGCATGTTTGTGTAAAGACGCTATATAAATATTTATATGTATGTATGTACATGTATGTATGACCTTGAAGGGCAAGTTGTTCACAGAAATTTGTAAACCCAAAAAGCGTTGAATTCTGGCTAAGTATAAACAACACTAATTGAGGCCTTTCAGTTTTTGTATTAAGTGTGATTAGAGCTTCAGAAAACGACAGTGTCAGGGTGCTGTATAATTATGATTTTTGACGTGCACGGCAAATAAGGTACTAGCACGTAGATACAGCATTTATTTCCCCCTGCTCCCCCCTAGTACTCCGTCCCTGTTGATTCAGCGGCGAATACTGGAGTGTTTTGTGGCAGGGCTGACCCCGGACCAATGGGCGGAATTTATCCGTTTGATAGATGCAACTCATGCAGACATCAATATGGGATCATTCTTCAAAAAAATAGTAACATTGGAGATGGCCAGTCTGCAGATTTGGGAACTGATGTCTGATGTGAAGGACGTATTCAAAGATCATGAGAAAAGGCTCCTCGACCACTTGAGAGCCAAGCTTGGCATCGTTCCTGCTCTGGTGATGCCCAATAATAAAGCAAGGCTATTGTTTGATTCAAAGAATGAGAGAGTGTTTTTTTAAACAATTATAGTCACTTTGCCCCTAGCTCCTCTGTCATATTGTGTACATACCTTATACCTTACAATAAATATGATGTTCCGTATGATACATTGCTCATGAATGTGATGTATATCTTGCCACTTCCATTGTTTTTGTCAATTATGATAATGTGTGTAATGTGTATACATTGTATCTTATATGTGACGAGGCCGTTACATTTTGTGCTGCTCTGTATCAAACAGATTCAACTGGCTCGGGACCCTAGTAATCCCGAACTGTACCTCAATATTCTGGTCGATCAAGTCAAATTGTCCCAGGCCGAAAGGAGAGCCCATACTGCCACTTCAGGCAATGCACTGACCCTCCTCAATCGGGTGATAGACCTCGTGTTTTCCAAGGAGGAGCTGGTCAATTTGACCGGGACCCTAATAATCCCGAACTGTACCTCAATATTCTGGTCGATCAAGTCAAATTGTCCCAGGCCGAAAGGAGAGCCCATACTGCCACTTCAAGCAATGCACTGACCCTCCTCAATCGGGTGATAGACCTCGTGTTTTCCAAGGAGGAGCTGGTCAGCGTCCAAGGCTCGGGACTGCGCCCAAAGGACAAGGGTGTGTGGCTGGACAAAGTCAAGGTTGATGTCGTCAAAGGTAAGCAAAGATATTGTATTGTCACATCTATGTGGGTGAAGATATCAATCAGCCCTATATTTCATTCTTTCCCCCCCCCCCCCATTCCTGTCCCTGTAGTCTCCTGCATTAGCCACATCTCTCAGGGCACACGAGGACCAGTTTGACATTTCCTTTTTCAAATCACAGAAGTGGAAGGACTTGTACTCACTGGACGGTCCTTTTAATGGAGACAAACGCTGTTTGTCACTAACAATATGTGCAGATGGATTTCACCCTTTCAATCACTTGAAGGTTCAGTATTCCATGACACCTGATAAGATAATCGACTGTGTTTTTGTTTTGTATTTGATTTAATGCATACACCGATATGGACAACTGCCCAAAATGTGCTGAACAGAGACGTGATGAGAACAGAAAGGCACGGAAGTCTTTTCATTACTTGCCACTTATCCCAAGGATCAAACGATGGTATCCGGTAAATGGCGCTCGTGTGGGCACCGCGCCAGAGGCACAGGCCCTTTGGGGTCATCCACGGGAGTTCCACGGCGTGACCGTTCATATGGGGCAGAGGCACCGCATCCTCGGGGGGGGGGGGGGGGGGGGGGGGGGGGGGGGGGGGGGGGGGGGGGTGTTCACCGACCCGGAGTGGGTGCCAAGATTTTGCTGGGGAGCCGCCCCACAAGTATCTTAGGGATCATCGACTTCGGGCCTGTCCGATAGCGGGGTGTACCGCTCAGGTCGATAGGCTGAAGTGGCACATTTATGATCATATGCCGGAATGCTTCCGATTTCGTATGGGGGGGGGGGAGTGCCCCATGCCCAGCAGGTTACGTGCCTCCGGTATTTGGCACGGGTGCTGACTGGGTAGGAGAGCATCCGGGGGCTCAAGGGATATTTTGAGCGGCGGCCGCATGCCTACGCCTACAACATCTCGGAGCATTTTGAGTTGGAGGTCCGCCACCTTGCCTCGGCGGCAGGATGGTCGGTCCAGGCCACTATCACCGTGCTCCCCCCTAGTACTCCAGCCGTGTTAATTCACTGGCGAATTCTGGAGTGCTTTGTGGCTGGATTGACCCCGGACCAATGGGTGGAGTTTCGCTGTTTGGGTCGGTTGAGTCAGAAGGGGGTCGGTTGAGTCAGGAGGGAGGCGTGCCTAGGGAAGGTGGGAAGAATGCACCCCGAACACGGGCGGAGGGGACTCCGCAGTTGGCAGCGGCTCCGGGTGCCCCCAAGCCACAACCGCAAAAAAAAAAGGAAGACACTTGTGGTTGCTAACAAAGCGACAGTAAAGTCATGGGGCTTCGACTGGTTGGAGGCTGACTAAATGAGTGAAGCAAAGCTTGAAATATTGTAAATGTAATGCTATTATATATAGAATTGCCTTTGTGTACAACATTCTGTGCTAATACTAAATCAGATGAGCCTTCCTCTGGCCTGAGCAGGCACAAGAGCTTATAGGAGGAAAACAAAGCACTCAGGTGCTCAATTGCGATCATGAAAGGCAAGTTTCTATTTGTGAACATTGCCTTCTTCAATGACCTTTCTTGCCATATAAATGCAAGCTCAAGTTACATGTACAGAGTTCTGAATATGATATAAAAATGACAGACTTTTCTCTTTATGTACATGTGCATTCAATTAAGAACATTGTTTTTGCCAATTATGATAATGTGTGTAATGTGTATACATTGTATCTTATATGTGACGAGGCTGTTACATTTTGTGCTGTTATGTATCAAACAGATTCAACTAGTCCGGGATCCCAGTAATCCCGAACTGTACCTCAATATACTTGTCGATCAAGTCAAATTGTCCCAGGCCGAAGGGAGAGCACATACTGCCACTTCAGGCAATGCGCTGACCCTTCTTAATAGAGTGATAGACCTCGTGTTTTCAAAGGAGGAGCTGGTCAGCCTCCAAGGCCCGGGACTGCAGCCAAAGGACAAGGGTGTGTGGAACAATCATGGGCTTCTCACTGACAATCACCTTTCCCCTATTCAGCTCTACTTGGAGGGGGTGATAGATGTCACAGAGCAGAAGAGACCATACTGCGATAAGGGATATGTTTGGGCCCTTTCATCAAGATCATGTTGCCATTCCAAGAGGAGTGGATGAGGATCAGTTGGTGGACGCTCCTACCTCTAATTTTGTTGTTCCACATGACCATTTAGTTTCGTTGCGACCACAAATTGATCCTAGATAACAAAGTAGAAAGGAAATGAAGGCGTGCGCAGGATGGCAAGCGCACTATTCTACAAATGAAAGGGTCTCTACAGAGGGCTGGGTCAGAATGCATCGGAACTTATCACAAGTGATGGAGAGTCTGACATTAATCTGAATAAATTAACGAGTCACAAGAAAAATGTTTTGTCATTTGACGAAATGAAAGTCAGTGAAGGACTTGTCTATTCTCATTCTACTGGCAACATCATTGGCTTTACGAGCCTAGGTAGTTTGTCAGATGAGTTTGACCTATACACAAGGATGTGTAAGGGACAGCAACAAGAACTGGCCAGTCTTGTTTTGACTCTGATGATAAGAGCTTTTTCGGACTCATACAAAGCGCCAATAGCCTCCTCACCACATCATCCAATAAAAAGAGGAAGTCGAGGAAAATTCTGGTTGCACGAGTGATCAGCTCTTCTCTATTGTGCATGAAGTAATTTATATTTAATCATTTATATAGTTTGGGGACAAGCCTTTGATAGGCCTTTGGCCTTTGTTTGTCTCCCCATATTTTGATACTTCTGTTCTATTGTGTTATTTGTTTGAATTGACTCCCACCAAGTAGACTTAGACAAAATTGAAGTTAATAAAATAACAGATAAGAAACATTATTTCTTCATCTGACGCTAACACCACCAGATCCGGCCTTTCTCAGAAGGTGGAAAAGGAGGAGGAGGCAGCATCCAGCCGATTCCATCTGGTGGAGGAAGAGCAGCTGAGGCATCTGGCAGCAGCATTACATAGTGTCTGTCCAGTGTGCCAATGGCAGCCTCTTGCTGTGGAAATTGTTCCAAGTAGCACTGCTGGCCACATACACTGGGTAATTAATTTGAAATTTATCAACTATGAACAATATAATGTAATCTGGCATGTAATAATGTAGTATAAAAATCTAATGTTGTAATGAAGACTCAGGGAAAAAATTAATATTTATTTTTCGGGGGCTACTTTTCAAGCTTGCCTGCATGAAAATAACATTCTAAAATTTGTTTTGCATTGAACTCTATGCAAATTTACAGGGGCTCTTTTCTGATTTTCGGGGGCTCTTTTAGGCATTTCGGGGGCTAATTCGCCCTGAGCCCCCGTCTATTTTTTTCACTGATGAAGATAATGTATATTTCTCTTATTCATTCCCAAATCACAGGAACGATGCTTCACCATTACAAAAATCACCTCATGTCGAGGCTGGGCAAGTTCAATTCGGAGGCGAATGCAAGCCAGCATGTGGCCCAGGTGAAGAGGGTTATAGCCTCTTCTATGTCGACAACAAATTGATCCTAGATAACAAAGTACAGAGGAAATGAAGTTTAAATCTGAGGCAAATGCAAGCCAGCATGTGGCCCAGGTGAAGAAGGTTATAGCCTCTTCTCTTTGCAATGGGTCGATAGATGGCCTTCTCAACGTTGAGGAGGCCTCAACCATGTGGGTTGCCGGTCAAAAGAAGGAGAAAAAGGCTGAGGGGACTGTGGCAAGTTATTTCTGAGTTTATGAACTTAGAGGTAGAATGGGCCCAGAAAGCAAAATATGGCAAGCAAACGAATCAGCGGGCCTTGGGGGCAGTTCCCAATGGCGCTCAACCAGGGTTGTGTGTTTGTGGTGGTTTTTATTTCAGAACTGTGTGTGAAAATCAAAGATACTTATAACGAGTATGAGGTGTTTTTTTTTTTTCTTTATTGTAATTATTCATAAGATATTTGTTCTTCTTTACTGCGATACATTTGATTTCCTTTTCTGCTTATTTTCATACCGATTGGTTTACAGGCTGAGAAACTGTGGGATCCATCAATGGACCTATTTGGACCTAAGGATGAGGATGGATCTGTGGTAATTATCATTTATTTCAGTCCTATCAAATAATTTAGTTTGTAGTTACTTCTATTGCTATACTAATGGATGATTTTTGTTTGTTGTCATAAAGAGAATATGTTTTTTTTTTTTTCCTTAGATTATTTTGGATGACACTGAGCCGGACTTGGAGAGACACGTGGCTATTCCTGAGGGACACGAAGTAAGTATTCTTATCATTGAAATAGTAATTGTTTTATTTATTTTGCTCATACTGTACACTTGATGTCTCATTATCAATATATTTTTCCTCCTCAGAGCGATTCGGACAAGACCAAGATAGACTCCGACGAGACCAAGATAGACTCCGACTACGAGAATCTTTCGTGGGAACATGGTCAGCGGTTGTCCCCGGAGGTTGAGGAGGAGGAGGAGGAGAGGATGGAGAAGGAGAACGAGGAGGAGGAGGAATTGGAAGAAGAAGTAGTGAGTGAATAAAAAGTTTAATAAATTTGTGTGTGTGTGTGTGTGTGTCTATTTAGCCCTATTGTCGTGTTTGTTAATTCAAAGTATACGATGAAAGCGAATATGCATTTTTTTTCTGCTTTTACATTTCATAAACAGCAGTGTTCTCTCTCTCTCTTTTTTAATCACTTTCTAGAAATCCAAAGTGAAGGATATGGCAACACAGACCGTCATCACAATGGAATGTATGGAATGGCTGCAATCAACGTCCAGATCAATGCACTTCCTAATGAGTACTAACTCGCCGGAAACATAATTTGTATAATTAATTGGCATTAATTCGCCGACCTAATCATTAATAACGAGGGATCATATGATTTTGTAATCATTCATTAATTCATGTAATTATTCTTTAATTTCTGCGAGCTTTCACAAGTTGAATCGCCATGTCTAACGCCAGAGCTAAAGTAACCAAAGTTCCAATAGATGAGCGCCGATGCTCGCAATGTCGGGGCTGGGCAGATGCCGGCAAGATGCCCAAACGGGTTTCATAAAATAACGCCAGGGCACACATTTGTCTTTAGCCTTTAATAATAACTTTTATACTAATTGACTCGAGAATAGGCCTACACTCACACACAAATTCTCGGCAAAAATGCATTACGCTGTGGCCTTAACATCTTCCCAATCATCATTTTACCACCTAATAGCATATAGTTTTTATCATGATTTTACTTTTACCTTTATTTATGATGACCCAGTTTATTTCGTTATTTTTAATTGTATCGAGGAGGCGATAAACGCGGAGTGGTGGATTTGGGCCCGCGTGACGGTCGAGAACACACCTGACTTCATATATTATTAAGTAAGTTCCTTTTTTTTCATTGTCATTACAATACTTTTTTTTGTTGTTGTTGTTGCAAAATATTATCCAAATATCGGGAAATTGAGGCTCAAAGTAGATCAAAAATGCGGATGTACATTCATATCTACCGGAGATTATCAGTACATTCATATCAACAGTAGACTACCATTCCAAAAACATCCCATCAAAGCTTTGATTCGATTTCTTACTTGCTAGAAGAAAATAACAAATTGTGTTGACTTGGACGACGGGATCAAGACTATGCAACCGCTCGAACTCGACGTGACCTTTTATTTTTGCAGACTCGCCCGGCGCGCCCGCGCTTGGATTACAGGCTCAGATCGTGAACACGCCCCCTTTCCAAATTCGAACGCGATGCACAAATAGTCATAGCTGAGGCGGTTAATTTGAATGCAGAACTGGGACGGAATAGATCAAATTTGAGCATCAATTTACCGAAATTGGGATCATATTTTGGAATCTACCCACTTCCATTTGGCTTATATCATCTTTCTCTTCCAGGTAAGCTATATTTTGATGTTTCTTAGTCCACAATTAAAAATCTAGCAATTGTTTTTGGAGACCCTACTATCATGGAGCTCAGTTTAGCCAAGGGCTATAACTGGAAGGGGCAGAGGGAGAAGCTCAAGCTTTCCATTTACTTCTATATATTATAGATGAACAGCTACGTCAGAAAGATAATATCTAGGTATCCAGCCGAGGCCTGCACACTACAGGTGCAGGTACTGCCAGTACGCCTACACGAGCTGGAAACACATAGACAGACGAGGGGACCTCACACTCTGCCTACAGCCCCAAGGTACAAGAAACATCACAAGTCTCTAAAGGATCTAAAGGATCTTCTGCCCGGGCGTCTGCCAACAAGGGTTTTGACCTAAAGCATTAGATATAGTACGAAAAGCATCATGGAAAGGTACTTATGAAGACCAGCTCTTGCCCTCTGATGAAGCTCTACGTTTACATGGGTTACACAGCTTTTGGATCAGCACTATGTGGAGTATGGTTAGAACACATGAATTTGATTATCCTGATATTTCAAAATATGGATTTAAAGAGTGTCGTAATGATGTGGAAGAGAGTGTTGAATTTGAATGGGATTCAATTGACAATATGTAACGTATAAAAGAAAATGTGTTATACCTCTACATGTGGTTGCAATTGTCAAAAAGTAAATGTAGTAACCGCTAATGTAAAGGTAGAAAAGCAAATAATCTTTGTGGTCCATGGTGTAAGAATTGTGAGAACATATCACATACTCATCCTGTCATTTCGAAGCTTTGAATTGGAAAAAAGATAATGTGTGTATGGCCCCATACCCGGGGTTTGGGATGTGGCCTGCCAAGGTAGTTGAAGCAACATCATGAAAAGTTAAAGTCATAAACTTCCCTGAACTGAATGAGGTTGTGTACTATAAACTATAAACGGTACAAAGAAGGTCAAAGTCAACCTAGGTCAATTTTCCGCACAATGGATGAAATGAAGTACAATGATGCTAATTCTTGGTCAATCAAGAAAATCCAGGAAGAAACACTCATTGTACACAGGAAGAAGAGTATCCAGATAGCGTTTTCTGAAGATGTCAAGCAGTAAGCCAAGAACCACAAGAATGACCAAGTAGATGTATTAGCAGAATTTAAAGGTATTTTTATTTCATTTTCTTAAATCAATTTTTGTTGCCGTACAGAAAATATGAATATCTACATTATTATGAGTGATGAAACACATCTATAAATTTGCTGACAAGGACAACTTCATGAAAGCCGTTGTTGCAAAAATGTTATAGTCACATTCATGTTGTATAAAGTTAGAACTGAAGCAATTGTTTAATATCAAATATCAGAACAGACTTTCCACATTGTCTAAGAAAAAGGACCACACCTGTTTCTTATAGTTCCAGGCGTTACGCCATTTAGCGATTAGTGGTAGAAAGGAAGATACCCCTTACTTTGAGTGGTAAATTAATTTTTCATCTTTTCATTTATTACTTACAGTACATGTATAGGAGGAGAATCGCAACCAAAATTAAGTGACAAATTTGAAACAACTCCTGCAGGTGATGCTTCAACAAGCAAAAAGTAGCATGACAGATCAGACCACTGAATCTTGATGCATCATGTTAATTTGATAATTTGTTAATCTTTTTTATTTTAAAGCAAAATTTGAAGAGGGGCCAGGATGCAGCGATGCCATTTTGACAATACAGAACTATCTGATAGCAGAGATCTTCTTCCAAAATGCTGGAAGTGGGATGAATCAGACGTCCTGAAGAACGAGGAGAGAGTGGCTATACCACATATGCTGGATGTCAGCGAAATAGTACCAGTCAGGGACATGAACTTATCTGTAATTAGATTAGGATTCTGTAATATCAAATTGTGTCATTCTAAAGTAAGCGGCACATTATGTTCCAACCTGAACAAGGATCAAGGAATTAGTCCTGCTAGTCCCAGACAGGAAACGTGTAAATGAATTTCCATCAAACAGCAAGACAATGAGGACCCATGGCCCGGCAGATGTCTGCCTTAACAAAGGTACGGCCGATATCTTCATATTCTACCTCAGCTGCCTCCGGGAGTGTACCCCTGGGTAGGTAAAGAAACATGACCAAGAGGAGGAAGTGTTCCTGGAAAAACAGGGTGGTCCCCTGCACAACCCGGGGCAAACCCTAAACGCCATGTGGTTGGAAGATGGTAGGTCGGGGAGACTTCCAACCATGATCAGGAAGATGGCTGCTACTTACGTGAGTACCACAATATCTAATTAACTATTCTACTTTTATCCTTGTGTGAAGTGGAAAATTTGAATTGAATTGAATTGGATTGAAAATACATTCTGTACTAAAAACTTTGATTTTTTTTCACATCTTAATTACTAAAGGCATGAGAAAACATGACCGACAATGATGCGAGGGAGATGGCACAGTTTATGAGCCACTCCAGTCAGAAATGCCTATTATTATTATTAAGTATTATGCTGCCAACCTGGAACAGACCAAATCAGCTCAGTGCAGCAAGGCCCTAAGCGACATGTGGGAGGAAAATACTATGCTGCCAACCTGGAGCAGACCAAATCAGCTCAGTGCAGCAAGGCCCTAAGCGACATGTGGGAGGAAAATACTATGCTGCCAACCTGGAGCAGGCCAAATCAGCTCAGGCCTTTGACATTTTTACCTCTGACATTTTTACCTCTGACATTTTTTCCTCTGACATTTTTTCCTCTGACATATTTACCTCTGACATTTTTACCTGGCACCCTATCTCCAACATCATCTTCACTCAATCCAACTTGAGCACTTTCTCTTCTGACCATTTTCTTCCATTACATCTTCGGCCTTCCTCAACCTTTTCAGTTTTATCATAGAGTTCTTTGTTGGTCATGTGTTCTTTCCATGATCCACATATACCAGTCTGAAATGTACAACTTATGTATTGAAGTGGATATTCCCCAAACTTAGCATTATAATTCATTCATAAATAATTCTCTTATGTTGTCTTGTATACATGTATTTGCATCATACTCTCAGAAATCAAGGCAGCCTCAATTGCCAACCTCACCAGCATCCTCTCTGTCGGACAGTGAAGGATTAGCACTGTGCAGTCCCTCAACTTCAGCTGTACGTGAGGACCCAATAGATAAAGTAAGTAATAAATAATCCTCTTATTTCCTCTCTTTCGGGATTAATATCATCAATACAGAAAGTGTCTTTGTTGTCCCGAGGCTGATATTCACTAAATTTGGCAAAGCCAGAGCAGAATATGTGAAATATTAATCTTTTTTTCAATGGACATCCAATAGTTCATCCTTTGATCTGTACACTATACATGTAGGTATGCATTTCAACCAGTGTAGATTATTATATTAATAATTATGTAAGATTTCTTTTAGTTGCCATCCTTGCTACAGAGTAGACTGGACTTAGATCTTTACAAATTTTGAGTAATGGAGACATATTGGGTTATTTATTCATTTATGAATTCATATCTCACTGTCTGCTTTTTGTACTTTCAAGCTCAGTGCCATTGATGGTGTGACACACCTCACGTATACGAAAGCTGTTTGCATTAGCCTAACATATCCTTAAAACTTCAAGAAGTTTATATCCTGTATTTTTTTATCTCTCTATCATTACTCTTGAAGGTCCAAGTTGGTCCACATGTAACACTCACGAAGAGGACCCTGCTGAACTGTAACCATTTAAATGTGGGGAAGCTAACGTCGGATCTGATGGTTGCCGTTTTCGGACGGGAGGGACTTCTCAATTCCTCTCTGACAGGAGGAAAAAACAAAGAAGGCAAGAGCAAACCCCCTCTGGACCACGAAAAGGTTGCCGACATTATTGGTAATTATAGTTATTGCAGTGTAAAGCTAATTGATCTACATTTGATGAAAATTTAATGGTAGAGAATACACTGGAATTTGCCTATTTTGTAGCCCCTTTCCCTTCATACAGTCAGAGGCCACAGTTAGATGGTGATGAATATCAAAATAATGGCTAACTCTGAAGTTGATCATAAAAGTGAGTGTTGAGAGTGGAATCCATGATACGTTGCAGGTTTTGAGGATGTTTTTTGTGTGTTTGCGCCATACACTTTCATACTCTACAGGCTAGAGCTTTACCCATCTTTTCATACATAATTTATAATATTCGAACCATCAGTCATTGCCCATCATACAAATGGAAATTTACCTGTATTATACAAAATGCATAATTGTCTTGATTATATTATTAGTGTAAATTAAAAAAACTGTAAGATATAGATGTATAGCTTAAATTAGGCTAATTCATTATTTACAAACTGGAGATTTGGATTTGGTCTTCTCATCACCTGAAGTGATAACATCAGCAACATGGTGGCCATGGCTGCAAAGGCAGAATCTCCCTCTTAGCACTGGATGAAATGGCCATATAAATGCAAGTTAATGTTTCATGTACAGAGTTCTAAACATGAAATAGAAATGACAGACTTTTCTCTTTACCTACACGTGCATTCAATTAACAATATTGTTTTTGCCAATTATGATAATGTGTGTAATGTGTATACATTGTATCTTATATGTGATGAGGCTGTTACATTTTGTGCTGCTCTGTATCAAACAGATTCAACTGGCTCGGGATCCCAATAATCCTGAACTGTATCTCAATGTACTTGTCGATCAAGTAAAGTTGTCCCAGGCTGAACGGAGAGCCCATACTGCTACTTCAGGCAATGCGCTGACCCTTCTTAATCGAGTGATAGACCTGGTGTTTTCAAAGAAAGACCTGGCCAATGCAAAAGGCCTGGGAATGCGACCAACGATGGTATCAGGTAAATGCTATAACGATGAGACCGAAAGAAAACTTTTCAAGCGGGCCAAACTTTTGGTCTAGATGTTCATTAATATCATATGTCTAACAGTTTGTACTGGCCGCAGAGTCAAAACTTTCAAACCATTACCATATTTAAACAACCAAAGCAAACATCTGCTTTTTATTAAATTCCCGGAGGAACCAAAGATAACTTTCCACCACCCGACCAGTGTGGCAGAAGAAAATAGGGCAACAACAGAGTTCCCTAAATTGCAAATACCTGTAGCATCCATCTCCAGTTTTCAAATCACAGAAGTGGAAGGACTTGTACTCAGTGGACGGTCCTGAAAAGATAATCAAATGTGTTTTTGTTTTGTATTTGATTTAATGGACACACCTATACCGGACTTCCGATATGGACAACTGCCAAAAATGTGCTGAACAGAGAAATGATGCAAACGAAGAGGCACGGAAGTCTTTTCATTACTTGCCACTTATCCCAAGGATCCAACGATGGTATCACCCCTAGATAAAATGAGTATAAGAAGAACAATCAAACAGTTATAGTCTTTGGCGGATGTGAACGTACATGTATATCATAAAACTGAAATGAATCATAGATGCCCTTCCTTATCCAGGTTGAGAGTGATGAGAAGTTGTCAAACTATGAGAAGGCTCTTGGAGCTTGGAAAGAGGCTTATGCAGGTAAATGCTGTAACGATGAGACCCTTACATGTTATTAATATAGTCTATTATAAATGTCTGACCCTCACTAATTTCAATGAACTTCCATGGGTGGAAGCTCTTAGACAGGGAAGTGCCGAATGCAGTGAAAATATGAACACGCACGCTCTATTGACGTGGACCTATTACGAATGGACTGTCAACGTCGTATTAAAAATGTGGAGAACAAAGAAAGGATGAAAACGGAAAGGCAAGGAAATCTTTTCATTACCTAAAAAGGAAGAAGAAAAAAACTTATTTCTTAAGCCGATGGTCGAAACATTATAATAATAATTGTCATCACAGATGATCAGAAACCTGTGACGTTCCAATTCCAAAACCATGCTAATTCATCTCATTTATTTATTAACTAAATAATTCAATAGTTGGAGCCTGCACGTTCAAGTCCTATGACGCTCGTTATGGCCCCACTACGCAGCTTGATGCTCAATCAGGTGGAAAGATGGAGGAGAGTTGGTATCCGTGCAGTGGCATTGACAGCAAAGAGAGCAATGTCCAAAGAAGATTTACAAGGTATGGTTCATGAAAATCTTTGAGGTAACACTTGCATTTCGTAATCGATGTACTGTGCATGTACTGTGTTCAATAATCAAATGAATAAACCACATGAACAGAGATAATCACATAACTCCAGTCATTTTATTATGACATATACAATGAACATTCAATCATGATTATTCCTATGATAGGATTTCCCTGTTTATTTTTCTGCTATAGGGCGGTCAAAATTTACTAAACTACAATTCTATGAATAATAACCTTGGCAGAATAGTTTATCTGAATGTATTTTGTGTGTGTGTGTGTCATTGACAATTTTGCAGGCCTTTCTGCAAAATTGAAATTGGTACTGTGTATACATTTGATAGTTTATGTCACTCCTTCTGATCTTAGGTTTACAAACTGGAGATTTTGATTCGGTGTTCTCATCACCCGAAGTCATAACACCAGCAACATGGTGGCCGTGGCTGCAGAAGAACAAAGGCAGAATCTCCCTCTTAGCACTGGATGAAATGCATTGTATTTCAAAGTGGTTAACAAGGGGAACAACCATGGCCTTTGCACTGAGAATCATCTTCCCCTATTCAGCTCACGCACAGGGGGTGATGTCACAGAGCAGGAGTGACCATACTGCACTAAGGGATATTTTTGGGCCACTTCATCAAGATCATGTTGCTGTTCCAGGAGGAGTTGATGAGGATCAACTACCTCTAATTTTGTTGTTCCACATGACCGTTTAGTTTCGTTGCGACAACAAATTGATCCTAGATAGCTAAGTACAAAGGAAATGAAGGCATGCGCAGGATGGCAAGCGCACTATTCTACAAATGAAAGGGTCTCTCCAGAGGGCTGGGTCAGAATGCATCGGAACTGATCACAAGTGATGGAGAGTCTGATGGTGGAACAGTGAGTGATTTATTTCCTTATAATAGACCAATATCTAGAGTTAAGGGGATAGTTTTTGGTAAAGAGGGCGCTTCAAGAAATATTTTTTATTATTTTTTATAAACTTCCCCAACAACGAACTCTCAAACAATATACTAATTTTACATCCAGGAAACCCGGCTTTAACAAAGACCCTTTGCATCAAATATTAACTGACATTAATCGGAATAACTAAGCGAGTCACAAGAAAAATATTGTTTTGTCATTTGACGAAATGAAAGTCAGTGAAGGACTTGTCTATTTTCATTCTACTGGCAACATCATTGGCTTTACGAGCCTAGGTAGTTTGTCAGACGAGTTTGACCTATATGGTTGTGTAAGGGACAGCAACAAGAACTGGCCAGTCTTGTTTTGACTCTGATGATAAGAGCTTTTCTGGACTCGTAAAAAGTGCCAATAGCCTCCTCACCACATCATCCAGTAAAAAGAGAAAGACAAGGAAAATTCTGGTTGCACAAGTGATCAGCTCTTCTCTATTGTACATAAAGCAATTGAGCTACATGTACTTTCTGGTTTCCATGTACAGGCTCTTGTTTCAGATGGGGCATCTCAGAATCGCAAATTCTACGACATGCTGCGGGAACGCCTCAAGGATCCATTGTCCATCAAAGGAGACAAAGGAAAGTTTCTATCAGCAGTACTGCTTCACAGTAGACTGGGACTCCCTTTTCTGAACGCCGTGCTGGCCGAGCTCTTGATAAACGATGACCCCCTTGGGTCATAGACCTCATCCCTGATGACAGGAAGAGAGAAAGTGTACAGAAGGTATATGAAGCATCCATGTAGGAGGAGTTGACAACAGCCCTTGATGGGTGCACCTTTGTTAATAAACATTCCAATACGCAGAAATTCCTGGGAAAATTGTGCGTAGGACTAGGGGTAGGGGGAGGGGAACAATGATGTTTGTAGTGGGATGGAACAAATGAGAGGTGACAACCGGGGAAGTGCAATAAGGGGTAGGAGTACCAACAATCAAAGAATAGAGAGGGCATGGGTTGATGAACCTCTACAATGATCTCTCTTCTCATATATGGAAGTAGAGAACCTCCTTGATCCTGACAATGAGATGAGATGCATGTTTGGGCGCTCCATTTTGTTTTTGTACCCTGCCTATATAACCATCTCAAAGTCTTCCAATCATAGTGGAACAACCATGGCCTTTGCACTGAGAATCATCTTTCCCCTATTCAGCTCACGTGCAGGGGGTGACGTCACAGAGCAGGAGTGACAATACTGCACTAAGGGATATTTTTGGGCCACTTCATCAAGATCATGTTGCCGTTCCAGGAGGAGTGGATGAGGATCAACTACCTCTAATTTCGTTGTTCCACATGACCATTTAGTTTCGTTGCGAAAACAAATTGATCCTAGATAGCTAAGTACGAAGGAAATGAAGGCATGCGTAGGATGGCAAGCGCACTATTCTACAAATGAAAGGGTCTCTTCAGAGGGCTGGGTCAGAATGCATCGAAACTGATCACCTGTTATAATTATTTTCTGAAGTTTTTTAAATGGGCCTTGGTTTTTCTCTACATTTTCAACGTTTGCAACATTCCAGCCGAAGCAGGAAGGGAGGACTTCACCACTATTGAGCGGTTCGTTACCTTTGTGACTGACACACTACCTGGGGGATCCACTGACATAGAGATGGATCAACGCCACAAGCTGGTGACGATAATGAGATTGTCAGGGGGGTTTAGATCCCTCTTACAAGAAAAAGAATGATTTGAAAGGTAAAGTACGTATATTGTTGGTCTTATTAAATTTCGCCTTCGTCGAGATGGCTACGGCGAATAGTAAGAAGACGAGTTCACTGCGGTCGCTTTCCGGTACCCAGAGCCAGTCTAGTTCAAGTGAGAGTGACATTAGCAAGGAGTACACGGTTGTAAGAGACGATGAACTGGGAGTCAACGCTCTGTCTCTCAGTCGGTAGAGAACCGGCATGATGTTTGACTGGATGTATAGATGTAAGACAACATTGAATTTGGAAATTGCACAAAGGAGTTTGAGAGAAGATATGCAATGACATTTTCTTTTACAAGAAATGCCTACTCTCATAGTCCTCTAAAGATAATGGTACTGATTTGGTTTAGATTGTTCAGATTGCCCAGAATTGGAGATGGAGAGTTCAGAAGAAGGTTTCAGAACAACTTTTGGTGGACGAGGAGGAAGAGAGCCGTGATAAAGACTACACGCCAGATACTTATAGGGCAAACTTGTAAGTACCATCATTTATTTGATTATTCTTGCTATGCTATGGACTGCAACATCGTTAGAAGTCATGAATACTTGGAGTAGAATTTGCACGATGATGATATGAAGATAATATACATTTCTATTATTCATTCCAAAATCACAGGAACGATGCTTCACCATTACAAAGTTCACCTCATGTCGAGGCTGGGAAAATTTAAATCTGAGGCAAATGAAAGCCAGTATAGCCTCTTCCCTTTGCAATGGGTCGATGGATGGCCTTAACCATGTGGGTTGCTGATCAAAAGAAGGAGAAGAAGGCTGAGGGGGACTGTGGCAAGTTATTTCTGAGTTTATGAACTTAGAGGTAGAATGGGCCCAGAAAGCAAAATATGGCAAGCAAACGAATCAGCGCGTCATGAAGGTATGCCATATTGTTTCTCTCCCCCCCTCTCTCTCTCTCTCCTTCTCTCTATATCTATCTCTTTCACTCTCTTTCTATGGAGATAGGTTCCCCGTGGTTGATTACTCATTAAGAAGAGATTGATAGATATGCCCACGGTATGTAAATGTATTATGAGGCATTGCTAACTAAGAACATAATTATTTTTGTTTTTGTTATTTTGTTAGGAATTATTAATGTTTTCATTTAAAACACTGACGTTATGATGTTCTCTTTTCCGTTTTGTTATTGTGTATTGTAATTGTTTAACCCTGCATGAGATGCATCTAATGTTATACAAACTCTGTCCTGGGTTTTATGTCACATCTTTATTATTATGTTATATGTATACTTTCTTGAATAAAGATGAATAAACAACATGAATTAGTTTGTTTCTAGGATTAGACATTTAATGCCTCAAAGGGAAATTAAAACACGTCAGATGAATGCAGTGTGCCATTCTTGATTTGTTTCCAGGGACTGTTCTGGTCTGCAAATAATTTGCTCTGGAGATGAAGTGTTTGGAGGGGAGTTTGGAGGAGGGGAGGAGGGGAGGAGGAGGGGAGGAGGGGAGGAGGGGGAAGGAGGGGAGGAGGGGAGGAGGAGGAGGCAGCATCCAGCCGATTCCATCAGGTGGAGGAAGGGCAGCTGCGGCGTCTGGCAGCAGCATTCCATAGTGTCTGTCCAGTGTGCCAAGGGCAGCCACTTGCTGTGGACATTGTTCCAAGTAGCACTGCTGGCCACAGATGCAGATTATGGGGAAGTCCCTGTAGACCAAACTGCAAATGTGGGAAAGAAGGAGCCTTGCTTGAACAGCTCATCATCAGTAAATAGCCTCTTCCCTTTGCAATGGGTCCTTGGATGGCCTCCTCAACGTTGAGGAGGCCTCAAGCATGTGGGTGGCTGAACAGAAGAAGCAGAAGAAGGCTGAGGGGACTGTGGCAAGTTATTGCCACAGTGTAGCTGGATTTTTTGATTTTTTGGCCACGGGTAAATTAAAGCACGCCTTCTCCGACTTCCTTGGCATCCCGACCCTCCAGCAGAAAGCCCAAGACTGGAGGAAGATTGCTGCCTCACTAGCGAAGGAAGGGAAAGTGAGGCAGGTTGAACTGACAGAGCGTGGATACAGTAAGAATTCATATATCGAACTGGCCCATTTTGGAGTTTATATGCTGTAACAGCAATGGTAGAACGTAAGCAGGGGCTAAATGAAATTCCCCACCCTTAAATTTACCAATAATATAAAAGAGGCACCCCCCCCCCAAAAAAAAAAAATATCGCAATAATTACAATTATTGAGTATAATATATACCCTTTGAGAACATAGTCGATTATACTATTAGTATAATTTTACTTCCAAGTTGCATAAAGAAAATATAATTTCATACCCTTTGTTTTTTATTTCATCACTTCACAGACGACCAACTCACCAACAAAGAGGCCCAATCTCTAAGTGCTGCCTTAGAGGGGTTGTACCTCAACAAGTTCCATCCTTTATTTTTATCCCAAGCGCGCATTACAGCGTCGTTGGCCCAGGCCATCCGAGGTTATTTTTTACTTAGGATGGCGCTTGACAACGGCGCTAGACCGTCTGAGTTTATCAACATGGAGGTAGAATGGGCCCTGAAAGCCATATATGAAGAGCAAACAAATCAGCACGTCATTAAGGTATGTCATATTAAGTTCAGGTATTTGTTTTTCTGTAGAATTTGACATTTAATCCCTTCAAAGGGAATTAAAGCTTGAAAACAAGTTGCTCTTCGTGAATGCAGAATTCACAAATGAGAAGGCAGAATAAAACGGGCACTGTTGTGTTAGATTGTATATTTTAAAATAATCATTACTTTGTCATTCCTGGCACAATTGGAATAGAAATATATATCATTTATTTGTTATCTAATATTTCAGTTGTCATTTCAGGTTAACGTATCCATGTCTCTTACTCTGCAGGTCCTAAACCACAAGACCGTTATGAAGTACGGGGCAGCGAGGGTGTGTCTCAATAAGGAGCAGTATGAAAGTTTTTCCATATATATTAGGCACATCAGGCCCAGATGCCCCGGCTATGAACAGGGTACGAAACATGTCTTTTTCACGACGAAATCCCCCCAATTCTCCTCGTCCTCCATAACATACTCCATCAAACAGACATGTTAATACCTTGATCAGAGGGCAGTCACAAACACTGGCATTCGGAAGTGGATGTCGAGCATGGTAAATACTCATGATTAAATATTATCAACCGCATTGATTTATTTATTTGCAATGGCGATCAACAACGGTGCTAGACCATCAGAGTTTATAAACAAGGAGACGGAATGGGCCCTGAAAGCAAAATATGGCAAGCAACCTCGCCTTCATCCGCTTCTACAACATCTTTGAGAGAAGGCTCTGTGGTTTCTATAACCTACCAAGAATATGTCAATCTTCTCGACTACGAAGAACCAGCTGCAGAGAAGGAAGAGAGGAGACAGATATCTTAAGAGAATGATTTCCCTGTAATGAAAGTGGGAGATTTTGTGGCACGTTTCTATAACATGCAGAGAGCCCTACGTTCCTCTCGTAGTCCCAGACCTTGGATTTCCTGTGCTACTTTTTAGGCTCTCTTTTAGCAGAAGAAACTAACATTATTTGTGTAGGTGTTTTGCTTCATGGGAAACGATATGGATTCAAATTTCATTGATATGAACAGTCATTTAACGACATGACATTAGTCGAGCCTACAAGCTGCAATTGCAACTTGACGTGCTCCCGGGCAAAGGGGAGGGGACAGTACCCATGCCGATCCCTAGGTCAGGAGTGCAATGACCGATGCACATGTGGTACCAAAAAAGAAAAATGCACAAACAAAGCTGCATCTGAATCAGGAAGTAAACGAATATGTATTTGTAATCAAGAACCGTCTTGGAAGTCATACATTCAGGGCCCTACAATGCCCAAGATCTCAAACTAATGAGCATCCAGAAGGTATACATAAGACCGATACAGAGGGATATTGAGATTGTATCAGATCAACCCCCTGCAACTGATAATTCACTGCCTTGCTGCAACTGTGGACAACTTATACCCACTAGTGAAATCAGAGCACACAGTAAAATCTGTAATTTTGTGGCACGTTTCTATAACACGCAGAGAGCCTGAGTTACCAGGACAGGATCCTTTGGAAATGAAGGATGGAAATGTTGGCCCCACTCGACACAGTGGCAGGACGTTCATGTCGCAAGCAAATCATCCTGCAACATCTCAGATTAATGTTAATTAATTTATTAATGATATTTTGGGACTATTGATAATGGAAGTATTTCTTAGGATAAGTTATATTTCCTAACCATGCTTCACCTAATATTATGAAGCAGATCTTTGTACATGTTTCCAAAAGAATGTAAGTGTAAAGTAAATATTTTTAATCATCATAATGTGTCTGCTTTTCCTTTCGAAAATTATCTCAGAAAAATGAAGAAAACAGTAAGAAAACCAACACAATATGCACTACATACCCTTGAAATGAGAGTAGAATCAGTGAATATATAGTAAACAGTTATTTCAGGTGAAAAATAACAAGAGTTGTGTTTTTAATACCCAGTATGAAGGTGCAAGGAAGTATGATTAATTGACCATTATTCCCTTCATCCTCACAGGTGTCTTTCTGAAAGATATCGGGGGGCCGGTCCGTGACGGACTGCGTCGCCAGGGTCCTGCTGGCTATAATCGAACCGACATTAGCCAAACGCTACAATTGGATGGGGCAGAGGGGGAAGCTGAAGCTTTCCATTTACTTCTATAAATAGATGAATAGCTACGTCAGAAAGATAATAGGTATCCAGATGAGGCCTGCACACTACAGGTGCAGGCACTGCCAGTATCGGAGCACGATACAAGAACTGCCACGGATACACAAGCTGGAAACACATAGGCAGACGAGGGGACCTCACACTCTGCCTACAGCCCCGAGGTACAAGAAACACCACAGACAACATCACAAGTCTCTAAAGTCTCTCAAGGATCTTCTGCCCGGGCGTCTGTTTGACCTAAAGCATTAGATATAGTACGAAAAGCATCATGGAAAGGTACTTATGAAGACCAGCTCTTGCCCTCTGATGAAGCTCTACGTTTACATTGGTTACGAAGCTGTTGGGTCAGCACTGTGTGGAGTATGGCTAGAACACATGAATTTGATTATCCTGATATTTCAAAATATGGATTTAAAGAGTGTCGTAATGATGGGGAAGTGAGTGTTGAATTTGAATGGGATTCAATTGCCAATATGCAACGTACAAAAGAAAATGTGTTATACCTCACATGTGGTTGCAATTGTTCAAAAAAGCAAATGTATTAACCGCCAATGTAAATGTAGAAAAGCTAATAATCTTTGTGGTCCAGGGTGTAGGTGTAAGAATTGTGAGAACATATCACATACTCATCCTGTAGAAACTGGAGATGATGATAATGCTGAAGACATGTATAATGTTTATGATAGTGATGACGACAGTGAGAGTGTCATGAATGACATCTTATCAGAATTGGATAATTCAGAAACTGAATATTTGTGATGCACATAGGCAGACAAGGGGACCTCTGACTCTGACTACAGCCCCGAGGTACAGGAAACATAGGCATCACAAGTCATCTTCAAAGGATCTTTTGCCCGGGCGTTAGCCAACAAGGGTGGTGTTGGCCACCCCAGGCAGGCCACCCCGCATACCAGTTCGTTTGTGCGGAGGGGTGACGAACTATATCGACCCTGGCCGTTTTGCGGATGTTAAGATTCCGGACAGCCCCCAGTTCCACATGGCGGTGGGGATCCATCCTAAACACGCATCCAAAGTGGGAGAGCGCGACGTGAATAGAGTGGCAAGCCTTGTATGTGGCAGTGGCGTGGCGGCCATTGGTGAGATGGGGCTGGACTTCACTGTTCGGTCTGACCGTTGGCCAGCACAGTTGTGTCTGGTGGGGCACGGACGAGTCCTTGTCCTCCATCTGGAAGGGGCAGAGGGGGAACTAAAGCTCTCTGCCTTGAAAGCCATTGTTGGCATTATCTTTGGTAAATATATAACTTGTCATACCTCCACAAGGTTCATTGTATCTCTTGAGGAAGGCATTGAGGAAAGCAAAACTCCATCACTAACAGGTTTATTATCATGGAAAGAAAAGGTAATTAACCCCAATTACAATTAAATGTAGGATATAATTTTCCAGTATTTCACTCGAGTACAGTGTCACCGCAGTGGAGTTAGGTGCAACGATTCAAACACCATTGTTGCTGGGAGACAGACAGTTGCACCACTTTTCTATTGTAACAACCACTTCATATACCAGAAGATACTACACAGATATCCAGATGGGAGCACCATAATTATTAAGTTCAGACCAACTAAGATAGTTAAGGTATATCTACCATTTATAATCCCTAGTTTATTATCTTTCCATCAATGGAAATTATACGTGTAAAGCACCAGAAGAGGAATACATTACATCTAATGAGTCGTTCTCACGCAGTGGAGATCCGTATCGTGGAGAGGGTGGTGATTTCATCACGGAGGCCGAAAACAGAACACTAAAGTCCAATCTTTCTCCAGGGATCCCAACTGTAAAGAGTTGGGTAGCGTCAAGTCGTTGCGCTAAACCCTTGGCCGATAACAGGAAATGTGTCTTACAAAGAACAGGGGTTCAAGATCCTGGCAATGAAGGAAGCTCGATCTTCAACCATGAGTTTGAGGTCCAGGCCATACGAAGACACATCAGAGAATCTGATGACCAGCGTATACAGCTCAATGCAGCATATCCATGGTATTTGCAACAAAAAACGGTTCATGGACAAGGCCAGACACATGAGATTTGAAAAGAACTACTTCTGATTCGAGAACCACACCTGGTGCAAAGCTGTTAATTAGGAGATGGGTTAGTCCATACTTTCCTAAAGGCTATCAAGGGGTTAGAATTCTATTTGATCAATCCGAGTCACAGGGTGTATCACCAAAAGGCATTGAAAGGACAAGGAGGGATAGAACTGAGCAAGAGGAAGATGTATATGATACAGTGCTTCTCCTAAGAATTGGGTGAACATTTTGAAAGTGAGGAAAACTAAACACATGCTTATTAGGTATCATCTACCCATATCAGTCTTTTGTCACATCAGGTGGTTTTCATGTTGGATGCGAATCTACAAGTGATTGGAGTGGAGCAGTTGTCAATGTGCATGGTGTAGAGAGGCACCACATTTTTCATAATCACAAGGAAACTGACACTCAGATCTTGCTGCATGTTCTTGATACTGTATGTACATGTGCTAATATTCTTGTGTATTCCATTGATCGTGACATTGGTATTATTGGCTTCCTTTAGATTTAAAGAACAAACATGTGACAGTACAATTCAGTGCGAGAGCAGGAAATGACAGATATCTGATGTTGAATAATTTGCAGTCGGCATGTGATAAAGATGCTGACTTAACTCAGTTAATTAACG